TGTGGTGTTAATGTTGACAAAGCCGTAGTCATAAAAACAGTCTGCTAAGATTATTTTAAACAGGTGAAGATTTGTCTTAAGTCAAGAATTTGCGTGTTTATACTGGTTTGTTTTCATAAAATATATATTTCGCCTAAAATCGGTTTATTCAAATAATTCAATAGCATGTCCAATCCAGTTTTACTATCCAGATCAGTTGACTACACCCCCAGGCTATACATCATACATACCAGGGTCTGCTAGGTCTGCTTTTAGTTTCGAGGTTGGCGGTTTCAAGGACTCGATGAGATAAATGCAAACTAGTATTTTACTTTTCACCGAAACAAGTACCGTGTTACACACAACAGCATCTGCATGTCCCAGCATGCATGTAGATATGTTATTCCAAGTCCACGTGACGTGAACTCCAGTCTCCAGCTATGATTTTGGCAACTGAAAGCTTATCACCTCATGATGTCACAACCTGGCTCCTTCCCACATCGCTAATTACTACATTTCCGTATTAAGTACGCGTGCGTAGGTAGAGTTCGAGTTGAAAACATAATAGGAAACGATCGTAACGACCCTTCCTCAGAGTAAACATCCCTTTGAAAACACCTCACCTCCAGAGCATATAAAAGACTACATGGTTTTCCTATCTGTTTAAACGTGTTTCTCTTTTGGATATAAATCGAGAGAAGAATCAAAAGTTGATTGAAAAATATTTTGTGTACTAGTACTGAAGATAAAGGTATGTTTGTACTATTATCAAGTGGCTCCCTAATGCCTTGTCTTGTTTGCCAAGAATACCAGTACATTTAATTTCAATGCATACAACTAAACAGACCAAAAACGTATTGAGTGTCCGCAACAAATACTTCGTCCAAAGAACAGAATGTTTGCAAGCAATGCGCGCAATTAGTTTGTCATTTCAAGCGCATGCAAACACTTTCTATGAAAGAAAACATATCCAGCGACATCGCACGTGCGGCAAATGCTGTGAATGACTAATTCGTGGTAGTTGAAATTTTTTAGTTACAGAAGTTGGAATAGTCAATAGCTATATATTCTCTTGTTGTTATGACTTGTTCGACGATAGTGTGACGAAAAAAAATGTACTTTAAAACCGCCCAATAGGGCATTGTGCTTTCGGATTTTAGGAAAAAAGTAGGATACTTGAGATAAATCGTTTTAAAGTCAGAGTTCACGCGTTCTGAACTTTTAGGGAAGCTCTTCGCTTTATTGCTAGAAATTGAGCTTTCATGTCTTAACTGAAGGAAATGTACGACTGATTTCGCCTTTCTATAAACTTATTATCGTCCTTATTTCGAGCCTTATTTGGTAGCTACAGCTTAGTGAGCTTACCAAAGGCAAAGAGACATATCATGGAGAAGTTTATTTAAATGCTGATTACTTAAGCGCTTTCCTTTTAGCGGGCTAAATGGTCAAAACGCGGTCATATCAGTTTAGAATACTTTGTTAAAAATAAAGCGATTAGACTGCTTTTCCAGTGCCAGGCAGATGTAAATACCGATTTACTTGAATGCAGAGTTCTTGAAATTCTCTCAGCCTAACCTAAATAATTGGCTATATATTGCCAGTAATCTGCTACCAAAATTCAACGACAACAGGACCCGCGGTTTGGTCGTTTTTAATATCGGGTTGATTTTGTATAGAATTAAGAGTTTTTTACTCTTATAAATCAAACGCAGTACATGAAAAGACTCTTGCAGTTTGAGTCTCAATGGCAGTTTGAGCATCATACAATTTTATATTGATAGTGAAATTTTTTATGTCTTGATGAAGAGTTGTCGAAAAGTGGATTTGCTTTGACCAATAATTACCAATATAACTATATAAAGTAAATATTATAAGTGTGAACACCTAAAAACAAACTTGTGGAGTGAAACTGCCAAGAGAAACTTAACAAATACGCAATGCAAGTGTGGTAAACTCTTTTTAAGGGATACTTAAGATGCAAGGTACAAGATTTTATATAGCTATACAAGTAAACCCTCTGGACTAAAGGCAAAGCTAAACACGTTTTTGGTCACACAAACTATATATATAGCACAATGATTTTGATCTCTGTTACACAGTTCTATATAATCAATTGCTTAAATTAACACATAAACAAAAGTTTATTTGAAAAGTTTCCACTTGTGGTAAAATTTTGTCCTTACATACAACTTAACTTGCTAATTGTTATTTCCCTCGTAAAATCATCTCCCAATCTAACAATCATTGTAAAGAACTAGCTAATGAATGGCGAGGCGTTGTACGAATCATTTCAGATATGAATCATATTCATGAATAAAAATAAAACGAACAGAGGATATACGGCCGATTTTCGTTTTTGTCTTAGCCGGACATGAATGAAATAAGAAACGTAGTCAACAAGTATTATTGTGAGTGAAGGGTGAAGTTTTCAAGACGGCTTTTCAAACTAAGCTTTAACCTTTCCAACGAATTAAGTGTCTTTGAAAAACATGTCAATTTTTGCTCTTGACCTCTTGGAATTTGTCCTCTAGCCAATTCTTATCCTGATGGTCCCGTGATTGGTTTCATACTTCAAAGTAGGAATTGTTGATTGATAAATATGTAAAACTTCCGCTTCTTTTACGGCACCGTTCTCTTCCTTCATGGAAATAATGGCGTGTTTTGCCACTGACCTGGAAATGTAACTGGATAATTTCCAATGTAAGCAAGTAGTAGCAGCGTCTTTGAACCGCAAGCAATAAACTTCTAACATATATATCCGGCTAGCTTTGGTTGGCTTTTTAATCTAACCTGAGCTCCGTAGTTAAAGTGAGTTGAAAAGTACAGAGCTTGGGGTACAATTTACCCCTATGCATTAATTTCTACTTGCCATCCCTGCCCATCCACACGCATCCTCGAGATCCTTCGACGTCAAACCCCGTACCTAAATCGTCCAGATTTAGATAAAAATGTTTTTGCCACAAAGCGATTTAAATTGCAGATAAAACAATGCAAACATATTTCATATCAGAGGCAAACATTTACATATAGTTGGTGTCACGTTAAACGTGTTTATCCATGTTTTATGTGATGCAATCAACACAAGCCCTGGTGAAAAATAATTTAAGAATCTTTCATTGTGTGCAGGTGTACCCTTTGTTTATTCCTGCGATAAAACATTATCTATGTATAGAGAAATTAATCAATTTCCATGCAGGAAACAGGTGGATGTTTTACATTTTTAAAAACATCTAATCACACAAATAATACATCGCTAACACATGATAGGTAAAAAAATCAGTCCCGTTAAATTCATTGTAGCAATTAAACATTACCGAACAAGTAGAACAACATCACTGTCACGAACATTTACATTACCTGAAGTATTAGCACTGAAACGCTGAAATAACAAACTACAAGTTTCAGGAATTTCTGGTAAGCTTTTTTGTTCCGTTTGTCAGTCTACGCAATGTTTGCTGTAATGCTGTTGTTGTAGCCGGTCTTATTTATAGTGAGAATTTATTGTCTTCCGTCGTATACATGGGACGACCGAAAAACGATTAATTATATATTTATAAAGCAAAAAGTATTGTGACAAATGTCCGATAACGTCTTCGCCAAAATGATGAAATTATTATTCTCGATTAGGGCTATTGATGGTCTATTTGTTTGCCAGTTTATACCTGTTGTTCTGGGTTATGCTTTCGGCATGAAAAATCAAGAAAAAGAGCATGGAAGCCAATGGAAGCCAAATAATAGTACTATTTTAATCATTTTTTTTCAATGACTATAATTTTCACAGTGATCTGTCGTAGTATCTGACGTTCGTGTCAATTCATACAGATAATTATTCATTTGATACTTATCGGAAAACACAAGCATAAAATTTCAATGCTATAATGAGAAAAACAATCACATGAACCTATATACTAGTCTTGTCAGCCTTAGCCTAGTGGGAATCGTGCCGTGTATAAACACAATGACATCAAACTTGATCCAAACTTATCGATAGATTTCGCGTATGCACACGCCCTCGCTTGTTGTGCTGGTTTTTTCTTCCCATAATATATGATTCAGGTTTGAAGTGCCATCCATTATTAGTCCATTTCCTTATCTTCGTGTTGGCATAGTGTTCTAGCAAAGCCCAAATATTAAATCAAATAGTCCTGTTGTTGTTGTTGTTGTCAAAACTAAAGCGAGAGATCGCCGTCGCTACAGACTGAGAGACACGTCTAAAACGCAATTTGAAGACTTTCAGTGCCAGTGGTAAGCGGATATATCTTTTAAAAACAATTTTTAAGACTAATTTTGTGAAACAGGCAGCTCTTAGCTGAAACTTGTAACATATTTTATATTTTCAAACATCAGAACTACCGTTACGTTAATTCATAATTAATTATACGCAAATTCTATAGCGGGTTTTTTCTCGAGAGAATTGAGCATTGTATTATCCCGACAAGCTCTACGCTAGAATATTTACTTAGCATGATGTTTAAAAAACCTAGTTTGACAAGGAATAAATTGTGTTTTCACCGGACATGAAATGCATCATTTCTTCATGCTTTATTAGTATTCCTTTTTACTGCAACGCGAATTACGGACTTTATCCTGTAAGTTAACTGCATGTTGCACTTTAGTTATCGTTATTCGTTAGGTATTTTTCTTTTAGCAAAACCTATACAGATATCAATATTGAATATGCACAGCATGAATATTATGAATATATACAGTTGTATATTAGTGTAACACTACGACTCAAGTCATTTAACATGAGTTGAACGGAAATTGTACGAAATATTTCAACTGTTGTTAAAGCAGTTGAAATACGGAAGTGGAGAAAACAGTCAATAGAGAAAATCTACGGGCGCTTTCCTTTATCACGGAAAAACGGCCAGACCGGTCCTTTTGTATTTCGGTACAGACAGATAACTGGTCAGATTTTAGAGTGTTTCGAGAACTCTGCATTCAAGTATATCGTTATTTACATCTGACTGGCACAGGAAATGCAGTTTCACCGCTATATTCTTAACGAAATACTCGATTTCAATTTAAAATATGACCGGTCTGACCATTTTGGCCGCTTAATGGAAGCGCCCTACGTTAGAAACACGTAGATTTAATGCAGGTGATACCGAAATGCAGGCCAGGGTTAGAGTAATTTTGTAAAACCTTTTTAGTATTCGCAAAATATAACGGCGCCATCTACCCCCAGCCAAGCATCCTGTATGCGAGTTACAGCTGCTTTTTTTCGCAACTACTTCTCTCCTGCGTGACTCAAACGCTGTGCACACGCAAACGCGTTAATGGTATAGATAATAAGGCATCTTAACCCACCATTAACATTTTGCTTTTAATGCAAGCGGTTGGCGAACGAGAAGCCTATGGCTATGTTTTACATGAGTCATGACTCCATGAATTATATTTATATGCACCAGTTCTGCTTAATGTTTTGTAATTGTCAGGGCTGTGGAAACATAATTTTAAAGCTGCAGGCTATTTTACATTTCCCTAATGCCGTATGCGACATAGACCCATGGAATACTAATCTATATTTCAATTTTCTTTTGATGCAAATGCCAGTCTTCATAAATAAGGGACTCACAAGCCACCTTGTTGGCCTTACAAGCCACCTTGTTTCCTTTCAAAAATGGCATTGAATGAATAAGGGGGATTGAATATTTGACCTGTATAATGCAGTTCGACTAGCGCCAATGGTATTGCGATATATGTATATCACTAATTTTAATTCAAGTTTTCAACATGCGTTTTGCATGTGTTTGTGTTTCAAATGTAAACATGTTTGATGAGTTGTAGATTTAATCTTGATAAATGTGTTTGAATTACGTGTTTGTCGCATTTGAATTCTAAGAGGCATATGCATTATGCATGATTCTTGTTTTTTGTAAATTAAATGGTTTTTATACTTTAGGGGCATCTCTTAATCAAAAGCATGAGTTTGAACGCACAAAAAAGAACCATAAAAAATTATACATCCCCCCGCCTTTCGTACTTCATGTATATATGCATATATGGCACTTTGTTCCTATTGCATGTCATACATCTACCAAACGCTTGCATGATAAACATTTCATGTCGTTTGTTTCATCTAATGAATATTTAAATACTAAAATGAAGTGTTTTCCTGTTCACGGTTGTTTTCAGTATGTCTCCTTGCGAGAACTTAGCGTTTTAGGCATTTCACCGCTGCAGCTGTTCCGTTGTACCCCGTGGTGATAGGGAAGAGCTATTCAGTGATATATAAATATGACTGAGTGAAGCATATTACAATTTATTTGCTGTTGCACAAACATCGAATGTGTTTATATGACGAGTGAACAGGCGAACGATTATCAGATTGCCGTACTTGTGCGTGATATAGTAGGCAAATTTGAAAAAAAAAACACTCCAGCTAAGGCCAGAGCCTAATATTTAAGGGTGAGTTATCATTAAATATTTTTGACGCGATTTGCTGATGTTTGTCTTGCTTATTAATCCTATAATCCTCGTGGGTCTCCTGCCATCACAACGTGTTGGCAATGATTTACATGAAGTTCTTTAAATTTCGTGCCGTTTTCCAGCATATAACAATATAAACATGTTTATGTGAATTTTTAATTGACACGCCGTTTTTCGTATGTCTCAGAATATGTCTCAGGTATTGTAATCTCAACTATCTTGTTAATCAGTTAACCATGAATATATTGTGCAAAAAGACTAGTTAACCTGAATATGCTTAGAAGGTATTCAGGTATGTGGGTGCATTTTTGCATGATGCTGATCGCTTGCGGTAGAAACATTTGATGGACCTATCATAATCGGTTAAACTGTCATGTTTCCAGAAGATAATCTTGGCATCAATAGAATATTTAACATATTTCGGTTTGCTTCGATACGGTCGCTTTAAAAATTGCTCATCGAATTTACACCAACTGAGCGCGCCTCAAAGTATTAACGTGCGCAAAATATACCTCAGCACGCGCATCGAATGGACGCGATCTTAACAAAATTCGTTCTAAAGAGGTTAATTTATATAGCATGCTTGCGAAGTTGGGAATCAAATTGAATTAAGAAAATAATGAGTAGAAATGACAATACTATTGTGTTTGCTTGCGGGTTTTTACTAATTTGTCCAATATTATTTGCAGTCATAACTCAATATTTGTTCAAAGCCATGTTTCTTTGACCTTTAGGTTTAATCATGTGAAGACTTGACCTATTTACGTAATAGCTGATACTAAGCTGCTAGTCACTGATAGACACAGACAATTGTCACGAACTTACCGTGTATAATAACTTGTGCATCTTAAAAAATAAAGTGTTGGAATACTGTGCATTCTTAGTGGCAAAGAGTCTTGTGTTGTTCTGGGAGTAGAAAGGCTTTTAAATCTTTAAAAAGGTATATATACATTATAGAATTCACTAGATCAAACAATAAATTCCGCCAAACTAGTCAGCTCATAGTTGGACTCCGGCGAACTATCAACGATAACTGTATTGTAATAGTCCGGTTTTGTTTGATATTTAACTATGATATATAACTGACATGATATATAGAACATTGAAAATATGACAGCGTTCATATATCTGTTATAGCCATGGCATATAGTCTGTTGGTAAAGATAAGTTACTGTAACAGAGAGATGCTTGAAATATGACCTGCAGCTCGTCATCTTGTTTACCAATGAGCTTGAATATTTTATAGAATGGGGCATTGTCTGCTGCTCTTTAAAAAAATTACCATGTTAGGTCCTGCTATATGTAGTTTCGATTTGAATATATCATGGTGTCAATCGAACGTTAATTAAGGAGGGCGATATTCATATATTCTGTTATGCCAGCCTGGTTTCTATTGAAAGTGAAATGGTTTTCAAAAGAAATTAGCCGTTCGAAGGCATAGCAGAATATATGAATATAGTCCCCCTCAATTACCGTTCGATTGACGCCAGTGGAGTATATGGTCGATAACTCAGCGACAAGAGGTGTGGTTATAAAAGAACAAACCTCGCGAGAATCATCCGTGGATAGTTCAGACACAAACCATACTTGTTGTAAAATGGCTATCCATTTTAAGTGTCTGTTTAGGTATGCGTAAACCAGTTACAAACACAGTAGCTTGTCGTAAAGAATATTACCTATCAGTCGGCCTACACATTTAAAACATTAACGTACTTGCAAAACATGTCATTACTTGCAAAAAAGAGTCACGATATATTTTGCTCAACAACTATAAGGAAAGGCATGAGTTTAATTCTCATCCTAAACAGATCACCCTTCGGAAATAATTTACACAGTGTTGATGGCCGTTGATTCTTCTTTAGATAGTATCAGGGTTCACAGAGTGTTATCATTACGAACCGATAACATTGTTCCTAGGTTATGCTGGAAACCATTATGCACCTTTTTAGCGAAAACATCACGCAACTGCTAATTTAAATAATTCGCGCTGTTTGTATAAAGTGTGAGATGTTTTATTCGCAAAATAACAGTGTTTGATCTTTTTTTTCATCGACCCTTGAGATATTTTAATTCTCTGAATAGTGTAATCGGACAAACATGTTAATTAAATGGTAAGTCTAATGACGAGAACGAAGACGGACAGGAATTCACCGCAAGCGAGAATTACATTAGGTGTTTGCGTGTGGTATTTATTGAGATACATTTCCGAGAATCTATATTTAGGCTTCATTGTTTTTCAGAACATATTTATCATCGGAAAGGATACACTATCCTGATTTCGTGAAATGTTTTGCATTCAATAAATGATGTAATGACTTCAGATGAATTCGATGCCCTCTAGGCATGTCATGCACGTACAAACAACATATTTTTCGAAGTATTTTCTATTAATGAAAGATAGTATCGGACTTTTGTTTACACTTATCTTTTAACCTAACCTTTACATTAAGGCTCCCTAATGTGTTCGGGATTGGAAATATGCAGTATCAGGTGTTTGCATAGGCGGCACGGGCATGCAGCACAAACACATTTCGTTATAGGGGCAGTCCTCTGTTGCCGTTTTTATGTTCATTTGACGTATGTGTTGACAATTATTTCGCGCATATCGTGTATTTGGGTTAGGGCTGTAATTTCCCCTGAGGTAATTATATTCCCGAGACGGGTCTGTCCATATGAATAAATCAGGATTGTGCGTTTTTGACGCGAGAAGTCAACATTAGACACTGGTCTTAGAAGGCACCATTATTGGACTCTGTGTGAACTGGAATAAGGATAAAAGTTTTCATGATCCCATCAAAAACACCACTAATATTCTGATTTTGGGCTTCAAAGATTGCGACTAAATAACCGTTTAGTCATCGTTCCAGTGTTTATAGAGTTCACTAGAAGGTTACTCGCCGCTATCTTGATTCCTGATTAGCTAAATGTGGTCACTATATAGCAAATCTTTATATAGTTTAGTGATAAACTAACCAAAACTGTAGCGTATTCTGAGTTTAATTCGCATCAATGGATTCTTAGGGGGATATTAGGCCATTATTTTACCATAAATGACCCCGAGGACCCGGGGTCTTCTATAAAAGTAACGGACGCGAATGTTTATAATACAACTCCTATTTTGATGCAAGAGGGAAGAACTACACCGCTTCAATGGACCATTTGCATAACAAAAAGAGAATTTTCGAAAAGGGCATACTAAACTTAGTAAAATTGCCAAGTATAGCTGCAAAATATTGTAAAGACTAAAGTACCGAAGATATAACCAAGCAAAGTTGGCAAATTATACTTTTCTACTATGGCCGGAAGAGTTAATTACACAGTTCCGCTCTTAATACAAAAAATATACAAAAATTGCCAACTTCACATGGCTATATTTTTCGTACTTGACTTTATATATTTGGCAACCAAACGTATAGCGGTTATACTAATTTTGGTGTGCTCTTTCTCGTCGTGTGGTGATTTACTTCCTTGTTATACTTATAGATCATAAGTTGGTCAATTATGCGAGTGGTCCAATATTTAGCTACTCTTATTTTTTTAGGTAAAAGTAAAGAGTGATTTTTTTTATTTCTATCATTTAGTTGAATCAGACAATGGCCTCTAATAATAGCATATGAAGATGGCACTTTACGTGTTGGAAACAAAAAACCTCTACATTGCCTCTGCGTTATATGTTCTAATATCCCTGATGAGTATCATTGGGAACAGTTTGGTCCTAGCTGCATATTTTAAAACATCCAAGATTCGTAATAATAGAACAAATTTCTTAATCGTGAGCCTGTCATGCGCTGATATGATTGCAGGCTGTTTTGCAATTCCACTGTACATGTACTTGATGCTGATTCAATTCAGAGGATATAATCAGAGTGCTGAATATTTTGTTTATCAGTTTACCGACGTATTTTCTATAACCGCATCTGTGTGGCATTTGGCCTTTATCAGTTTAGAAAGGTGAGTTTAAACTTATTAATAAGTATTTCAATATAGACCTAATATATCAAGCATTAGTCTGTTTTTGTCTGGTCCTAATAAAGCTGTCACTATTCTTTCTCTCAGAAACCATCTGCACATAATTCGGTGTATAATGGATATCATTTTTATCGGTATATAGGCGATGCAGTCAGCTACCTTCAGGCTTTCAAAATCACGACACTGAGTCTGAGTTCAGTGAGTTGACCACTGAATTAATATTAATGTTATTCATATTCTCCACATTTCAGATATTTTGCAATTATATGGCCAGTTATCCACCACGTGGCGACATCTACAACATGGTTCATTGCTATTGGAATATTATGGTTTATCTCCATTTTATCTGCGGGCCTATCGTTGGAGCTTTATAAGTTCAAAATGAAATACATCATTTACAATACCGCCTCTCTGTTCGGCCTGCCTGCGATCATCATTATCTTCTGCTATTTGTCTATAATGTACTCTACGATACGCCGCTCATATGTAACATCGAGGCAAACCTTTGAACGGGAACTCAAGGTGTCTCTAACTATATTCATTTTAATATTTCTGTTTATTATATGCTGGTGTCCATTTTTCACGGCTGCCTTAGTCAGCAGTAAATGCCATTGTATCTCACTGACAGTTGTGGTATACCTCAAAGCCTTGCATTTTGCTACCAGTTGTGTAAATCCTGTGGTCTATGCTGCTCGGATACCGGATTTTAGAAAAGCATTTACAAAAATCCTTCCCAAACAAATCGTAACGTTTGTTTTCTGTTTGCTGCACCCAAGATCTCGGGAAAGTCCGCCAGGACCTCGGGCACGCGCGTCAAGTACGTTGTCTTCCACGCTCGTGATGACTGATGGGGGAAGGCGAAGGGCAACCCTTTTGGAAAACAAGGGGGCAGTGGACCAACTACCCGTGGCCAAAGATAGTCCGATGGCTAGCAGTGTAACGTCAAACAAATGTGTCACATTCCTCTCTGATAGTCCGTCGTCATCCGCAACGGGAGTGGCCCAGTTAACGAAAGTGTAAAGTTCACTGATCTATAAACAAAGATGATGGCTGGATATTCCATGTGTTCGGTTCAGGAGTATGCTCCGTCAATTTCTAGTGGTTGGATCAAGTGATGAAGATAACATCTTCACTATTGATCGAGTGGTCTGATTGATAAGAAAAAAGTTGGCCACAAACAAGGACAAGTTAAATGACGTGCATGAACCCATGAGTTCACAAAACACGAGAACATGAAACAAGACATGAACATCTCTAAATATTGGCACAGAAGGGAGAACATGAAACAAGACATGAACATCTCTAAATATTGGCACAGAAGGTATCATGCTTTTACTAGACAATACAAACTTCAGCTCACGATTTATTATTTTTTGCCTTCGAGTAAAGGTTTTCTGTCGTGTTCCATTACTACGTAAACCCACTCACTGCAAAAAAGGAGCCTGCCGTTCTGTTAGGAAAAAAGATTTAGTGAAATCCTTGTATATTATGTATATTATGCAGTTAATGTTTACTGAAAACACAAAAAAGACTGAACTCTGAGTCCCTGTTTCCACGTACCTGGATAAGAGTGTTACGGTAGCGACCATTTACAATAGACCTTTCTCATAATGGCGTCAAGCGCGAAAAGTCCGATGTTACACGTAGTTTGATTGGATCGTTAGTTTTTGGGAGCCAATCAAACTTCGTGGAACATGAAGTATGAACACGTGGAGTATGACTTTGTAACGGCTGCGTGGAAATGGGACCTGGGTTCTGACTGATAATAGTAAATCTTAGATAGGATGGGAACTGTAAAATTGCTAAATATATTAAAGTATAGAATTATTTTAAAAAACTCTTGTCATCAAAGATATGTCTACAGGACTTGGTGTTTGGATGCTAAATAGGTATTCCCCACTAACTTTAGACGATATGTATGTTCGGCTGCTCACAGTCGTAACAAGTTTCACGAAATTTTTAATATTACGTACTACTGTCCGTATTTTTCGTCTGTTTCGACTATCGCATCTCTTCTCAGTGACCACCATGCGTCGTGTGTTAAGCTCAGTTTTAAGTTTTAAGCCTGGTTGTAAGCTATGCTGGTACGGATCACGGGTGGGTTGGGAAGCGGGTGTTCGGGTACAACTTGGACGGAGGTCCATTGCTTCGAATATAAGGTTAAGCGGACCCATGTTAGGTAAAAATAACTATGTATAATAATTTTTTTACAGTAAAATATTTGTAGTAAAAAATAGCCTCGGTTACGAGGCCACACTAGTGAAATCACGGTCAGACACCATGGATTGTACCATATATGGATTGTGATTGTTGATCTTATTCATCTATATAAGATAAAGTATTAGCAGATTTTAGTGATTTTTACCCCTAATTTGTCAATTTTTGTCATAAATGAACAATGAGTAATGAACTTCATTTTATGATTCCGTCAATTGAATCTCGACGAAATATGGTAAGTATTAACCTAATTGTATTATACTCACACTATTGACCTTTAGTTGTTTGTTTTATTATGTTTTTATGCTGAATAAGTTGCACGATCAATTACAAGAAAGCTTTATATATAACTCTATAAACACATCGATAAATCTGTAGAAATATTTTTTGATAGACTGACTATATAGATGGGGTTGTGCAGAAAATATTTGCGACGCATTTCTGAATTTAGTGAGGGCTTGTCATATATATTGAGAAATGGCAAATGTTTTGCAACCTTGTGAACTGCAATTGTTCATTAAGGCTGTCAAGTACCTTACCACCAGGTGATGATGCTACCTGTAGCAACCCTTCACTGTCTGACCTTTCTAGAGATATGAAACAGCCCCTTGACCCACCCATCAAGGCATCATCACATAGATTTCTCTTCCTACTGCTCCAATTCAGGCTTCCCTATCAACCTCTAGTTTTGATTTTAGAATGTTTTTCCATTGTGATAAATACAATCAATGCATATATGTATACTCTATAACCACTAGGCACCTGTAAACTGCATGCCCCATTGATTAAACATAAATGTTTTATGTGTAAACGAACAGTTATTTACATCCGTTTCACAGTAGTTGTAGTTGTAGTTAAGGTGAATTCAGTTGATTGTCACTTCCTAAACCTGGCCATGAGCACTTTCATGTGGTAGTGTAATTTAATTAGTGTAATTTGCCTCAACTGCAAAATATGTGAAATTCTTTTGCTGTTCTCAGATGCCAAATACAAACTTAAGTATATTGTGAAAGGAGGAAAGGAACATATTATGCATTGCAGTGACTGTTGCCCTAAAATGTAACATCACTGTTCATATATAGAATCCAGTTTGACAATCTTCTTTCCAAACTGGAAAATTTTGTTAATCCTATTACATTTCCGATATCTTTTAAACATGACTGATATATCCGGTGTCACATGGCCTACAATCAGCAGCTTTGTTCCAAGGGCTTTGCAGTTTGAAATATGCATTGCATTCAACAATTATTAAAGAGATCTGTGGCTAAGAGTGTGCGGGGCAGCGTGGTATGGTTCAACCTCTCAAGGCACACCAAGACACCCACTCTGTTCAGATGATTGGTTAAAAAGCTAAAAGCTTAAATGTTCACATACATATATAGCACAAAGTTATGAAAACCCAAAAAGAAATTTATAAAGATTGCTTGCAAAATAAATGTGAAACATATAGCCGGTGCAAAGTTGCAAATTTTGTATGAACTAGTATTATATTATCCATATTATCATATGGCATTGCCAATACATGTGTTGATTAGGACCGCATATGGTATAAATTGACCCGAGGTCACAAACTAGCTGCAGTAATAAGCTGTTGTGTAATCTGGATTTAAAAAGTAAGCAGTCAATTGCGCTCGGAAGTCTCAATCAGATTTCTATTAAATGTGATCAGATAAACAAGGAAATATCCGTTTTTCATTTAATTCTGATAATTCCTTTTTTAAGGGGGTAAGCTTGTTTATGTTCTTACTCTATCAACCATATAGTTGCCATAGCGACATCAACAAAAGATTAATTTAAGTGTCAATACAAATGAGACATATTAGTTCTGTTAGGAGCCTGTGGGGACGTTGGGACAGGGGGGGTCAGGGGCAGCTGCCCCTCTTGTTTTTAAGTTTTATGAGCCGGGGCAAGGGGGCAATGATGCCTTTTCATTTTAAGGGATTTCATTCTATATCTTAAGTGTGCACGTGAGGGTGCAACAAACGAGCTTCAAGTATAGAATAATCGTCTTGTGAAAATCTCGCTGATACCAAAATTATCTTGGAAAGAACACGATGAAACGAAGTTCAACAATAGTTTTAACAAACACCTCTAGTTTGCCCTTTCACGAAAATCTGTCACTTTAGCCCTCGTATCGCTCAACGTCCCTGGGGGTCTGAGGGTTCTGAGATATACAATAATGGGCAATGACTCTCCCAAAACATTTTTAAATTTACATCATACATATTATGCAGAAGAAACCGCATTCTTTTAGTGTCCTATCATCACTGACCAATCGGCAGTCTATCTTTGTTGTAACCAAGTGTCCAGAATATTATTCCGGTGTGATGACTGATGTTAAAAAACCTGTCCCTGGAAAAAAAAGTTACATAGGCATATTAAAAACTATTCCTTCAACAGGCCTAAATTATGGGGCCTTTCGTACTCCAACTTGTTCTCATTTGGGTCTTCTTTCATACATCTCATCAAACATTCTTTCTCATTGTAATAAACTCTGCTCTTCCGGGGCGTTCTCTTTTCTATTATATTTTGCCTTATCCCTAATTACCCCTATTTACGCTCATAAGCTCACCTCTCCAATACTTCCCTTCCCTAATTTTTTCCTAAATGTCCCGTGTATCTCTAATAGGACTCCTTTTTTAATAAGCCTCTCTAAGGAATAAAGGATACTAAATGGTTTTCCGTGCAGGATAGCGTGATACTGCACTTGGGATATTGCTCAACTGTTTCAAAATAACTACAATGAAACAACGGTCAAATTCAGTATTTGGGTTTTTTTTTCGACTTAGTGCTTTGTGCCTGAGCATTTGCGACTAACTTTTCAACATCATCTTCTGTGGTTGGAGCAGACTTCTTCATGTTTTAACTTGCCTATTGTTTACAACTTCACGTTTAAAATTGTCCGACATTTTAAAAATCCCTCGCAAAGTGGCATTGTAAACTTTCCGTGCGGGATTGTCTTATCCTGCATGCCTAGTAACCAATCAAATTGCGTGTTTCATTGTAGTTATTATATTATCTCTCTTCCCAAAAATATGAAAAATTTCTCTGCATGGCAACCGCCTCTTACAAAAACAAGTTCCTTGACAGCCAGACACGCATGAAAGAATCCTATAATAACTCTTGTGTGAGATTTACCGAATTAATAAGCTCATCCTCCTAAATAGCTCGTTTTTGTAGATCAGTTCAGTTCTCTTCAACTAGAAACTCTGATAATAGCCTGCCAGTGGTGGATCCACAAGAGGGGTGCAGGGGGGTGCAAAATTTGGTTAAGTGTTCGACTTTAGTATCTAAACTGTTGCATTATATGGTATTTCATGAAAAGTGTAGACATCTGTGAGATTGAAAATTGGTATGAATGATTGTAGCACTTTTATGAGGTCAAATTTCTCTTAAGATTGCCGTCAGAATGCTGCAAAAAGCATTTCACCAGGTCCTGGCCCTAAATGGATCGCACCTTATAAGCACTTGACTAGAGGTTTGCATCTTTGGTATGCATTGTCAAGTCAACCTGGTGCACCTTCCCCCTAAAATTCAGGGATGGAACCACCACTGAATCATACCATCCCTCCCACACTCACTCACTCACCTTGTCTTGACGATCTAGAGACTCGGAGTTTTTTCTTGAACCCTGCGAAACGTCGCAAAAATGACGCGTAACCGTTCCTAAAGTTCATATCCACCGCTCCGTAGATAATCGGATTTAGACACGAGTTAAGCCACTGAAAAAAGTACGAATACTTCACCAAAATATCGATGTAAGGATACGTGCCGCCAGAACCATAGTCTATCCAAATAAACAATACTTTCTCGGGAAGATAACACAGCGCGAAGCTTGCAACGACAATAACGAGAACTCTAACAGTCTTTTTTGTAATGTCTTTTTCATTAGGTCCGAAGCACTGAGCCTCTGAGGTTTTCAGTTCATACACAATTTTCAAATACGCTGACAAGATAACCACTAATGGCAGCAGGTAGGAAAAGATGAATAGAAACATTGTATACGCTTGCCGCTGTTCCTCGTTTGCCCACTGCTCAGCGCAGGGATATTTTTCCTGGATACGAGTCTTCGATATTTTCCCGCGCAACTGGTATACCACTAACTCAGGCGAAGCAGCCGCGAAACTAAGAATCCATACAAGGCCTAAGATCAAAAGAAGTTTGTTTCGTGTTAACCGTGGTTTGAATGGGTAGCACATAGACCAATATCGTTCGCATGTGAGCACCAAAAGGGTGAGAATCGATGCACATAAGCTTGCTACGAGTAGCGTGGGTATTAACTTGCAGAGGAAAGCTGAGAATGGCCAATCGCCGCTTTCGTTATATACAACGGTGAATGGGATGACAAAAAGCGCGACACTGAGATCTGCAATAGCGAGATTTAACAGGTAGTAGCCATAATAGTAAGTTTCGATACTGCGGAGTTTTCTTTTTTTTATAATGACCATGATCACTGACATATTACCAAGTACTGTTAGCACAAAGACGACAGCGTAAAGAGTAAGACGAATCACCATGGAAATATGAGGTTCTGCTGCCAGCCCTTCGCGGGTGTTATTCGTTGGTTGCAAAGTGTTTCGTATTTGTTGGCCCGACGGTGCTTCGAGTAACTGCATTTTCCGCTCAATTATCTGTTTCTAAACGTGTCAAATTGAACGCTTCCAGCTTCCACTTTACGATAATACCATTAGTTTATATAAACAGAGACGTCTCACTTGCTTGAAATTCAAAGATCGCGTGAAAATCACGTACTTCGAGACGAAACTTCAGTCAATACAGTTCAGCTGTATTTAAGAAGTCCGGCGTAATCTTGCAACACCGATATCTTCGTGTGAACTACGTGCCTGGTTGCGTCTCTCCTTGCTAAACCTTGCTCAATGGCGGTTCTTTCATGAAATGATTTCACTCTAATCTCCCGGCTATTTTCGATTTGTTTCATTCAAACTTTCAAGTACATTGAAAACCTTCCCTTTAGTTATTTACAGCTCGACGTTGCTAGGCTCTCAAACAAGTGAAATTACCCACATCATGCGTACAATATGGTATGGCCCGCCAGATGTTCTTATCTTATATTCTGATAATTCCACGGATAATTCAGATCGGTTTACGTATTTATCTTAATTCTCTGTATCGTCAGACGTCATTCCTTTTATTTTTGAATCATCATGAAGTAGCTTCGACAGTTTTTAAACAGATCGACTTCCGGTTCACGACATATTCCCCTGCAAAAGAGATACTGCTAATAGAAATTTTGCATAACTGCAACAGATGGTCCAGAATTCTAGATCTGACTTACTGTTTCACTTACCAAGGGCAAACTCTTATTCCACTTTCTCTGACGAAGGTTCTTTTAGGTTCAAAAGTCGAAACTTCTCCTAAATATACTTTGGACGATCTTTATTTTGGCGTCTGTTGACAAATGATTTCAGCCTTGATGTTCCGCGTTTCCTCTTTGCTCTCGTGTTCCAAACAATGGAATATTTGTCGATGACCGAGAAACAGGGCGGGGGGGTGTTCTTATTTCATCTCATGAAATGATTCGCTAAGCCTTACCAATTTATTTGTGCTTTAGCCAATTAAATTCCTATTTTGCGTGACATCTAGATTATGCCCCTATTTGTTAATGAATGCTTCTGCGGAAGGAAACTAATAAAATGTTAAATGAGTACTTATCCTCAAGCGTGACATCACCTTCTATTGTGCGTACTGCGCACGCAACTTTAATCCAAGTTCACACAGGTGTCAAGAATCGTCACGAATGACATTTTCGTGTGAAATAAACCACTGTCTTCAACGTTTTCACCACCTCAAATTGCTAAATTGGTTAAGTTAATAGATTCCAACCGTCAGACTGCATTTTTTCCAAGAGAAATCTGTAATCAGTATTGTTAGGTTAGTGTTATCGTTGTGGTTACTGTATTGCAATGACATTCTTAATAATCCATAAATCCTGTATGGGTATTATAATATTTAGCTGCCATTCTTGTACCAATGCCATATAAAGTCTGTTTGCTCAGACGAAGCCGCAAATGACAAGCGTATGTTTAATCATAATCATTAGCATAAATGTTAAGGATAATGTTGAGAGAATTAGCATATGATAAGGCCAATGCTGATGGTAAAAAAAGGTCTTACTCCCCTTGAATGGCACGATTAGGATTAGATTTATGGAAGTCAGCTTATTCCCGTACCTGGTCTTTGTGTTCACCGCTCTCGCTTTGTGAAGGAGGCCCACTGAAGAGGGTGGGAAGGGAGGGGAGGGAGGGTGAGTGTCCCGTGTTTGGAATTCATATTAAAGCATTGATAGAAATTTTGCCATACAGATCAAGATTGTTCATATCAATCCATACCACCCACACGTAAAAGGCTTATAAAGTAACGTTTCTTTTGCAAGAATTATTACGTAGGGATACAGGAATGTCTCGTGAATAGAGATAAGAAATTAAACAATTTGTTCAAATGGAGATGACGGCACTGTGTAAAAGTGTGATATCTCAGTATTATCATGATTCTCCTGGCTTTGGTGAATTAGGTTTAAATTGCATTTATTTCGACAATCGATACAAAATGCGCAGACGGCATCAATGCATGTCTTATTACTCTAAAATGCAAAAAATGCAATATTTTCACCAAATTGTGGCAACGCTACTTAGTGAAAAAGCTAGAGAGATGAGAGTTAACATAAAGGTTAAAGATGAGATAAAAGTTTTTATTTCAAAAGACTGAGAGAAATGGTTGAATTCTGATCGATGACCATCCAGAATAATACAGCAGATTGAGCATTTTACGGAGTTATAGGACAATATATGTTACTTATGGTTAAAATATTTTCTCACATAAAAAAGACCAGTCTACTATTTGTTGATGAGCACAAATTGTCGATGTCCTCCGTCCACTTTCCCGTGAAACGCTACGTCAATCACTTAACCTTTTCACCCAAGCAATTAGTTTGTGGTAAAGAACGGCCTGGCAACTGGGAGCGAAAGGACGAGCACGATCTTAGTGAATCCAAGCTGGAACATGTTGTAATAACAACGATAAACTTCTGGGGGCAGTTGTATTAAAGACTGGTTAACTTTTAACTGTAGTTAAGGACAGAATTGGCCGATCAGAGTCGTGTATTTCTGAGTTTAACTAGGGTTTAACTATGAAAAAATTTAGTTAAGGAGTTTCACATAATTGGCCCCAGAACTTGTCGGTGTTAACTGCAAACTTGTTGGAATAGAGCCAAGAAGTGGATAATATGAATTGGATAGATATCATATACTCCTTCGGGTTCCATAGGAATGTTTTGAAATAATTAAATTGATAACAATCACTAGGTTATGACGTCAACTATTTTAGACTAATGGCCGAGCATCCTCTTATTCAAAGAGGACGGAATCAAAAGACTTTTTGGAATCGATGAGAAGAAGTCGAAATATTTTTATATTAGTAACTTATCAATAGGGCACAAGCATGAACACAATGATTATCAACTCGTGACCTCAAGAGATTGTAAATGGATTATGGGCATGGCATAAAGTACGTTGGGATCCAAAACCTATGGATAGAGCAGACCTTCAAATAGGATTCCAGTCTGAAAAAGAGGAAGACCTCAAGACCAAGAGGTTGTCAGAGACGGTTGCATAGCTGGGGCCGGTTGTATTTAGCTTAAACGGTGGATAAGTCAAAATTAAATAACACTCTTACATCTCTCTTGAATGAGTCAACTTGAATATTATGCATTGAATATGTAGTTGCAATCTTGTAATCAGTGCCTTTGTATTGATGTTAAAAACATTTAGTTTGCTTGTTGAGTAAAACGATAGACTGGCTTTCTATTTTGAACTTAACCACCGTTTAAGCTAAACGGGCTTGATACAACCGGCCCCTGATGTATAGTAATTCATTTTACGTTGAGATATGTTTTGAATTTGCAACCAAAATCTTTAACACGATATTTTCAAGAACAGCGAAATTTAAAATCGCGAACCAACAAAATTTTCCTTAGTACAAAAATTTGTTAAGAGACGTTTTTCACAAACTAAGCCACCCTCTCAACTCCAAATTCTAATTGCATGTCAAAATGATATTGTTGAGTAGAAACGTTAAAAGTGTAAATGGATAAGATTATTTCTTTAGTGAGAGGGATCACGAGAGTTGATAAACCTCTTCCACTATTCTATTACTCTAAACAATGTTGTAAAGACAATGTTGTTGAGTTTGTTGAATCGTCTGTTACTGACAGAAAGAAGATTTTGAAGTGTTTGAATTCGCTCAATTTATCTCACTGAGATATCATTCTAATCTAAATATCTCGTGATCAAAATAAAGTTCACCTGGTTTATTCAAATGAAGAGATGAGCAGTTTATGTTGCACGCACATTCTCCGTCGTGGTAACAAAATCAAACTGGGGCTCATTTTTTCCCACCCAGAGCATGCATTTGTATTTGCAAAATGTTAAACCCCCCCCCCCTTCGTTTCATCAATCATAAACACCAACACTCAAATACTTCTGACAGATAGTGCAGGCATATTTCGACATATTTTCGATATTTTATTCTATAGTGTTGTATATATTTACATTATAGCAGTTAATATTTAGCTTAAACTGATCTGATAATTATGGTTGCGCCTATACTTTGCTAACGTGGCCGTTTTGGACCAAATGTTCTGACACGTGATCAGGTGAGATATCTGATGTTAAATCACCGAGCCCTAAAAGAAAAAACAATCATTGTTTTACTTTACATCCTCCCGACGCTCCTTTGCAGCCTCCTTCCAAAAATCCCTCCTTTCAATAGTGTGGTAAATGTCTTTCTCACTAAGTATCTCCAGTAAGCCTTCACGTTATATTTGCCTGAAACGCCAATGATCCCTGATAGGGCCCATCTCTCTAATTAACACCCCCTCTCTCTAATACGCGTGCTTGTCATATATGCCCTAATTCTTATTCCTTCTCTAATTTCTCTAATAACCTTATCCTCTCTCTAATAAGCCGTTATTAATGTCATATATATGCCCTAATCCACATTTCTGCTTTATCTGATGGGGTTCATCTCTCGAATTTTCTCTTATTCATCTTTCTAAATATCCTGTCATATCGTCATTAATCCTCATTCCTCCTCTCACAATAGGACCCATGTCTCCATGATCCCTCCTCCCCCTCTGAAAGAGTTTCCTGTCCCTTTCTGAAAGGCTTCATGCGCATGTTTCTATTTACTCACTGATGTTTACTTTCTATATCAATGTTCACATACATTCGTGAAATAATAACTCCTACACTCACCTAGACGTGATGACTTTGCCACACTGAGTCTTCTCTTAAAGTCAGCTCCGTACGTTTTAAACCCCGCACAATGACGCAACAATGACGCGTAAAAGTTCCTAAAGTTTATATCCACCGCTCCGTAGATGATCGGATTTAGACACGAGTTAAGCCACTGAAAAAAGTACGAATACTTCAACAGAATATCGATATAAGGATACTTTCCGCCAGAACCATAGTCTATCCAAATAAACAATACTTTCTCGGGAAGGTAGCAGAGGGCGAAGCTTGCTACGACGATTATCAGTACTTTAACTGTCTTCTTTATATGGTCTTTGTCATTTGGTCCGAAGCACTGAGTTCTTGAAGCTTGTAGTTCGTACACAATTCTCAAATACGCTGTCAATATGATAACTAATGGCAGCAAGTAGGAAAAGATGAATAAGAACATTGTGTACGCTTGTCGCTGTTCGTCATTTGCCCACTGCTCAGCGCAGGGATATTTCTCCTGAATTTGAGTTCCTGAGACTTTTTCTCGTAACTGGTATACGACTAACTCGGGCGAAGCAGCCGCGAAACTAAGAATCCACACAAGTCCTAGGATTATGAAAAGTTTGTTTCGTGTTAACCGTGGTTTGAATGGATAACATATCGACCAATATCGTTCGCATGTGAGCACCAAAAGGGTTAGAATCGATGCACATAAGCTTGCTACGAGTAGCGTGGGTATTAACTTGCAGAGGAAAGCTGAGAATGGCCAATCACCGCTTTCGTTATATACAACGGTGAATGGGATGACTAACAGCGCCACGCTGAGATCTGCAATCGCGAGATTCAGAAGGTAGTAGCCATAATAGTAAGTTTCGATACTGCGGAGTTTTCTGTTTTTTATAATGACCATGATCACCATTATGTTACCAAGTACTGTTAGCACGAAGACGACAGCGTAAAGTGTAAGACGAATCACCATGGAAATATGAGGTTCTGGGACAAGTCCTTTGCCTGTTTCATTCGTAGCCTGTGATGTGTTAGACATTGTTGACGTAGTTCGGATTTTTTTTCTCAAATGATTTAATTTCTCAAATGATTTAAATGATGAAACTCTTTAATTGTGAATTTGAGTTTGTTGTAATTATCGCTCGCGGATATTTAACTCTTCCGAAACCTGCTGTATTAATAAAAAAATGCTTCTGGCAAATCGCCTTCAAGAATTCTTCCAAAGAACACTGCTCTCTTAAGATTCTTTTCCCTCCTAAAGACTTTATACTTCCTCGAATCACAGAAGTTCCAACGCTAGGTTTCTATTTTAATGTCTATATTGTCTGGACTAATGTCTGGCGTGTTTATTGACCTAACTCACTTTGCATATCGCGTCTAAATGACAGTATGACAAATTAGCTGTGCAAACCACCCAATTGTTTCACGTGTCCCTGTTACTGACTCCTATTTCAAACGATAATTTTCCCCGAATCCCCTTGTGTTGTCTTGGAAATATTAGATATGTGTCCGCGTATTAGTCTTAGCCGAGTATTCTTGTTGAAGCACAACCTGTCAAATGACTTGCTTTTCTTATGACTTCTCCTAATATCCACCTGCAACGAATTTGATCTGTTTAATTCTTGCAAATTTGTGTCGAACGTGTGGGTGTATATTAGTTTAGGTTGTTCGAAGCGTGCATTCGAAGTGAATTCGCGAGGGCAGTTAATTAGATGTCCAAATTATCGTCTTTGTTATACCTGCTTTCGCGATAATTTTCAATTGAAGACTAAATTTGCTTTCCTGCTTCAATGAGTATAAGCCAATTTCTATGTCTATTGTTACGAGATATCTTCACAGCTTTTTACTACCGCGGAGAGAGTTCTCTTCTCGCTGTGTTAATTTTGCCTCCCTCGAGGTTTATCTCTGAGTATGTGTTTGATCTTATGATCCAAATCAAGTCAACGATTCTGTTAAATACGAACGCTTCCCTCGAGTCTTACGAGTACCGTCGAAATTACAGACTTGTATCTTGCGTTCTCCACAATCTTCAAAAGATTCATGAAACTATTCTTATCAAACTACAAAACAGCATTTAACGTCACGACTCTTTACTACAGTCACTCACGTATAAATTACGTGAGCATTGCAAATATCTTTCCAAAGCCCGCCGAAGGTAGCTATCAATGCGATAAACTTCAGTCCTGAACTCGCTCTTCCAGTTTTATATTCGCTTGTATAGTATCCTCTCCTTTGCTTTGTTTATGGACCACTTCTCATTCAAATGACTAATGCAGCGTTGGATGGACTCGGGCGGATATATAATGGCAATAGAACTCCAGAAACCTTTATCTCTTAATTTTGATAACCTAAAAGTTTATATTACGACGTAAACTTAACGACCTTTCCTTGTATGGCGACACCAGACTTCAAAAACCTTTCAAAATTACATTCACTGCGCGAGTCCTATAAAAGAATAAGGGAAACATTCAGTGGATAATGTGCTTTGTTTTCCTCACCACGGTGGACCTTATAAAATAAACGCAATGTTATCTTACATCTGTCAAAGTAAATTGCGATGAATCAATTAAGTGGCCGATTTTTAAACGTGTAGCTCAGTACTATACTCTAGTTTGTAGCTAAAAGGAATATATATATGTTACAAAATATATATATGTTACAAAATATTACAAAACAAATCTTGGTTTACAATTTTATAGAATATTTGTTGTTAAATCATACCTATTGGCGAACACAAAATGTTGATGTGTCCGCGAACCAATTTCTATTGAATTGCGAACTACTTAAAAGGATGAAACATGCACTAGGCACAATTCATTGCATGTGGTATATGCCTTTCTTCTGGCTCATGGTCAGCCTGTGGTTTCTGTTGTTTTATCTGATGAATTATTTTGTAATAAATCAACAAGTTTATGACCGCCAGTCATTAAGTATAAATAATATGTTTAAGTGAGATAACAAATTATGGTCAAGGCGGTGCCTCTCTAATGAAAATGATTTGTGAATGAAAAGATTTGTTTCGGATTATTAATAAGAAAAATGCTCTCGACACATGGATTTCACATGAGTACATTTGTTAATCGTCTCCTTCTAGTGGATACAGTGTTTTCGTGTTAAACTTTTAAGCAGTTGTATATATATGGCAAATTAACCACACATTTCATTATATCGATAATTTTAGCTTTCGTTGTGCTCTTGAAAACACACAAGGGTTATAATTTGAATACAAATTTTAATTGAACATGTTTACAAATGTTGCCTTGTGTTTGCATGGTAGCGTGCGTGCAAACCTTTTTAGTTCATGTGGATTTTAATTTGAAACTTTGTTATGTTTCACACTTTATATATGAAAACATTTACTGACATAACTACATGATATAGTGAATAATATCTCAATAAATTATTTACTTTTTCAACGTTGGCAATATGCGTACCAATTTAATGTATACTCAAATGAAATTAATTCATGTGAACTTTCATGCCGTATATATATATAATATAAACGTTAAGTCTCGTTCACACGATTCAACTTTGTCGGATCCAATTCACTTCTGATGGACGTTTTATAGTCTGTTGACTTGCAAAGTATGTGGGCTGTTGACTTGCTTAAATCAACTTAAACCAACGCAGTACTGCTGTTTGAATAACTGACTTTATTGCATACGTCAGAAGTGAATTGGATCCAACAAAATTGGATGTGAACCTTTAGGGTATATACTGCGGTATAGAGAAGACCGCAAGGTTTGTTCGCGCGATCCTATTTTGTTGGATCCAATTCACTTCTGACGGATGCTTTATCGTCTGTTGACTTGCGATGTTTATGAGCAGCGAATCAATCAACTTAAACCATGCAGAACTGCTTTATCGATAACTGACTACATTCCATAGGCATATAGAAGTCAGAAGTGATCCGACAATCGTGTGAACTGAACTTCATAAAAGATTCAAAATTCTCGCCCCATGCACTGTTCGGCTTATTACTGTTCGGCAATTTAATCAATTTTTCCTAGTTTATTTGCGGTCAGAATTCTTATCTTCATACTTCATAGATCATCTAAAATGATTTAATATCCTAAAGCCACCGCGTTTCAGAAGAGAGCATTTTTACGTTTTTAAATATGACCTATTTGCAGTTAAAACAAAGCTGAACAACGCGATTTACCGTCGCGTAAAAAATCAATGCAACTCATATATAAGCCTTGTATAATACGCCGACATCCAGCTGACTGAATTGTCCGAAAAATGTCGTGAAAAATTATGTGAGTTGTGGGGTAGATGCATGGAAGCAATCGGAGATGATTATATATACAGACAAAAAAAGCCGATCAACTTGGGGGCGAACATGCACCAGGGGGATGTCGCGGGGTGTGGGTGCATGTCACCGGTCCCACACCAGCATTTTCAAGCAAAGGTCGATCCCACGGGTCGCTCCTATATTCCATGCCACGTTGTATACTATATTCAAATATGGTCGGGATTCTAAGGCATAGATATATTTTTAATCCCGTTATAAATTTTGTCGATCAATTTTTTGTTTGTACAACAGGAGCAGAGGTAAAAAGACCCTGGGTACGAGGTTGTTTGTACAATTGTTTGCTTCGAAGGCAAATATTCAGGCCAACCCCTCTCCAGATATTCTTTGCATGTGTTGAACTTATATAGTGAGGTACAACAATTGTCTAATTCATGCATGTTTATATTATTTGTAATGTATGGAACTGTAGCTACTTATAGATTATTTGCAAATATACTATAGAAATTCTTTATACTGATTATAGTGCATTACACTTTATACAGATTATATTACAGATTATCCTTAGTAGTACAAATTATACTAAAATACTGATTTTAGTGCATCTAGATCTAGTAATAACTAGGACATAACATCTGTGTAGGTAGTCTAACTGCGAAAATAGACTTGTTTAGATTGTTCAAAGGTATTTACATCTGACATTCGCCAATAGGCTGATCTAATATACATGTACCGTGTCTCTCATGAGCTCATCTACAGATGACAAGCAGTATCGTTTGCTTTTTGGCAATAAAACATAACTATTCGGTGAAAATATATTACATTAATTCCTAAACTCGCTATTTTTGTTTCCAAGCTATAAACTGCTTTGTGTGCTCTGAAGTTAATTCTGAACTGAACTAACTACGCGTCTTTAAAAATATCAATGAGCCAAAATAAACAAGCTCTTAGCTATAAACTGGTGTCCCATCCATGCAACATAATAAGTTAGTATAATGAATGTTTATATATTTCTATACTGACAAAATATGCGATAAAGCTCTTTATTCAGTTTCCCCATAAAAATTAAATTCAAGGTTTATCAATTTTTCTGAATTCTATACTGCATGGCTATCAATGGTATCGTGTAACTAAGAATAACATATTCTTTTACAATCCTTAAGAATCGTGTCTTTTGTTGAATTCCGCCTACAATACGACTCACCCTGAGCCCCGCTGTTTCAAACCTTAAATCCAATTTTCTGACCCTGAGACATCCAGAAGTTTAAACAAATCCCCATGTTGCATGAATAAACTAAATAAACCTCCTTCGCAGCACTACATCAATTGAAGTATAACTTTCAACTCTCGCGATTCAGTGCTTGGCTCAGGTCACGGGATAAGAGGGACTTGGAAAACACAGACTCGACTGTAACCTTTGTTCCTAGTGAGAGCAGGTGGTGATCCTGGGAACGAACTTGACAATATTGACTCAGCTCTACTAGTATTAGTCAGCCTACAACAATTAGACCACTTTTAAAGATGGATCAAATACAAAAACATGAGTTGCCACTGCATTGTCTAACACCTGAGGAGATTCACGTGTACACACTTGAGGTTTGTACATGGTCGGATCACTTTAAGGCTGCTCACGTTTAATAACGCACTGTCTCTAGATAATCTAACCATGCTCAACTGAGAGATATTTAAGATAAAGTTAGTACGCGATTGAATCACTCCACAATCAAGAACATGTTTTCCTTCTGTATATGTTATAAACATGATTTACTGATAAGTATATGAACAATTCGTATTAATCTGACAACAAAAGAAGTATGTTATTGATTGAATTTAATAATTTGTCTCACATGCAGACATAAGAGAGTTCTGAGTCCTCTCTTCGTTACAACTCAAATTGTGTATGGCGTGTTGCTCACATTCATTTCACATGCAGCCAACTTTTATGCAGTTAATTTTTTGTCGCATTTCAACAACATATAAGAGTCGCACCGTAATTAGGTGTTAAGTCATTTCACGAACGTGATTTGATTTCAATATATTTATCAGGATCGGCAGATGTCTTATTTGGCGGTTAATTCGCGGTTCTGGAAATTAGATTAGCTAACTTAACATACAGAACTATAGCTTTTTTAGAAGAAAGCTTTTGCCAAAATCATCATATAGAGTATAGACCTTCGACAGTTGCATCACTTGTTACTGAGTTGTGTAGCGGTGAGCATCGTTTCTAAGCTGACTATAGCTCTTGAATTTATGAAGATATACAAAATATTCAATATTCTGGGCCAAATGAGATTCTTTAAGTAAAAAAAGCAGGAGTTGCCGGTTGCAATAAATAATGGAATTGTGATCAGAATTATAGTTCTGTGTGGCTTAATAAAGATGCGCTTTGAAGAAGCCTGAAAAACTAGCTAAGAATTTGCATTTCTGACATAAGAAGCGAGCTAGGGAGTAGGGGCCTGATTGGGGCATGTAATTGAGAATGTGTGACTTGTATTTCATTCCACACTGCTGGAAAACGATTTCAATAAATAGTGAAATTGTGTTCAGAATTATAGTTCTGTGTATAGCTTAATAAAGATGCGCTTTGAAAAAGCCTGAAAAACTAGCTAAAAATTTGCATTTCTGGCATAAGAAGAGAGCTAGGGCCTGATTGGGGCATTTGAGAATGTGTGACTTGTATTTCATTCCACACTGCTGGAAAACGATTGCCATGCACCAAAGTATTTCGTTGCGAAGTTCAAAAATCAATTTACAAAAACGTTCATAAACTCAATATTAGACTATACTTCGGTTTTTGTAGCCATTTATTTATTGAAACTCTAAAGTTCAGAGACCACGCATAGTCTATAATAACGATGTTTAGGATAATGTAGGGAATAAGAGGCTAACTTGGACTATATCAAATGCATGAACAAAGTATAATGCGATACATAGATCACTGTATCACTGTTTTTAATGTACATTTAACCATACGATGTACTATTTTATAAAACGGCGGGGTATTTCCCAGTGCGCGGACGTGAAAATTCCATGAGGATTCTCCCTAAAACTTCACTAAACATTACTGAGGTTGCAATAATATATACATCATGTTGTAATAGATGCAGATACTTACAACTATCAGAGAACAGCGAACAAAGTCAGCGTGAGTTGTCTCTTGCACGAAATCCAACCTTTAACTGCATTAACTTCGCATAAACGTGTAGCGATATACTTAATATGCGAGTGTAAAGTTGCTAATTATCCAGATGGCGAAGTATTTTCATTAAAGCTTGCTCCTATTGAGAAGTAGTCACAGTTGGGTATCGAATGATGTTCCTGCTAAATGCCCGAAATATGTAATGATTAATGTGAATTGTAGATTCACACTGTAACATAATACATGCTACTATTCCTGGCAACATGCAATTCACAAAAAAAATTATTCCCAGATAAAGATAGGTAAAGCGATCCAGAGAGAATATTACTATTATTTATCGCATATATTTCCTTTTAATGCTCTCAAATTCGCTATAAACCTTCTTTTTTCTATTTATAGTGTATATCTCAGAAGCGCGAAAAGCTCACAATGAGCTCACGAAAAGCTCACAAAAGCTCACACTGCCTCGTTTGTGCCCAGCCTGGTAATTCAAGTCTAAACCTCAAACTATAAGCCTGCAAAGGATGATGGAACAACTCTTATTCGCTTAGCGCCTTCATAGCAAGTAACCCGGTCTCTTGTGGGTCATTCTACGAACCTAAACGTGCTATAAACAATATCCCTTTAGCTGTCGAGGTTTTAGGGGAAAAAACTATTTTTTGTTACCTAAAGCCAATCCTATTTTGTCGTTTATCGTTAGTATAATTAATTTCTTAAACAAACGTGACCTCCCATTGATAGAAATTGCGAAACATGGCCGTTCAATGTAGTTCAAACAGCGAAGATTCTTAGTTACATTGCAGCTGTTACCTGTTTTAAGACCCCACAAATAGGTTCTGTAAAAAATGAAAAAATCAGCCATTGAATGCCAAGTTCATTGGCTAGAATGTTACGCTTTCAGTGGATTCAGATATAACAATTCCTATACGCGCTGAAACCGACGCGTTATTTCTCTGAACGCACAAAATGCAAATCAGTCTGCTCTCTCTATATATATATATCAAAGAATTATGCTGCGATTTTATGTGCGATTTTCTTCTTTTGATAGATTTAAATAAGTGAAACAGTTACTGATGTTCAAATAAGAGCTCTTATACATATAGCATTCGTAACTAATTACTCGTTCGCATCTATCAAAAGAAGAAAATCACACATACAAATGTGACACTTTGAATTTCATTCTGAACAAAATTGAATGAAGATTGTGGCGTACGCCCTCTTTTGCATTCTTCAATTGAATGACAATTGCATGATAATTATCGTGTAGTCTAAATAGGCCTTCAAGGAACTCTTCCTCTGCAAAATAATGGTGTGATCTTCCTTTAAATTCTAACGTGCTACGAATTTTGCTGGTTGTTACAAGCGAGTACATAAAGCATACAAGCAAGACTCCGATTTCCTTTGCAATTAACTATCGCTGCCTTAGAGGAAAAATGGCCAATCGGCAAATGCCGTAAGTCTATCAGATTAACCAATCACAAGTGCATTAGGTCAGGGAAGAGTCCTGCTATTAGTAGAAGAAAAGCCAAATCTGAACCTCGCTGGAGTCGCAAAGTTGACGAGCGTGGAAGGACGTATATCTCATGCAAGACTTTCCGGGAAACTCATAAGACGGAAAATTCACGAGACGGAAAACTCATATAAGACGGAAAACTCATAAGACGGAAAATTCATGAGACGGAAAACTCATGCATATAAGACGGAAAACTCATAAAAGACGGAAAACTCATAAGACGAAAAACTCATATAAGACGGAAAACTCATAAAAGACGGAAAACTCATAAAAGACGGAAAACTTCGATAAGACGGGAAACTTGTCTGACGTGAATCCTGTCACAGACAGGTTTCTCGTCCGAATTGTTTAAGTTGGACGGAAATTCCGTCTGGACGAGAAACTCGTCTTAAATTCGCATTTAAACAGATAAATCAGACGATTTTCTGTCTCAACACAGCCAAGGACGGAACAAGAAGAAATAAAATGATTATCGTCATATGTTACGAGAACTTTTTTAGCATTACCCCACCCATAATAGCTATATATACGTATAAATTTATCCGTTTATCAACTTTCCCGCGTCTAAGATGAGTTTCCCGTCTCTAATATGAATTCACGATGCAGCTATTGTATCCACCTGATTCACATAGGTTAAAAGTTGTATTGCAATGGGGTGTGTATTTCAATACCTCCTACACAATGCACAAGTTACAAAAACAATTGATCTTTGCCAAGGCTAAAAGTGTTGACTAAGTAAGGGTATGGGAACGATATATTTTTAATTTCACTTAGTCGGCTCTATTGTTATCAATCGTGAAAGAATTAAAATGCATTAAACGTGATGATTTATAAGAACGATGATAACAGGTAAAATTTATTTTTCCGCACCACAAAAAATGTGTTCGTATCGCGCACTGCCACTGACCGACGGGAATAATGAATCAATTATTGATGGTATACGATACTAATTGATAAACTATTTCACATGCATCAATGATATCTATATATACATGGTATAGTTAGTTATTTGTTTGGTATAATATATGTTTGAAGATATATGGTTATGCATGCATTGAGGGTTTCAGAAAATGTCAGAAAATCCTAAAACTTTCTCCTTCTATGAATATAGCCAAAGTTCCTCTGGGTTTTCCCTAGCGAAAATTCACTCACGAACTGACACACCATGCACGCAGTACTCGGCAATTTTGACAGCTATACATTATTTGTATACACACAGACATTTTACTGAGACTGGGGATATATAAACGGCATTTAGTATTAGCATCAGTTTTTGAAATGCACATGGACTCCAACTAACACTCGCCGTGTTATATAGATGAATTTGGCGTTTAAAAGAGCATCAAATTATATTTATAATGTAGTAATTTCCGACGCAACAAGGTATATACTAATATACAGCCTCTCATGCAGACTCTGTGTAAGTGTAAAAATATTTATCAATAAACACAGATTGTTATCCAAATAAATATTTGTTCATAAGATAAACTTCAGTTACCATCACTCACTTCTACTCAACAACATTTATGATTAATGCATTAGAACTCCTGCATGCGCTGCCTCTCTCCCCCTCTCTCTCTGTGACAAGGCAAATATACAAGGATGCTGCATGGAACTGATATAATTATAATCGTGCAACAATATCAATTGTGATTGAGTCTATTCAGATAAAACTTTGAATATACTAACGTGTCCCTAATTACCTTTGAAAATTCTAAGTCATTACAGCTAGTACCTACGATTTGAACATCATGCTGATTGAATTTATTGATGCTCTTTGTAGGACGTAGTTGAATCAATTTACTATAGTGAGGTTACAAAGAGGGGTATCGTTAATAATATATTTTCATGGAAATCAACACGATATTAGTTATTTGGTAGAAATAAGTACGTCATAATTACTCAGTAATAACTGAAAATTTATATATTCTTGTTAGCCAATTCATGCTATAGTAACTGTTTTGTGGTATTTTATAAGCTGTCATAATTTTGAGTGCGAACTGAAACTAAGCCGTTTAATTGGACGGTCGTGATGTAGATGTATCAGCTATGTAGCAGGTAGCTATAAGAAAGGCAGTAATATATAATCGCTGTTTTCCTTGAGTATTTTTCATTCGTGCGAGTGTGTACTAAATTATTCATAAGTATTTGGTCTGATTATATATACATGGTTTTGAGAAACAGTATTTTGGTTGAAGAATTTTGCGAAATGCGAGTGCGAAACTAAGCAGTTTAATTGGATGTCGTGATGTGGATATATCATGCATGTAGGTGCTATAAGAAAGCTAGGCAGTAATATAATCGCTGTTTTTCTTGAGTATTTTTCATTCGTGCAAGTAGTGCATGTGTGGCTAAATTATTCACAAAAATCAAGTAATTTGGTCTGATTATATACATGGATTTTCAGAAACAGTATTTTGGTTGTGTGGGATTAATATTCAAGTATTGGCTTTCACGTTATAAATAGCACTTTCATCCATAAACAATTCGAGTACAACAGATGCAGAACTGAAAAATTAATATATACAATTGGGTTTCTCATTCTATCCTCTATATAGATAACTAAAGAGTCATGCATGTACAAATATTGGACTATAAACTTAAAATTACGTTCATTTGAACAAATTTTCCCGTTTGCATTCCTTACAGTTATACGCACGTATACGCGCGCCATTTAAATAAAGCCTTTATTATTAAAGGGGTTTTTAATCTGTCAGTGCATGTCAATGCAAAGAATTTGGATTAGTTAGGATTATACAAAGACTGCATGGAGAATTTATTTCAAGATTATTTATTCAAAACTTCAAGGATTATAACTTATGTTTATGAGATTGAGATTTGATTTATTAGCTACATGAAATCTTCAAAATTGATTCACTGCATTTAAGAATTTCTGAAGAAAGTTCAAAGGAAATGTGAAAAAACACAATTTTTGTAGTTCCTCGCAGCATATATTAAATTCTTTAGGTAAGCCTTGGGGTATTTTTGAAGAACTATAGTTCGTTTTTGTGACGTATAAAACACCCAGCTCCTGCTGTGAAATTGACTGTCTGAAATATGCCATCGACAAGTGATACTGCATGCCCCATCATTTATGGTCAAACTACTTATTTTAATTTTACTATCGCGACACCATTATCATTGATTTCACTTGTTCCCTCGTTTGCAGCTCTCTAACAGTGTGTGCTGTTCTCTCTCAAAAGATTCCTAAAATATTTAACGTTGTACCAAACATGTTTTGAGGTATATAAATAATGCTGATCATCATTTTACTTGAGTTTTTGTTGTTGACATATAGACTTATAGCGGTTTATAATTATCGGCGTCAGGCTGCTGTGTGATCGGCCGTAGTAAAATCATTGATAGCTATATATACAGGTTGAAAATTATGATCTTAATTTTTAAAATTTGGCGCATGCATAAAAAAATAATTAACATATACATCTGAGTTATACTCAACAAACCTTTATGTAAAGTTCTCTTTATAATATAGACTGTCTCAAGCCCATATTCCTTCAGCTGATACCATTTTCTGTTTCATCATCACCCCTGTTCATTTTATACTATCTCCCGAGATAATAATCACATGTCTTACTTATATATCTATACCTTCATGCAAAACAGCCTACGTAAACACTTATATATTACTTAAAGCAATACTTTAGTGCATGCTACGTAAGAAATCATCTTTATATATGGGAGGACGCCTCATTATACTCTCTTCATTAACTTCGTTATATTGACTGGATCGCAGTTCTGGAGGGTGGAGACCGGAAACTAAGACTACGCCACCTCATGCACACTAAGCGGAATTTTTCGATCGAACGAAATTTTTTCCTTTATTTTCTTTTCAATTGTGAGAATTCGACCGTAGCGGTTGCCTTCACCGTTCGCAATTGAAAAGAAAATCGAGCGAAAAAATTCGTTCGGTCGAAAAATTCCGCCCAGTGGAAAACCGCCCTTAGCCTTATCCTTCCCAAGCTTTATCGTCGAATACATCGATGTATAAATATATTCAATTTTATAGAAGAGCAATCCATTTGCAACTTCATATTCAGTCGTTATAAACAAGATATGTAAGCTCTTTAGATAAATTTGATCATAACTGCACGCTAAAGAACGTCGAGAACTTTTTTGAAAATATGTTACCTTTTGAAATAATGAAATTTGGCTATGATTGCTGGAAACAGCGGCCTAAATTACGGCCCCATATTATATACATGCTCGTGTATATTTTGTTATGTCAGTTTACCAACTTATACCCACTGCATGGATCGAACAGTATATATGCTTAGATAATAGAATAGTTCATTTTGGGGATTTTTCTGTGAACTTCAGGGTGTTCAGTTGGCAGGCTTTTTTTTTTGGATTACCGCAGGCTTTGAGTGGGATTTTGCGCGCAGCAAAGGAGTCACCATGATATAGGAATTTGGCAGGTAGTTGAAGTAGTTGCGTTTTAAGCTCTTTTTTGACCTCGGTTGGCGTATACTGAATTTTTTTAGAGAATGCCTTTATTCTGTCGGTGTCATGGTATAGACATGCATGCGATCTTAATTGGCATATACTATCACTAGTTATACTAGACTACTATTATGGTTTGAGTGGTAGTGTATAGTCCACAAGGAAGAATGCCTGAACCTTTTCTTTTCGGGGCTGGTTGAAGAACTAGCTATATATTTTGTCTCGATGAAGCCGCAAGTTACAAAACACTTAAAACTGACCTCTGTATATATACATTTCGTACGAGTTTCTCTGTTCAAAACTTTTGTCGTCTATCTATATATAAACTCGTAACACTATGCTATATAAACATGCATATAAGAATCCTAGACATTTCTAGACCAAATATACGTCAACGAATACTATTTGACGACTATTGGATTTACAAGAATTTTCAGTTTATACTTCGTGACCAAAATCGGCTTATTTATACCACGCAAAGCCTCTTTTACGTCTGATAGTCCGTATATGACTGACTGACGGCGTCGGATTCCAATTCATAGTCCGCATTTTACTCCATCTTGGTTAACTGAATATAATTATACATTGCCTTTTATGCGTGCAACCTTTAATCTTCCCGGTTAATTTTCGCATTTTCTTGTATATTAATTGTGGCGATTGTTTTGACTGCATTGGCGTGCGTTTATTTAAATCTTACAATAATCATTTGCCACTATGTTGATTGAATGTTGTGTTTCTGGCTATAGGTTTCATCTAGAATACCTTATGGAGGTTTTCATGCTATTCATGATGCTTAGAATTCCATAATTATTTTCAGGGAGATTTTTCTTTGTATAAAACCAGGTTCGCCGCGCACATTCTAAGAGCCTGAGGTGCATGGTAGCTATATATGTCCATGCAGGAAGTGGGTGGTGTATGTACGTACGTGCTGGAAAAACTTACAAAGACTGACCGTGTAGACTAAAGACTCTTTTCCACTCATCGCAAAATCAACTCGCAAGCTCGCTGCGAGTGTTTGCATCTAATTAAATAAACTGTCAAGCCTCTCAAGCATTGTAATTGGACAAAATTACTCGCAACGGGCCGTTAACGGGCTTGCGAGTTAGTTTTTGCGATGAGTGAGTGAGTGAGTTAGAGGCTTAAGCTAAGTTAGCTAACTTAGCTTACTCCATTGAAGCAATGCGGAAAGACTGAAACGGAAAGGCTCTTCCTGTTTGCAATGGCACTCTGTGTGTCGAGTTTGTTTGCTATGTCTGTTAAAGGACTCGCTAAAATCTACAAGTAAAATATTTTTTTAAGTGCGCCGCCCCTGAATGCCTGAATCAACGCCGCAATCGAAGTTCTGAAGAGCGCCGCGCTCAAACAGTAAATACGTTAATGAATAATTTTTTAAGACAAGAGCGCGGCTTAGCTATAAACATCTTCAATTATCTCTTTAATAATAAATTTGCTTCATGAAACAAGTTCTACTTCGGGTTGTCTGAATAAGGAAAAGCATAAGTTAATTGCTCTATATAATAGCCGCTGATTATATTGTAGCTATATGAGTCTGTATACCTGATCCATACCTAGCGGAGTGTCTTATATTGCTACCATATACTACCACAAAATAAGTGTACAGGTTTTATGCATAAAAGATGTCATGACAGAACCCATTTAAGGACATACATGGATAACCTCTTGACATTATACTATATATATTGAACCAACAGCTAAACGAATAACTGCAGGTGCACTTTTTGAGGAGGCTAGTTTTCATATATCGTAATTTATCGGCGATACATAAAATGCTTTGTCTATCCGAAAAAATTATCTACTCTATTAATCATGCACCGACAATCGATCGTATTTCTAAAACATCTATAATGAGTTACCATATATGAAAACCATGCAGGCTTAGGATAAAATCATATGATGTTACTACGCGTTCTATAGTCCGGCACTTTTGACTATTATTGTCGGCTACTATATTATAGTACAATATAGGAGTTCACAATCGAGAACACTGATGGAGTTATCCAGTATAAACAGAACTTTATCTTTCTATTGAGAAAAAATACGCACACGTACATATGGGTTATATATGCGTGTTTTGATATATAGGCTTTCCTGGGCTGGCAAAACTAGGTCTAGGGTTATAGGCTGGGCCGGTTTAGGCCAGAAACGCCATGCAGTGTTGTAAACTCGACTCAAGACTTTAGTTTAAAATAAGACTTTAGTTTAAAATAAGCAAAATTGCCTTTGGTGTGCTATATTATAGCGCGGACGTAATGAAGAAGTGAGTGACAAACGCTGGCCTTGCCATAAACACCTCTAACGATTCTTTTAATTTGCTCCACAGTATGTCTCGCTGCGATACTATATAATAGATTATATATATAATATACTATTATTTAATAGATTATATATGTCGAAATAGATCTCCCTTAATTTTAAGCATGCAAGCCTTCGTCAAAGAACTTGTGTAACATACTGGCATATATATATATATATATATATATATATATATAATTATATATATATATATATATATATATATATATATATATATATATAGCTCAACTGCATGATCTATAATATTGCATGCATGACCATGATTCATGTTTACCGTAGAACGACTTATATAGTTTTAAATCACATCTTTCTATACATTATGTACGACCGCATTTTATGATAAACTGACACTTTTTAAAAACGTGCACATGCAATTACGCATGGTGTACAATGTAATACTGGCAAAAACGACTGCACTACATGAGAGTGCCTTCAGCACTGGGTTACCCTAACTCATCATAATTTATGAACCCAATTATTGCAAACCATATATGCCATGCAGTATATTGGCCTCTTCAAAACATCAGATATTTTTACTGGTATTGAAAAATATTCCTGCGTTTTTCAGCGCGGTGATGTATTCATGTGTGCATTGTGTATATGCATGCATATGTTGTGCTTGAGGAATATTGATATAAACAGGTTATAATTAATGTGGTGATAATCACGACATGACATCTAATTACAACCAAATTGAAATTTAGATTCTCAATTAATATTTTGAAATAACGATATCTACATCAGCTCTGTGGCTGCTCATACTGTAGTAGAGATGGCCGCTAAATATAGTGTACAAATAATAGACTGATGTGAGAGAAACCTCTTGTATGTAAAACCAACATTTGAGCTTTGAAACAAGATACAAGTTTACGGTGGTATTTCGACTAAAATTCAAGGTCATTGCCAGACCTTTCTGGTTTGGCCACGGAGATTTGACACAGCAAGGCGGAAAATTATAGTTTCTTTGCCGCCAAAACTCGCATGAACTTTCTACTGTTAATACTTTTAAGGTGATAGATAGCATATATATGTTTCAAGAATTATATTAGAAAGGAAGCGAATTAGTTTTAGAAACGAATTTTTGCGATTCTTTTAAATCCTGATGGTTGGCCGTCCACATAATGGAGGTAAAAATTGATATCAGTAAAACATTATTTCGGGCTGCCCGTTGGCTGGGAGCGGCCGGCGTATACTACTTCTGGCAATGCATTTTTGTCGCAGTTATTAAATACTGTCATGAAAAGTCGTAGTATTGTATATGACGCTATAATTTAAGTTCACATACCCTAGCTTACGTCCTTTATTTGTAGTCTTTCATGCCGTTACCAATTTTCTGATTTTACTATAAAAATAGAATAAGAAACACCGCCACATTACATTTTTTCAATACTTTTTTCAGTGTTCATTGTAAAAAATATTCGATAGAACAATGGACCTTTTCAGCTTGTATTTCAAATTAACCCATTTCAAATCACATGGTCTGAAATTGTTATGTGCTATTGGCTATTCCATGGTCGCAACATCTGAAGTGGGTTAATTTGCATGCAAGCTTAAATGGTCTATATATCGATCTAAACTTATGAGTTATGTTTGAAAAACCAGTCTCTGTTGATAGATACATGCATAAGTTAAGTGGTATGTTTTCTTGGCAGGAATACATCTACAATAGATAGCTACTATTATTTCTTTATGTGAATCATTATGAGTTCTGTTATTGAATATGCAGGTCGGTATTATATAGTTATCCTTTTATTTTCATTCCATCGTCTGATACTCTTCCTCCACATGCAGGTTTGTGAAGAATATCCTATATTTATTGCGATGAAATCCGGGCGTTATCAATCCAGCTTTACCATCGCTTAACTATGTATAATGGAACGTATATGTATTTGTTCAAAACGACAAATACGACATATTCTTACTCCAAATATTACTGTTAAATACACATAGTTTGCACTTTGCAGAGCTTGAATAAAGAAGTGGTTTAGGTATTTCGTGCTATCAATTCCGTTATCTGTATAGTATTAGTTGTAAATCATCCCCATTTTCTTTGTGCCATTACTTAATCTTTGAATCGAACTTATCGCCAAATCAAAAAAGTTCGTGCACCTGTTTTTTTGCATGGGACAGATGAGTGGATACGCGCGGATAACCAGATGTTACTGTTTAATGCCCAACTATTCATATACTGCATCGGTGAAAACAATTTACCGGTCATATATACATGAATTATGACTTTGTCTCCAAATCTAACATAGTCATCTTTTATTATCATTTCGCTATCTGTTTTTGTATGTTTTTTTCATCTCACGACAAAATCTTCCCCCTGCCTCACCTGCTCAGCAAGGTGCATTTCTGTGGGTTTGCGAGATTTTAATCACAGATATGGCAGATTGCTTCAAAATGATCAGGGTGGCCTTCTAGTATATTCTTCTGTCGAACGCAACCTTAAATTAAGCATCACGGAATCTCGCAAGCTACTGAAGATGCAACCTCGTACCCAGGGTCTTTACTCGTGGGGTGAAGAATGCAGAGGTCGAAGAAAAACCGGTTTATGTAGTCGAATAATATAGTCCTGTGTTGTTGAGTTCACTGTGTTGTTTTCACGAAAAATAGGCTTGTATATCGCAGGCTCATGTTTCCTAATAAGGCTAGAGCGTGGGTTAGGGGTCATACATCACAAAGAAGCCATGCATGTATAACGTTGACTGGGATACGAAAATCCTTACGACTGGTGAACAGATAGACTTATAGGTTTAGTGAGCATGCAATTCTATAGACAAGTCGTTCAAACGCCAATCATTCAAGCTGTATGATCGACCGTTTCGAAGCTTTAGACTAAAAAAATCTAAATCTAATAATAAAATCTAGGTAATCTGTCTGTACTGAAGTACAACAGGATCGATCAGGCTGTTTTCACAGTGTAAAAAAAAGCGCCCTTTATCATCGTAATTTTTCCAGAGAACTCTACACGGGACTCATGTACGTCTGCATCAAGTGTGAGGTTATCGTTTAGTGTTGTTATAATTCGTTAATATTCAGTAAAAAAAGTTTGCGTCCTATGTAAATCTAGTAACACGCAGTAGTGATGGTAAAAAATGTGTTTTTTTAGAAAGGATTAGTTATTTAACTCAACTTCAAAATGATTTTTATCTGAACCGAAATTATGTTTTTCTTAAATGGGAATACTTTTTCTTCCATGCACTTTATAGCTTGGCTTAGTCATGTCAAATTAAATTCTCCGATTTTCTTCCTATGATATAAATCGATAAATCTGCACGCATAATCTACCGTTGGCTAGCTATTAACTCTTGGGGAAAAAGTTGGCTGCAAAGAAATTTACATAAATATATTCAAGTTAATAAACAGCCAGTTTGAAGTTTGAAAGTATGAATCAGTTGTATAGAATCCCATGAAGGGTGTATTTTGTAATTCGATATACATTCTTGTTTGTTCGAATCACAAATTGTCATAAATTATGATTTATGTAATTAATATACAATTAGAACGTTTTCTGCATTGAAAGTTTGAAGATTTGTTGCTTCATTTCAAAGCACCACCGGCGATTTTCTTTGATATAATGCACTAATGTCTGCGGTTGTTTGCGATGTATATATATAAATTGTGATATGCTGTATTATGGAATATTTGCAGGCCGATATGTTTCAATCAATAGACATGCAATTTACATGAAACCGATGCAAATATATCTTCATCGCAAAAAATCTACTCAAATTAGTATAATTGCAGTGTTCTCTACAGCAAAATGTTTAACAATACGGGAAAATATATCCTTCCTTGTGTATATTACTGTAAATATTTATAAATATTTTATAAATATTTTGAAATTGTTAACGTTTTCGGCTTAAACGTGGGAACAATTTCTGCGGGTAATGTATTTGCAAACCTTTCAGGGCCTATTTTTCTAAGATTTTACGACATTGAACAACGGTTAGAATGAACTTTGTTTGCGGGAGAATATGTATAATATTTATAAATTTTAAGATCAGGAAACTCTAGCTAGAAATACTTGATATTCAAACAAATACTGCAAATAGTTTGAAATGAAAATCACAAATCGTTCAGTGCGATTTTTTACAAAAAAATCATTTCATAGGAACAATAGATTTGCCAAACTATAGTTATACTATGTAGCATACTAAGATAAAATGGATATACTATGTCTACTTTATATATTTTGTATTTATTACAGATAATGTATCTATAATATTTATATATTCTATAAGACTATATTCAATAGCGACCGAATACCAGCCAATGCCGGCTTTAGTTAATACATTTCAATTTCTGTACTTTTCTTAATTTGATAAATCGGATTTATTATATGGCCATTTAGGCTTGGGGTTAATATCTGTTTATTATATTCTTGTATCAAAGTGGGGCATACAGTAAAGCTCTTACCTTGCAATTCATTGTCTTGAACTGTTAGCAAGTAATAATATAATCAATAATAATATCAATTATATGTTCAATCACTTCAACTATTCAATACGAATTTTCATACAATCAACGCTTTCAAAAATATAGATCGGGGTCATAGTTTCCACTAAACTTAAGTATTTCGGTCTAGTTATATATATTGTCAACAAGTGAGACACGATATCTGTCAGTGTTAGGTCCATACATATTAAAATCTCGCCACAACTTAGCTTATTAATGATAACTCCATATATAGACTGCTTATTAATGATATATTCATGTATATTATCTGATAGGAAAAGCACTAATTCGTTATCGTAGATACAGATTGTCTGTTCCAAATTCGATAAATCACGGACATGACAACGAATTTATATGCGTCTTTTCCAACAACCACTTTCTTCCTTCTATGTACTTTATGAGAAAAAAATTTGTTTCGCACATTTAAAAAAAGGTGTGTTGCGTCATATTGCATGTCAGTGTGTGCCTGCAGCTCTGTAGTGCGAGATAGCAGTAATTTTAATATATGTAGTCGTATGAGTTATCTTAAACTTGAACCTGTAGCATCAGATCGTCAGTGATCCAGACAGCGTTTTAAGAGGGTTCTGAGCAGTAATCAATCAAGGGTGTACACCCAACCTGGCCCTACTCAGAAGTCTACCAAAACACTATGTGTGTGCAGTGAGTTCTTGTGTTGCAAATAGAATTGAAATGCACTGCGTGTATTAGTAATGATATACTACTTGGACCATACCTTAAAATGCCCAACTAGGGTAATCTCTATCTTTGCTCCCCCCTCCCTTGGTCAAGAGAGGTGTGCATCTGAAAATACAACTTACGGTATATTGATAATGCATAAACCGATAAGGTAACAATAGAAGATCAGTTTGACTTGACCTTATACCCGCTGCACCCTACCACTGGCAGTGCTATACCCCTGATAGTATATCCTACCCTGAGCAATGCTTTGCTGCACCCTACCACTGACAGTAGCCTACCACTGACAGTAGCCTACCACTGACAGTATATCCTACCCTGAGCAATGCTCTGCTGCACCCTACCGCTGACAGTAGCCTACCACTGACATTACCATACCCCTGATAGTATATCCTACTCTGAGCAATGCTCTGCTGCACCCTACCGTTACCAGTAGCCTATCGCTGACAGAAGCCTACCACTGACAGTACCATACCCCTGATAGTATATCCTACCCTGAGCAATATTCTGTTGCACCCCACGAACATGTTTGTTTTCAATTGCGGCAACGGCCAAAAAGATTTTTTCAAAATCCATATTATGGATATAGTAGGACGCGATGATTGTGGGAAGCGTGTGATATATTCGACCTGCCCGACGGTTTCTTTTGTAAGCTATCGTACTCAATTCTTAAAAACGAAATCCGTTTCGCAACTAGTTTCGGCCCTGCAAGCACATTGGGGCATTCAATCTGACCAATCGGCTATTTGGTTACGAAAGACATCCTTCATTTTGACTGTAGACAAATATTAATCAATCAGGCGCCCACGTCTTCAGTAAAGACGAAATATAGTTCATTCATTTATAGGTTTTGTTTACCGAAAAATGTTTTGAGGAGTTTTTTTCTCTTCGGTCTGCCTTTTCATCCGTCTGCAGTTATAAGAATTTATGAATATATATTAATCCATAATTTAGAACAAAAATGACTGGCAGAAAGCATATGCTCTAAATTTGTATTTCCATGCATGCTCTAGAATAACGCGTAACTGTCTCCTCAAGTTATTATTTCAATAAATGTATATAGCGTTGTTTAAAATCAATCATAATGATAAATTATTCTCGATCACGGTTTGTTTTCCGAAAATATTATTTATGTACTTAAGCACTTTATTCTAATAGTAATATTTTATGATTCTTAATTAAATGCTTCAAAAAACGATCGTTTTTTGCCGTCTTTGCGCTTAGTTGCCGCTTTACGTTACGTTACGTTACTCTGATAATGTATTTGTGCTTTATAGATCAGAGCAGTTATAAACCGGCTGCTCTGCTTTGAAGGCAAAACCTCAAGCGAGCTTATTGAATTTGGGGATGTCATCTGGGAGGAAACATAGCAATATATCAAAGACTTGATGTTGCGTTGTGTATTTAATAAGATCATTGCCAATGTAGAGCAATGGCCCTTTCTTTGGAAGAAGACTTTTCCAATCCTTCTTATTTCTCATTATATTTCCATGCATTAGTTCCCGAAATATGCATGTACTTAGTCCGTCTTGTGCAGGTATATTAAAGCGGTGAAGAGGAAGTCTACCCGTCATCATCACATGCTAAAGAAACCTCATGCACTCATCATCTGGACACATTTTTTCTTTTACCTTTTCCGCGCAATCCAGTGATGTTTGTACGGTTCAGGGGATAACCACAACACTTAAGTACATATGGCCAACTTTTAGGGCCTAAAGTTGTATGAAGGTGACATCTGTGCCGTATGTCGTAAGTGGATTACTAGTCCTGAGTCGTAATTGCACACAAAAAACTTTAGTTCACAGTCTATTTTTTTTAAATCTAACAGCCTACTCCTAAATTACTCTGAACAGCACAATATTTTAGAGTATAGTTCTCCCGCGGAGAAAAAAATGAGGAATTTAAGACGTATTAACTATATACAAACACATGCAGTATAAATATATAATTGAACTTACGGATCGCTGCTGCTTGTAAATATTAATTTGGATTTTTCCTAGTTTGAATGATTCCTCAATATTTTGATAATGGCCTTGTCTTCCAAGTCTGTGTACGTGTGTTTGCCACCAATCGGTGAATCTTCAATAAATATGTAACCTTGTATTGTTTTGAGCGTCTAAAATAATCTCCTATCTAACACCTGCTAAGTTTAATGAAATACAAAATGCAATACAATGCCTGCTGGTTCATATATGAGTTCATCGTAGATTTCAAAAGGATTTTCACTCAAAATAAACGTCAAATCTTTTTTGACACATTCAGGAAGGTAAATAACCTTTTACTATATCATAGAAGTGAATTAAAATGAACGCATGCAAACCGCCATTAAATGTAAACAGTTTTTCGCTACATCACTTTGAGACCAATTTTAATTTTATGTCAAATTTAATTTCGTTTCCTTTCGGCATATGGAAAATTCTCGGTATCATTAAGGCCTATTGAAATGCATTAAATCTGCTATGAAGCAAAAAAAGCCTCTCTAAGTACTCTAACTGGATTAAGAGAAGATTTAGGAAAGTTTTTTACCCTTTCTCATACAAAAAATAAAGTTCGTTTTGTTAACCTTAAAATTAAGTATTTTTATTCATATAAAACACAGCGGGAGAGAGTTTCATTTGCGGACAGCTGAAGACAAAGCCTCCATAATTAAACGCTATAATTTAATAACCTAACTGAAGTGCAAGTTTTGATTTAAAAACACAAATTATCTTTTTATGTATCGACAATGCATAAAAGTTAAGTGGCTAGTCGGAAATTCTGGTAAAGAGATTGGGGGCTAATTTGGGATGTTTGGTAAGGAAAAATGTGCCACCAAATATGTGACCTTAAAATGTGCTGTAACAGGTAGTGTTTGAAGATAAGTAAGTGTTGTTTGTATGGATTTCTTGGAGGTCGGTTGCCAGTCTAGCCAGAGATAACTGGCAGCCATACAAGTGTTCAAAATCATAACGAGGCTACTTTATGATAATTCGATGTCGGCTTTTTTATATTCTGACATTGCGTCAACACCAGTCACCGTACTGTAGTATTCTTCAATAAGCTACTGTATTAAGCGTGCTGGTCCATTGGAGGTATAGTATTGTACAATAACGTGGTGGTCCATTGTAGCATAGATAGTAGGTAGTATTCTACAATGAGCTACTGTATTTAAACGTTGTGAACCATTGTAGCTAGTATTCTGCAATAAGATATTCTGTTAAACGTGGTGATCCATTGTAGGTAGTATTCTACAGGGTGTCTTGAAAAACCCGAAAACTACTGAAATCACCAATAACAATGTAATTGTTAGAGTTTGAATGACTAAGCACTCTGTTGCAACCCACAAGTGTACAAATGTTTGCCATAAGCATATTTTTATTCATGATGCAGAAAAATTTGTTTGTACGCAAAAATATTTATTAAAACAATATTTACAATTTGTCCTTTGTCGACCTTTGTCGAGAAGCTTTTCGCACTTCCGTTGTACTTTGGATACGCGTATAATATCACAATAAACACTCGTTGTTCCGCGGTCAGCTGTACCATTTTCTTTCGAAGCAATAACAAGGCTAATTTAAATTTAATCATATTCACAATTTCAAATTTTTCGTATTTAGCATTTTATAAGTTGCATCATAAGTTGCATTAAATCCCCACGGGCTAAAATTCGTGAACACGGCATTCAAATTTCAACAGTGAGTGATTTCAATGGTTTTCGTTTAGACACCCTAGCTGTACAATAAGCTATTGTGTTAAACGTGGCGATCCATTGTAGGTAGTCTGCAATAAGCTATTGTGTTTTTAGCCTTGTGGTCCGTGGTATCACAGGTATACCACTGTATAGAGGTATACAGGATGTCTCAAAAAAAAACGAAAACTATTGAAATCACTCATTGTTAAAATTTGAATGCCGTGTTCACGAATCTTAGCCTGTGGGGATTTAATGCAACTTATAAAATGCTAAATACGAAAAATTTGAAATTGTGAATATGATTAAATTTAAATTTAGCCTTGTTATTGCTTCGAAAGAAAATGGTACAGCTGATCATGACCGCGGAACAACGAGTGTTTAATGTGATATTATCCCAACAGAGTGCTTAGGCATTTAAACTCTAACAGTTACATTGTTTATGGTTGATTTCAATAGTTCTCGGGTTTTTTAGACACCCTGTAGTATTCCCCAAAAAGTTACTGTGTCAACATTTTACCGTAGAAACGCTTCACATGCAGGCAGAACACCCGCGCCACCCTCGTGAGATCTGGGCAGGTGTTCGAAGTCAAATTCAATCAGTCGATATTGTCAACCTTTGATATTATCATCCCAATATCATTGTCAATCTTATGACATTTATTTGATTTCTATTTTTGTTGTTTTTGCTTACAAAACGTTTGCACACACTAATTTTACGTTAACATCCGCATAGTGTTTGTAACCAATGTTAAAAATTGAAAGTATTTTTGCCTAAAATTTTGCATAAATTCAAACCGGTACGAACCCATACTTTATGATGAAGTGGATACAAATGATCCTAGATACAATATTTTTGTGTTTCTCTAGGACAACAGCTGACTGGGTGCATGCATATCAATTTCCCTCATGTTTTTTAACGCGTATGAATATTTAGATAACTTGCATTAAATATTTTTCTCCATAAACTAAAAATTTTCCATAAATTATCTGTAGTACGCCACTTTGTCATGTCAAATTTTGCCTCATCGCTGAAAATCTTCTTATTTGTTTTATATGACTAAAAAAATTTAAAAAACGAACTTTTTCCAGATGAGAATCCTTTTACGACAGAGGTTGAAATTTCATATGAAAAAATTCTGTAAGAAAATCTGCTTTCAGTAGAATCCTGCCATATATGTGTCTTAACACCACATAGAAGTGATAGAACTATTAAATGATTTGTGAGAAAAAGTAACTTCGCTTTCGGTAAAACCATTGAAAACGTTTACGCAGAACTATTAATGATTTGTGGGAAAAGTAACTTTGCTTTCGTATACCATTGAAAGCGTTATTCAAAATTTTTATATTATTATGTTTTAATCAATTTTTCCATATATATTCACTACATATAACATTATCTACATTTAGTGAGACCTCATTGTGCATGTCATAATCTCATGCACTGATCATAATGACATGAATTTCGCTATCTTCAGGAGATGAAATGTCGCTATATTGTAACATTTTTATGTTTAGTAAACTCTGTGAAACAAAGCATCTTTTCCACGCATGCATACAATGGATTTCAGATAAATTCTTAATTTGGCGTTGATATTTCCAACCTGCACCCCTCATCAAGAAACTTGCCAGTGGAGGCCGCTATTTTGCCCATCATTTCATCGTGAAGTCATTTTGCTTTAGAATTTTCTTTGCGATTTCTACAGAGATCAAGTATGAAAACACTAAATTCTTCACAGACCGTGGACTCTGTAAAACGTTTGTCTTTGATAGGGGGTACAGTTCAAAACAGCTCATATACATACAATAGACCAGTATCACTCCATTTGTTCGACCAAAAGCAGCTTTTGTATATGAAACACGAGTTAATTACAGTAACGACAATCGCTCACAACACACAAAAGCCTACGTTTATGTATGTCCTTGTATTTCAGTCCATAGTTCCCCCTATATATTGAGTACATTATCTACATAGAGTAAAATAATATCCTTATTTTGCCGACCCTTTTACGACACCTGACGGAAAATACCGACAATGTACGGTCAAGTCGTTTGGGTGATGATAAGCTTCCAGTTCCCAGTCCTCCTAGGTGGTCTTCTGTCTGAACAAAGCTGGATAAATATGTGTATGCATTATTGCTTTGTCGTTTACTTCATGCACTTTTTCTCGCATTTCTTTTTTGTGGCAAAATTGTTCCCGTTTGAGAGACATCCACCAAATGTAAATCTTAAGCATCTTCCTTTCTTCTTATTGTAGTAGAAGCGTTTCTGATTTGCCATACACGGTCCAGGATCTTTAGGCTGGTCGCACACGTTCTTCACTGACTTGAAATTTGTACCTATGAGGGAAAACTGAATGTTAATTTGAAGTTGTTTGCTTGATTTGTAGCCACATCGCGCCTTGTATTGTTTTTGAGAATGAATTTGGCAGAAATTGATTTGATTGTTTCAATTCATGACGTCCTGAATGTGATAAAAAGTCGTCTTTGACTCTCTGCCGGAGTAGATATAAACATGGTATTATTTTCAACGTGTTGGATAGAATTGAAACTTTGAAGGTGTTTTGTTGCTAAACAAAAGTGCGAACTGAACTGTTGCAACATTAGTCATCAGAAATGGAATGTAGCTAGGGAAGCGCTCAAAACACGTAAACGTTTCAGGCAAAGATAATTACTTATATCAATAATCAACCACTTCAACGTACCACAGCTAATATATATAAATATAATACACGAACTCGCGGTTAACATTCAGCATGAGGGCTGCATCAAAATTACCTAGGTTCAATTACTTTCAGAGAGTCCGTGGTGGTTTTTGACCACTGCTGGTTAGCTCAGAGAGGATTTATAAATATTCCTTCGAATATTCCTTCCACTCCAATGTCAAGGTTGGATTTTACAAACATAGTTTCGTGAATGGATTATACAATGTCAATGATAAAAACGTTCAGCTCTATGTCGTGCGCAGCCGAATATAAACTCTTGACTGAAATTCTATTGCTTCGTTTTAAAATGTTGTTCAAAACAGCTTGAACAGGCAAATTGATTAACAAAATTTAAATAAATAATATTTGAATAAATTTATTAAGTTAACGTATTTGATTATGCTTTACACTCTGAATATATAACTCTGCTTCAACTTTTGATATAAATTAGACAGCCTTTACCGACCTTACGTCACAATAATATTCTGACGTCACACGTCACGTGTCACAACAATTGAGCTACACTTGATTACATTGTTCTTGTATATTTTCTTTGAAACAAACTCAACATAATTTAGACCAAAAAGGAAATCAATTTGGTATGTCATAGGCTTTGGTATATGTTGTTAGTGCCGAGAAAATAACAGCGCGATTTGACCTTTATTAAAGATACAAAAAGTTAACTGTTCACCACAAAATATTCCCCAAAAATGATTGACTATGTTCTTGGCTTAAATCTGAAATGAATTTTTTAGTTTGTCATTTCCTGACTGATTTCGGTCACTCGGTCCATTGCCCAGTCACTTTCTCTTTCTCACTAATAATCTGTATTCATTGATTTCCTTTTTAGTTCTTTTCTAAACTTAATTATACACTTCTTAACACGTATTTCAACTTATATTTTGTGGTGAACAATGTTTCCTCACAACTTTCTAAATTTCTTGCCTTTTATACACTCGCATGTTGCACATCCCTGTAAGGTCGTAACGTAACCATGGCGACAGTGTTCACAATTCAGTTTCGGGCAACCGTCATCTCCTGAAGATTCTTCTGCATCTTCTGTAGGTCGTTCTGGAAAGCAAAGGAATATAGGCGAGTTCATAGTTTACTCATGATACTGTGAACTAGTCTTGGCTTTATCAGTCATTTCAACTATAAAGTTGCCTGCCATTGGACAACAAAATAGCATGAAATGCAGATACATTCAAGCTTTTAAACACTATTTCCTATCGTAAGTAGAGTAAAATTATAAGTAGAGTAATTTGCTGATATAGTAAGGTGAAACCATCATACATTCAGTTAGCTCAGTGTTAGGCTGTTAATGTGCATGTCAATCTCCCTCCAAATTTAAATCTAGCGTTGCATGGGTTTGTGGGTGGTGTGGTGTTTATTGCTGCTCAGGGCCATATTAACAATTTTTCATCATTTTTACCTACCTTCATCCAGTGGGATACAGAATCCAATTCCAATATCCACAACTGAGATCGGAGGCTCATATTTTCCTCCTTGACAATAAAAACCTTCTGGGCAATTGTTCTGATGAACATCACAGAATTCTGGAACACCACCTATTTTGATTTGACATTCTGGATCGACCTCGCATTCCCATTTACCATGTTTGCACACGCTAAAAGAAGATTAAGAAATGCAATGCGAATAAATATACAGAAGCACAGATTGGTTCTTTAGATAAACAAATAACACATGAATAACTAGTATGTTTGAGTCATTTTCATCGGTTTAGAATGATATGTTTATTGTTGGATTTGTACTGTTGATGTTGATTGGTGTTGTTCAGCTTTGTGGTTAAACATTAAGTGAAGTGCTGTACAGATAATACCTTACTTACCATTTTTCACATTCATCCTTCCGTGTGATGGTTTCGCCAAATCTGTAGGATTTTCCATTATCTTCACAACCTGAAAATTATCCGCATTTCATGTGTTACAATGCTTCTAATATAGCTACATATTTTCATCAGTACCGGTATTTGTCCTTATCATACCAATATACCCAATTTTCGTAGCTAGTCCTTTAATTAAGCCTATATCGCACTGACAAAATAGTTCTTCCCTCCTATCCTTCGCCTCACCCTCCCCCCCTTCTTACCCTAGAACATACATTCACGTCCTTCATTATTATAATAACCACTAATATAATAGTAAACCCTTTACCTACATAACATAGTTATATCGTCGCCTTCTACAAACTGAAAACTATACTTACTTTTGCATGCTCCTTCGATGTAACCAATCCTCTGCTGGCTCTTACACTCGTCCTTCCTTAAATAACATCTGTTCCAATAATGTCTTCCGTTTTTCTCGCCACAAACAGGCATATATCTGTTCTTACAATATTTCGGACACACACAACGAGCTTTACCGCGATGATTCACACGACAACGTTGATTAAAGCCGCATACTTTGTTTTTGCACTCCTCTATGAAATAAAAATATTGAGATCAGGGCCACTGTCGAAACAGTAATTTGTTAGTGTGCCTTATTAGTATGAATTCCCCCAAATTGCACGTGAAAAGAATTCGTCCTGTTCAACCCCCCCTTATTTCCGCGAGTTTACGAAGATAGTAACGGTCATGTTGTTCCCGGTTGAGAAAAATTGGACTGAACAATGTTGTGATGCGACCTATATCGTCACTCTCTGTTAGGTTTTGTGCAGCACATCATTGTTCGTTCCTGTATTCATCAATCGCGTTTCTGGTTCAGCGGTTTCTTGCTGGAAATTAGAGGCCCTTATAGAATGCTTTTGGAACAGTATCGCGGCATCCTGCACAGAAATTATCGAGTATAACTGTAATTATCGAGGACAACTACAATAAAAAGGGGAAAGTTCGGGATTGCCTCATCCTACTGTTTAAGTCCATCCCAGTGGCCCCTGCATGTATAGATAAAATTAGTGTGGTATTCACCTCTTTCACACACGCCAGAGACAATATCATTTTCCCCCAGGATTTTGACGGAGTTAGGTCTTCGTCTGACGCAGTGGAGACCTTCCCCGCATTTACCGTGATTGTAAAACAACCCTCCACAGGTTTCACCCTCTCCTCTTGCACACACTTTACAACAACCACAATTATCTTTCACAACACCATCTAAAACACAGGAAGAATTCTGCTCGAAACTGCTTGCGAGGTCTCCAGTAATTTCGTACAAACAAAGTTATTAATGACAGGCGCTTTTAAAAATGTAGTTAAGAATTCGAATAGACGGAAATCTGAACGACGTTAACTATGATAATTAACTGATTCGTAGTAGCAAGGAGAAGGAATGTATTAGCAAATCCTATATCACAGCCTATATGTAGAATTTTACAAAGGCATCGCTATTGCATAATCTGGGTTGTTTGCAACACTTGCTATTACAAGACGAGGGAAGTGCATAATATCTAACATAGCTGCGATGTACAACTGCTGCATGTAGGAAACTCAGTTTCCTAACATTATTCCCCTGACTTTATCCAAAATTGTATTGAGTTTAACAGTGGATAGCAAAAGTTTGTTCGCAGTTGTTTGTTTTTGCAGGTTTTTTTTGACGTTGCCTTCCTTAAATCTATAAGTAACAAAACCTTCACGCGATGTCAATTCATCGAAGTTAGTTCTATCAGATTGATGTATGAAGACTGTACAAAATTGGCAAATCTAGTTTGAAAACAACCGGTAACGGTTAAATATCAATACTTCCGACGGACTTTCTTTTCCCTTATACTCTACTCTCGGCTAGAAAATTGGCTATCGCAATATTGGACTTTGGCTACAAATTTGCCATTTCTTGTTCTTTCTGAATTCTGCTCGTTTCAGCTGGCTTAAATAAATGCAATAACGTACGGTTTCATGACATTATTTATCAAACATTTCAATCGGGTACAGTCAGTAAAATTTATAATTATATTAGTAGAATCTGTAGATTTGTTGGTTATTAATCATTTTCAAACGCGATTGTTTAATATTCGTCAATTGGCTGACCGATTTGAACTTTTATCTTTCTGAAATCTCTCCCATGCAGCAGCTTCGTGGGATCCACCGTGGTTGATCTAGGCCGCCGCGAATGTGATATTTTTACCCCCTTCAAAATCTCGCTCAATAGAGATATGATCGAGAAGCTTCGGATGAAATTACTTACAACTGATAACACGCTTTCGGTATCTCAGTAGGCTCAAGAATTCACACGAGTTTCAAGATAAAATCTTCAAATTATTAATTATTTTGAGGTGTTCGTGTGTTATATATAAACGCTGCAAAATGTTGATCACACCTGAACTCAGTCATACCCATAGACAGCAGACCTGGAATTGATCGGGAGAAAATGGCTTTTTCCAATGAGACGTCCGCGCGGTGTCAATTCGCTTACCTAATTTTTCAAATTAATCGCGAAAATTCGAAGACACACGTGGTCTGTGCTGGTCTCTGCAAGCCGGCACAGCTTGTCAGTCACTAAATAAACATGTTTTACTGTTCGCGAATGTTTTCAAATGCTTCAAATGGCTTTCTAAATTATACGCATTCCTTCTATCCCAGGCCCAGCATTCACTTATTAATGCACAATATTTGATAATTATTGTCTAGACCAACATAACATGGTTGAGATCGTCGATGAAACGAAAAATTGACAATAATAAAAAGGGTGGGAAAATCATGTGCCGCTGCATGAAATTCCACGCGCAAGCACTTATTTTTTATCCTGCATGGGGAGCCACAATGCCATCCTAGAATAATCATATAATTCGGATCTATCAGACTCAAACTACGCCGACTTCTTACAGACATAATATCTGGACCAAAGTGCTATGCAAACATTGGGCAACTACATTTGAGATATCATTAAAATGTTGTGACTTTATTTTGATTGCTTGAAAATATAGTTCCGTCTCGTTACCTTTACATTTCGAAACATCGGTGTCACAGACCGTGTTTTGACAGGGCTGGCAAGACATCACTTCGGACAGTAAAGTTGTCAAAATCACCAAAAATAATGTCAACATTTTCCCAATCATTTCTGAAAAGAGATGAAAGATAAAATGAATTGAAAAGTGTTATCTCAAAATTTTTCACCTGTGGTAATATATTCTGTAATATAAATTTAATTCCATATTATGTTTATTTACGGTTTTGTTTGATTAAAACCATCACATGATGGGCTTATATTCACTATAAAAGAACATGCATTTTTAAAGCCACTTTCAACCTGCTTCTAACTTTCACTGACACATTTGTCAAAGTTCAAATTAGATTTTCTCAAATAGTCTACCTACACTAAGGCAATTCCACGCTTGCGAAAATTTTAACTAAACTCTCTATTTACATTAGCCTGAAAATGAAAGACTAGTGGAAAGTATTAAAGAATAAAGGTATAACTAAGCCATTTCAGATGTGATAAATGAATTGTTCGATACTATTAAAGGTTGCCTTGATCGAAACGGCACTACATGCTTTACGTTTTGGAATTAAGCGCGTTAATCTGACTATTGAAATTATTGTAATTTCGGACTAATAAAAGGCGGATAACGTGTATTATGACCTGTTTATAAAGTTATGGCGAGTTTGGGAAAGGATGATAAATAAAGTCTTATTTAACGCGCTTAATTCCCAACTACATTTAGTCGTTGGAACATTTTGTCAAACTGGAAATTACCAGACAGAACTATCAGCTATCATCAAGGCGAGTGCTCTGAAATTGAATGTACATTGAGCTTTCAATAGTGGGAAGAATGCAATCTTTTATAGGGCTTGTTATTATTAATCGTATAATAGGACAAAAAATGGTGACATTGCATAGCTTATGCTTCCTGTAGTGACAAGTCAAATTCAGATATCCAGATTACTACACATTGCAGAGGGAATATCACCTTATTTTCTGACTATAATTAATAATTGTTGCTCGACTACCTTCTGACCGTACGATAATGTCCAGTACTCGGTGGGTCACTCCAACAACCTTTTAAGAGATACCTTCAACAACAACCGAACTTTCAGGAGATACACTTCACAGAGACGTGATGAGGAATGAGACGACACTAACTAAACTATGGAACCAGAATAGTAACCCGGCGAGATCTCCCAGTCGTTAGCACATGTTAATCACTCGACAATCCTCTGTTGTGGCACAAAGGTGACATTAAGACGGGGGGAAGTGGTGGGGGTACACCATAGAGTGGCACCTCTGTGACGACCCCTCGCCCCTTAGGACGATGTGGCGTCCGCCGGAGTTGAATAGTACGAGTTCGCTATTAGATTTGTTATGACAAAAAAGTGGAATAATTTTGATGAAATCGTTAAATTTATAGCATGCTAGATAAGAGTTTAGTAAATAAGAAAAAGCATTTGTCGAGACATCACAAGAATTTAATAGTAATAAATCATTTTTGTAGATAAGATAAGGCTATATAGACACTGTGTAGCAACAAAAGGCTGTGCAAAAATATCTATATTTAAAAATAGTTACTTCTTTCCCCCACCCCGCTATAGTTGCCTCCCCTCTCCGTGTCAGAGAAACAAAATACCATCTTTGGTCATGGTTACGTTAGATAACTGAATAAGTCTGAATCCACTCAAGCATACCTATACCAATTCATCTCTTGCGTTTTTTATTCAATGTCTAAATCAATCTAACCCCTGATCTAAAACGAATGTCTGGAGAGCACGCTACTGAATTCACTGATCTGATTGCATGATGTGTGTGATTCAGTCTTGACTGACGGTGGAGATACTGTACGTCGTTATCAACAATGTTTCATTCTAGAATATATGTTATTTATGAGCAAGCCTTGGCAACTGACAACTCGTTAGAAAGTGGTATCTCTATAGCAAACGCAGGGGTGCCGGAACTGGGATGCATATCCCCTTTTCATCTTCCTCAGATTTGGGAAAGGTGTCCTTTTAACTTAGAAATTTCTCAGAAAAGATGGTAGATTTGTTGCATTTCAGAATGCAGTTAAGAAAAAGGTGTTTAAATATAGAGCATTTAAATGGGAAGCTCTCATCAAAGGGTCTTCGATAACGCTACAAAATGCAGTCATTGAATTCCGAAGATATCAATAACGTCTAAGATCGATCCCAGAGACCCAGACAATCCTAGTATAAGAGGTTTACCAGTCACGTCTCAATAAAGCAACACCATCCCTAGATCTCCGTTATTCGGCGGGTGCTTTTTAGAGTTCCTTTGTTTTAATGTCAAGGTTATTATTAATGTATGAAAAGATAGCAGTGGTACACTTATCTGATGTTTTAATTAATAATTGCATATTTAGAAGATTACCAATGGATTATTTTATCATTAACATGACAGGGATTATCAATGTTTTTGCGTTTTATGGTCACGCAATGCTAAGACTTTGTTGCGGTGTTTGTTGAGTTTCTGCCGCGTCTGTAACCAAATATATGGAATTATGCGCTCTAGTGAAAAAAAACGAGTTTGGTGATTGAACTAAGTAAATAGTCTTAAGAACATTTCATCAGACTTACATCATGAGACTATTTTAGAGTTTACACGGCATCGTTTTAGTTAGTAGAATTTTTAGGATTTTTCCTTAAGATCCTTGCATTGCGATTTTTCTTTAACATATTTTCACTTATAACATTGCAGCGCCTGTGTTCTACGACATTGCTATTTTGGGGACTTAGACCAAATTGTATTTAATTCAATCAGGCACGAGTAATAAATCAGTTTGACCGGGGTAAGCCACTCGATCGTCAAGGCAATACAGTCTAACAGCAGCAATGGGAGCACGCGCCATTTTGTTATTCAGACCTTTTGATGCGCGGTTACACCTTTTTTTTGTGTAGGTATCTATTGTCATGCATAGCATGAGCACATCCTATTGCTCGCTCTGCTAGATTGTTTAAATCGAAACGTACGCATTCCAGCAATGTGTGCGTATTCCAATTAAGCAATTAGCAAAATGTGGACAATTATCTCGCCTGGAAATATCCGCAAATCATGGCTAGAACTCTTCAGACAGGTTACGACGTCCTGCAGGTTCCGAGCGTGGGAGATTCCGCAACAGCATGTTCGCGAAACTTCTCTCGTCGACAGAGTTCAACTCACAGTTTAACCTCCATAAGGTTGTAGTAACAAATTAATTAGCATATGTTGCGTTATTGTACCAGTTCAACAGTTACGGGAGCACGCGCCATACTTAATCCTTCGTTATATCTGTTCAATGTCAAAATATTTGCACCGAGGTAGAAACTTTAAATTAAAGCTTGTTTGTTGCATTGTTAAATGGTAAACGTCACTTCAAGTTGCATTATTCTGAACTTTTGTTCATATTCCAACTTCAAACGCAATTTTGTCTGTAACATTAAGCTTTGGCCTGGTCAGAGCCTCCTTAATATACGTGAAAACCTATTGGATTTTCCTTAGCCTGTAACGATGCCAAATTAAAATTATGATAATAACGTGGACTTAGATCAAATCTACATGTAGGAAGAGTTTTTAGAAGCCGAAGTGGTTGCGAATTGATTAAACTTGATGTCGTGACGATGCAAATTCCGTATCGTGCAACTGGGGAGTCTAGGTTCACTTTATCACATTCCACTCCCTTAGAAGTCAAAGAATTTGAATGTTCTGGAATCATTTTCATATTATGTCATCAGAGATTATGCGGTAGTATCGCATGTTTTGCGGCTCAATTGTGTTTAAGCGAACAATCAGATTCTAAAATAGTTGCGCCTGGCAGACATGAAGCCTGGTCCTAATTTGCCAAAATATTCCTCGACCAAATCAGTGCGTGGTATTTTTTGCTGACATCAGCAATACTAATTTTCAGACATGCCTAATTGAACGCGAAAGGTTAAAAAACATGTTGAGCACTGGTAATAGACTAATAGTGATACAAAAACGTTAAAAAACACCTATTTATGGTAGCGTCATATTAGGAATCCGCATATCATCACATCGCCTGGTCTCAGACCTGGTCAGCAAAGCATTCGCTTATTCTTACCCGCTAACTGGCACCTTCATTTAACCGTGTTTTATCTAAACATGAATGCTCGTTTTATACATCTTAATATGATTATGACATTGCATTTTGACTAAAGCCACTTAAAATCAAGATAAATATCAGTATAACATGCCACCTCTCACTCTAAAAATCCCATTTTAAATTGTAATTTACAGTGGATCAATTCGTCCAAAAATCTGGAGATTTGAAATAATGAAAGTTAAACCATTGCAGCCTAAGCTGTCGTAGCCGGAAATCTTAGGGTTGATTCCCGAGATTCATCGGTTTTTTGAACATGAAATTTTTTAAAATTCGTATATTGCATGCCGTTGCGTCCCAGAAATCTCGGGTGTTTTTTTTGTTGCATGCGTGACTGTGTTGTTTTTTTTCATTTCTGGAATCAGATGAGCTTTGAAATTCCTTCCGAGAAGATATCTACATTCAAAATTAAAAATCAAAAAAATGCATCGTCTTGCCAATCTCTTGGTTTACGACCCGGTGTGACAAGTTGTGGCTAATAACTCTTGTGCCAAGTGCATCAAATTAATATGGCATAACCATAGGTAGTCACTTTTCTCCAGCGGGGAACAAGAGTAATTTCCTTGCCACCAACATTCATAGCTTTCCTACAGCCTGTAGCATTAGGCTGTTGGCGAGTAACCCAATTTGCGTTTCATATTTATCATAGACGTGTATTTATACACGTTTCTTGATAAATTAGCATAAAGGACGGCACTGCGCACGACTGTACTGCGCAGAAGATGCATAATCTTGCTGCACGTACAATATTTTTATAAGCGCGGCGCGCGCGTTGATTGACATATTTCATTGAAGCGATAACAAGCGCGTAATTTATTCCAAAATTTCTGTTTGCGTTTGTTTGTTTATGTAAGGATGTGCTAAGTTTGCTCTAAACATCTCAAACATGTCCGGTTGTTACGCGTCTATGGGTTGGGCGAGTTTAGATTGCGACGCGAGCTCGATGCATGCGAAGGTAATCTTTGCTTGAATAAACAAACATTGCGTTATATCTCGAGTCAGTGGGATAAATATTTTTATCAAAGGAACTTGCCGAACCTTATTGTACTGCGAATTCGCATTGTATAGAGCTTACCCTACAAAGGCCTTTGTGGTGTCAATATTTCACACTTTCTTGGTGTTTTAATAGTAAAATTAATTCCGATATTCCTAAGTTAAGACCAAATGTTTTAAACTTTGAAAAACGATGGCCTTGGTGGCCTGTCTTCTAAATCACTGATGTAAATACCGGTTTATCGACTGCCTTCAAATGAATGACATTAGTCTGCCACACAAGATGCTACCAGCATGCTTGTCTTGAACAAGTTATTATCACAAGTGCTGTTTACCAAATCAAACATATATATGAAGATTATTGTTGCAAAATACACACGATAATGTTGTTGAGCAACGTGCAAAATAGGAGCCAAGTATGTCGGTTTACCGTGATGATTTTATTAAGTGATAAAAATTATTTCTCAATTAAACCGAGTTTGCTTTCAATTTAACTCAAGTATTCCTCTCGGCTTTATTTTACGCGAGGCACACACACAATAATCACGAGCTTTAGCAACTTCGTGTGTCGCTCGCATACGATATCCGATTCTCGTCTTTTTCTTGCGCCATCTTGCAAAAGTCATAGCCAAAAGTCCTGGGGTTTTTGTCGCTTTTCTTAATTTATTTCGTAGTCAAACTCAAAAGCCCGAAGACTATGAGTTTGTGCAGATGACGAAAGGAAACAGCACCGAGTTTAAGCGAAAATTAGGGATTTCGTACTCGTATAGTCACTACTAATGAGGATGGGTTGCACAAGTAACGAGTCGGCCCAGGAAAGCCGCGCAGGCTTTCACGACGAACACCCAGTCAACGAATGTCTTTCTAGCGTGACTTTCTGTAATACATGTTTGTTGTTTGTAAGATTGTTGTTAGGTTGCTATCAATGTCTTCCGATATATACCTATGATAGCCACTATAAAAGTTGTCAATTTGATGCTAGACTATAAAAACCTAACTTAGTTGAACGTATTTTGTCAAAACTGTCATGACGTCATGGAAACCCGACGGATATCTGGTAATTACGGCTGCCTTTTGCTGCTTGGGTTTTTCGCTTGCTAACTCACTTTGACTTAACTTTGTAAACCTCCTATATAAACTTCAACGCCGTTTTCTGAGCGTGTAATTCAACCTTAGTTTCACTTTACGTGTTCAAATTAAGCAATATAATGTTTCCTGAAGTCGTTATCTACTTTAGCTTAAATATAGTTCATAATTGTTTGTGGATTTACTTCACTGCGTGTTTTCCTGTTCGTCAGCTAAAGCCCAAAATGTGTTCATAGTTAAGCCTCAGTAAGCGGGAATTCTATCGGGTAATCAGACGGCACGAAACTTAACCATACGGACACGGTGGTCAGATGCCAGTTGTCAGAGTAAAAAATATTCCTGTTTTAAAAACAGTGTGATATATGCTCACATGTTTCAATATTTCTGAAATTATGGTCGCAATTTAAAACTTCTCTGAAGACTGTTACAGCAGCAATATTTTATAATATATATCATTTCATCGGAAAGCACATGTGTCCTAAAGTTGGCGTGCTTTAAAAGTGATAAGGCGAGAATTGTTTTTATAAAATGCGCAAAGTTTGTTTAAGCAAATCGCAGACAAAATATCCATCTTTTGAAAAAACATTCTGTAATTCAGTAATTGGCGCAATCGTTGTGACTTCATGGCTGAAATGCCCTTGTGTTTAACGAGCTGGATTGTGAGATCAAATGATCATGTCGCTTGTAACATGTTGAAAAATATGGCGTAGATAAGGTATATATATGAGCCTTATTACTGAGATTTTCGTAATATGTTTTACCACCTGCAACATTGTGGCGATTCGTCGACTCTGAGAAAGGGTACATGCCTATATATTGTTAAGCCGAACAAACTCTTTGTAAAAATCCCAGACATAATTAATGGGAAAACAGTGTCTTGGCATTCATCCATATAATAAATTATATGGTTGAATGCAAAGACACTGTTTTTCCTAGAATACAGAGAGCAAATCTCTAACGTTTCTTTACCTATGTCCAGTTTCTCTACTCACACAATTCACTCTGTTATAGCCCAATTTTGTTTAGGCCATGTTCGAAAAGGGACAGAAATTGTCTAGCCTCGTCATCTCGTTTTGTGCTTCATTCAGATATAAAAAAATCGATAAAGTCAAACACGAGCTATGTTTACATTCTTCATGTGGATACAATTCAACAAGAGGTGGTTGTGACTTGTGTGGACGAAATACCTTGCGAATGTTTCGTTTCATTCACGGCCTAAAGGCTTTAAGGACATCACGGTTCACATAGTCAACTGAGACCTCAGGTACAGACGCGGAGGTCTGAGGTCGTCAAACCAGATTAGCAAATCACTTAGTATCGTGCGTTTGATTAATCCTTTTTCTTCGCGGCATTTACGAGATAAGAAATTTTCCCATACTGCGCACATGAGGGAATCATAATATGACAACACGTTAATAAAAGCTGAATAAGATTACAACTCAGCTCAATCATGAAAGAGAAGTCGCGTTACAGCGATCATATCCACATAGATCAACAATCAATGGCTTAAATTAACCAGGTGTTTTGTTAGTGCACGCTTAGCTGCAATAGTGCGTATGAAATCCCCATTTAAGATTATTTCATGCATTGTCATTATATAAATTATGCTGAATAGAGAGTTGTCTCGATTTCAGACTACATGCATGGCTGCGCGCGGTTTGGGCTGCTAGCGTTACGCAGACCGAAAGGCGCAGGATGCAAATTCCTTTGTGATGCGATTTGTCTGAAATTACTGTGTGGCTTGCAAACTTTGTTAACGATAGTATATTTTAAAAAGATTAAGTATTCAATTATTCCTTTCCTGGCGACAAACAAACTTAACAAAGTGTATACTAACACAGGAAGCCGCGCTATGGATAATCATCATATGTTCTTATCTAAGCTCACACGATATGAACCACAACTGGAATTCTGTTCCTACTTTGGACATTGTAGACAAAACGGAACAATTTCAGAATCTTAGGAATGAAAATATGAATTGTAGTGACATGTAAAAGACAAAAATATTCTCGTTTATGTCAAAACATACAACTCAATTATTGTGTTACACATATTAATGTCCGTTTAAATAGGATAAACGTATTTTAAAAAATGAGTGTAGAATTGTATTTAATGACTACGCGCCGTGTGAAGCTTAAAGAAAAGAGAATGCATGACAAATATACGTATTTACGACTCGCCTGCCCATGCTGAGAAGCAACCATTTGCAGTTTGGTAAGTCAAAGTTTATACGTGGATAAATATAAACTGTTGCCTTCAGTAAGGTTATTATTTTCATACCTGTGAATACAAAGAATATCTCCTCACTTTAGTTCACCGACTTTTGTATATCTAAAAGAATGTGAACAATGTGTTTATAGTGAGATTTCAGTATACGTATACGGCTTTACGGTGTAATTCAAGTACATACACCTTGCATGATTTGTAATTACTTTAAGACTACACAAAGTATAACTTAATTTATTAAATAGGGATAACCTCTGAGGGTTCTTCCTGACCATGCCAATGGTATCACAGTTTTGACAATCTATTTTCGTACATTTCAACTTCCCATAACCCTGCCAAACATTTCCTCCCCACTCCAAGCGTTGACCCTGCAGCCTTCGTTAACGTGCTCTATTTGTTGTTACGAACGCAATATTCTTGAGACTCACGAAAACTGATAAACAATGACCGAACTTTAGCACTCGTAACGTTGAACGCAACGATTTGTAACATTTCACTTGAATTTGACGCTTTGCGCAATGTTTAACTCGCTTAATATGCGGCGTTTGACCAGCACGCAAATCACACGTAGATATCAAACCATCTCCTCCACTTGTAGTAAAAGATACTGAAGTTTTTTAAGAGTGACGAAAATTATCCCAAAGTGAACAACTCACAGGTTGTGCTAATGAGAGGATATCTGGTATACATTAAGCCCTTATAGACGTACTTGACAAGTGGCCATATCGTGCTTGGTTTCCAAACCGATCGCACTTATTTAAGTCGTAGAAAAAGCGTTTTCCCTAAAGTTTCTTGCGAATATCGTATATTTTTGCGTTTTCAAATGAAGCGCAAGGCTCGTGGCCACCGTGGCAGTCTTATTAAGATGATGAAAGCAAATACTTAACGCGCAAATCGTTTTTAAACGCACTTTATGTTAAACTTACCAAATGTGGACGCAATTTATTCCAAAGTCTCTTGCGCAAAAACTCGGTCTCCGCGCAATCTCTCTACCCTGCTCAAACTGTCGTCTTAACTGATTCAAGCTGCTCTGTGATGTCTAAGTCTTATAATGCCTGAGAGATTTTATCTATATAGTTGTATTATCTGACCTGACAATCTGATTGGTCTATATAAACCAGCTACGTAGCCCCTGTGGCCAGCTAGCCCAGTAACGAGATTAGCAAAAACACTTGAGAGGAAATATCCGTTCGTAGCGGATAGTAAATTTCATTGACTAAGATTGGTTCGTAAATGAACTTGTATTCGAGTTCAGATTTACTATGATTTGTATTTGGGGTGATAATATAACGTGTGCAACTTTCACGCCAATTCTCATCATTAATTCTTACATTTCATGTATCGTTTTCATCTTTTCTATTCTACTGCCAGAATCCAGGACTATGTTTGAATACTTAAGGGAGAAGGTTACCATTATGACTCTTGTTAAATGACGTCGACGAAACGTGTAATCGCTGTGCAAACTGCATAAAAATTGATATTATATCCTAATGTTTATTCCGGAATCGTTCTATTTTCCATGCTTTGAGTCTTGTGGGGGGTCATCTGGTCATGATTCATAGTAAGTAGTGAATTATGATTGCATGATCTAGACACGAAGAACTGTCAACTCCATTTACTGCACTCTGATGGAAATATGCATCAAACGTGCTCAGGGAATCCCAAGCGTTCGCCATCGTGTTAAAATTCCATATTAATTTGCAGTTGTTTTGACAACTGGTAACAAGTTGTTATTGCGTTGTTACCGTTCTGTCATATCTTCTTCAACTCGAGTTCATGATTTGAGTTCATAATATATCGTGTCAACTCTCGTGTCGTGAAGTGGGAAAAATGTTAAATCCTCGTGTGAACCGTGAACCAGACTTAGGACACGCCGGGAATTCTGCACCTCGCTATAGAACATTCGAGAGTTCACAGGCAAATTAGAATTCCAAGACAAAACTCTGAATAATGTGGCCATTTTTTTATTCGACGTTTCGACTTTATTTAGTCATCATTTTTTTTTTAATCAAAATAACAAGTGTTTCTTGCACTTGTAATTGCACTTTCGTAAAAACCACGTAATCTAACCGTACTCACATATTGAATGAATTCTAGATATGCATACTCGAGCTCTATTTATATACCCTCAATCAAATAGACCTATCACTTATAAATTGTTCTTCTGATGTCCTAAAATAAACCTAATGGCTTTCAATGGCTAACTTATTCTTTTGGGAGATCAAAAAATACTTTTCTACTTCATAACTTTATCAGTGGGTTCTCGATTCTTCCTAGAGATTCGTTACTGATCCAGTTTTCCAATAAAAAACGAACTCAGTTCTAGCAATAGTGATACGTATTGACCAACATGATAGACAATATGAGCGATAAAAATTATCATGGGAAAAGACAAAGTTTAAAAAATCAAAAGCCCCGTGAGAAGACAATCTGTTTATTATGGTAATGTACACGCGCCAACTCGTAATAAAATTGCTTTCAGAACTATCAATAATGCATATCAACTTTTTTCCCTTTTTTACTTGTTACAAAATGTTCTAGTTTATCAACATTGCCCTAGTTGCGTGCAGCCTTGTAATTCCGGAAGTAAAATAGTAACCTCAGCCAGGATAGCAACATCATCACCGCACTCATCATACAGCCTAACGTCAAAGTTAGTCGCATTTACTCGATATCTCTGGGTAATTGTTTGTTGTGGAAAGACCCCACGCCTTGGCAACCTCCTAATTTTTTCACGATGCACAACAGTGACATCGCGCTTACATCGGCCACGCCCATGCGCAGCAGCTCGTGACCAGAGCATGAGATGTGTTTCTCATTACAGCCAGATCGTGTGAAAATATTTTCGTTTAATAAACTCGTCACAATGTCTCCTAGCATTCTTTACCGTCCAGCACCGCACTCACTTTCTCACGCTTCTCGGGTAGTAATGGTCTGTCTTCAATTATCTGCCTGCATTACTGCGTTTGTTACGTAAAATGCAAGCCCGAAAATTTCATCGAGTCGAACCGCGATAAGAGAATTGACTTAAATTGCAATTCATCACACTCCTGACTGCGCGCCGTGTACTCGAGATTATAAAGGGTAAAAAAGCGATGAGGCTTTGCAAAACAGGAAAAGAGCGCTTAGGTTGAACATGTTTTATTGCATGCTATAAATTGATACAAATCTTTAATATTTTGAAGAGCTTATCATTACCCAGTTCAGATGCCTGTCTGAAAGACGAGTATGCGATTTTCCCGTTACCTATCTGTGATCACGAAACTTGTTATCGTCTTTCTTTCTAGCTCATCACGCGTGATGACAAAAGGTGAATCAAACCTCGTACGTATATGGTTTTAGGCGTTAGATCTTGAATCGATAGATGCTGTAGCTGTTCCTTTAGTTCGTATTTAAAGTTTCCTAACAACACTGTCTTATAGTCCATGCAGTAAACGTATTTTAGTCTCTCCAGTAAGTAAACCCCCTCTCCCCCACCATCTGGCTTGCGTGAAAGGTTATCTGCTGGCTCTACCTAAGGGTTGGTTTGTAATGAACCCCTGACAGCTATTTCGACCAGTAGGTCGAAATCTTAGCGGGTTTTTTTTTTACAAAGGTACTGTTGAAATGTGCATTTTCATGACTACTTTAAAGCTTGGCATTCAGTAAACTTCAGTGGATAAAACACCCCCTCTCCCCCACCATCTGGCTTGCGTAGAAGTAAACCTGCTTACACTTCCAAAGCGTCAGTGTCTAACGAAGCCCTAAAGATGATTCTGACTAGTAGGTTTTGATATCTTAGAGCGAAATAAGGTACTCGGTGCAAACGTGCATTTCGGATTGCTTTAGAGTTTGGCATTTCGAATTAGAGTTAGCGACGCGGTATGGCTCCTTGACTTCTATAGCCATATATGGTTGTACGGTTCGTTGTAGAATTCTAAATCGACCTAAGTCAAATATATTTCGTCCTTCAGGATCGCGGACCATAAAAGGTTTGCACTTACTAAACAAATGCTTCAAAGCTATCTGGGAAGTGCAAATAGCAAGGAATTTAGAATGCTATTCTACCGGCATACCTGAGGAAAGCAATATAAACTAATCATCTTACTTATCTATAGTTGCTAAAACAATGTAGGCCTGGACACAACGCAAGAATGCTCGAGAATAGGTCATATCGACATAGTTATAACACTTTGGAAAGGCTTCCATCATTCCGAAGATATTTAGTATTTTACAAGGTCGGCTGACATCTAAAAATATTTGAGAAGTGAACCTAATGTAGACGCCAAGGCGACAAATCATATCAATATTTTTTATGTCGCCTGGTTTGAACCAACTGACAGCAGTAATATGCATTAACTCCGGACAAAAATGTGAGAAGCGCAGTAAAAATTCGATAATTGTATAGTTTGTTTATTTAGCATTTGAGTTGTTTATTTAGTATTCAGAGGTATTTATACAAATATTAGCAAGCAAATTTGATAATTATTTCCCTTTTAGAAATATTCATTATGCAATAAACGCGCCTTTGCCTGATTAAAAGTGCGCGTGGATATTTCTCGGGCGCGCTTAATGCGTGATCTCACTGCAAAACTGATCTCGAAATTATCGTGGACTGCGCATGATAAAGCACACGAACACTGAAGAAGGCGTGATGATCGTGTCCGATAACAAGGAAAAGCCACTGCTCCAAGAGATTGGATATTCGGCGGCAATTATTGTGTCTAATGAGTAAAGGTTCCAGAACTATCAAATGGTAACCCCCCGCATGTAACTCTTACTATTATCAAACAAATACTTATACTAATAGTAATAATATTCAATTCAGTTCATATTATGAAACAAGTATTAATAAATAATATTCAGTTCATATACTGAGTATTATAGTTAATACACTGACTTCATAAAAATATAGATTCAAACTAAACTCACCCTATAGAAGGTATTTCGTACTTTTCCAAGTTCAAGATTCACACTAATTCAAAAGCACGAACAGCTGTGCCGGTTAGTGTGTTTTGCCTTTAAAATATATACTGAAGCCTTGGTCCGTGGAGCGTGTGAAACGTCAGTGTAGTAGCCCTTTAACTCATTAGTGTATTTTTTAACCTAAAATGGTTGTAGACTAGTATATTTCACAAGAGAACGCACGCAAAACAAGCTTTTGTATATATCCGGTAATGAGAAGTGCCAACTACAATTGCAATATCAATGTTTCTGTTTCATTTTCCACACCAAATAAGTAGCAATACAGTCATTTAGGCTGAATTGAGGTGCTCAAATAGCCGTGTGAAAAATAATATACTTGGTAACAAGCTTAAAATATATTTACTTTTTGATATTTGTTTACGATTTTTCTGTTACAGACGGGCCATATATAGTTGGATTCATCATAGGCTTTCTTTGAAGCCCACTCACCACAGCTGCTTGAAGTCGGTAGAAGTGTATCTAAAGACCTGTCTTACAACTCTACAATGTCAATAAATTTTAATTTAAGTCACAATTATTATTAGTAACTGCTGTTTACAACTATCGCTTTCACTGTGCCTCGCATGAGATGATCTTAGTCGCTAGAATGATCACCTGTCTGTCACCTCTCAGATCGTCCATTTGAAAATCGAAAGTTTATGTAACAGCGTCACGATTTCCCAGCAATAACCTAACTCGTTGTTGAAGACAATCAGTCAAGCCAGTACACAAAACCTCTGCTTACCCTGGCAAGAACGCTTACAATCATGCCCCAATCAAGCACACTTCTAGGATGCGCTATGGATTACCCTCAAACTAAGATGCTTATCGTATCACTGCTCCTTTTATAATATGAGAGCTAAGACACTCATAGCAGATATTGGGATTTGTTTGCTTTCCCAAAAATGTAGAATACCCTGCATAAGATGTATTTCCTAACTATTGCATGTACATTTAGTACCGTTTTTACGGTTATTGCGCTAATTATCCTTATATGATCATTACATGTAGTTGTTGTACATTATCATTTTCGAGATGATTTCTTTTTAAGTCATGACAACTAAGTGGGGTTCTATAAAAACTTATTTTTAGCAACTTATGCAGTCAAGGGCCTCGGAAAAGCTGCAAAAAAGCTAGACAAAAATTGCAAAAAGGTACTCGTGCAATATTTTACTAAGTGGTAAAATCGTTAAAACCTATTAGACAAGAATACCCCCTGCATTGTTTAACAGGTATTTAACCTTAGCACAACCTGGCCTCGGCTATAAATACTCGCAAATTTTATTTTCTACTATTCTGTCAACATGGGTCACCTATGGCCGTTTACACAGTCGACCAATCACAGCGCGCCGTCTTTTAATCCTCATCTCTTCTTCAAGACCCCCTCATGTCTGTTATACAAACACACTGTATTAGACAAACAAGAAGATTATATACTTACAGTGAAAAGCTGCTTCTCTATTTCCTGATCTCATTGTAGAGCCATAAATTGCTCGAAAGAATTTGACCTAACAAGGTTTTAAGCTTGCGCAATTCTATCATAGAAGTATTCGACTAATTTCTAAATTTACTTGTGCATACCGTGTGTTGCATCACTTGCATGCAATATATAAGATTTCGGCGATTTCTTTTTCGAGAGGAAATTTCATCACGTTAAGTGTTCTATCCATAAGAATTTTTCTGCTTCTTCAAGTCGATTAGTTCGTTTACCTTTCATTCCAGGCCCTTGAGTATCTCATGAAAATTTGTCAGTTATACGTAAAATTTGCCGTTGTTTGCGGAGTTAGCGAATGCCATTAGTGCGGCAAATACTATAATTGACAAGGGCACTCGAAATTAAAGTTGAATTTTGCGACTGTTCCTGCTAAGGTTATAAATAAACAAAAAATTCCGGCCGAGTCAGTTATCCACTATATACCTCACTTGAACCGTATTACTACAATCCTTTGTCGGTTTTAGACGTGGTAAACAAATTTGTGCTGTATATACGGTTTTGTTTGAACGCGTATTGTTTATGTTGGTGCAGCCGTGCCTTAAAAACAGTCATTTTAAATCGCACGTCCTTCCGGATTTACTGTAATTATAAACATATCTTAATAACAAAGTACAGTTTTAAAGTATTAAAGTCGGCTGGATAACAAGGTTTTCAACAATCGATCAGTCGCTGAAATCGCGTTTAAAGTAAAAAAACGTTTCTAATAATTCTGTCCACAAATTTACAATTGAGTATTAGCACTAAAACGATTACATTCTTTTTTCGAAAAGATTCGCACGCAAGGAGTTTACGGAGTAGAATTTACAACTTAGTTATGTGATATTCTGTGAGCCCTGCTGGTTGTCGCAGCTGATGCGCAATTTCCGCACCTGTTCACCGCTTCTAAATTTAGTTCCTCTAAGCTGCAACGCACCGTATGCTAATGATTAGAAAGTAAATACTTTCAATATGCGTTCTCACGGTTTCATTGTGTTAGTTTGTAAACACTTATGTATCATTTCTGGTGGCGTGTTTTGAAAGTTCTTTTAAAGCGTGGGGAAGGGGCGTTCCCTAAAGAAAAGAGGTTATATTCAAGTTAGGATACCAAGGATCTATGCGGTTACAGATAGCGCTATTTTGTGATGAATTTCTCTCGTAGCTGTGATGTGTTTTATCACGACATTCATATCTGAGTATCTATGTTCTTTCGGGGAGAACATAAACTGGTTCGAAGTTAGCCGGTAAGCCTTACGCGGCTAACTTCGCACGCGACTTTCTCCGAAGTCTTTTTACATCCATCTATTTGTGTAAAATTTGTTCATTTTGATTTCCCATTCGCGAAGATATTTATTAATGCTCCTAGTACCCGTAATTTCAGAACCAAAGTACTTCAATGACTTCAATCCTCTATATATATATTGGATTGGTGAGTTTTAATTGTTCATGCAATAGCAAGTGGCACTGTCATTGAGTCAACTCCAACATGATAGTACACATTGTGGGAACAAGACTGATGACAGTGCATTCCTGTAAGCTGCAGCGTGACAGTGTCTTCTAACAACTTCGCCGGCATTAAAAGGTGTTATAGAAACTACCTAAAATAGACAAAAACACTTCTCGTTGTTTCGATCTAAGCGCCTTCGTCCGGAGAGTTTGTATGATTTGGTCGAAACGTCGAGAAGTGATTTTGTTTATTTCAGTAGGCAGTTGTTATGACATGCAGTGCCGGTTGTAACGGATTTGTGTTTTCACTTTTCACGGCCAACATCGGATCAGCAGTTTTACGAGCTTTGGGTGTGAAGTGGTGACGGTTATTGTATGTTATCCAAAAATATAAAAAATTGAAAAAAATGTCTTACTGCTCGAAAATCAAACTGGAGGATTGAAGGTTGCCATCCTTGCGTCAGAACATAGGCAACCCAATGGCGAATGGTTTTATTTTTTATTTTAAAAAAATGCACACTTTGATGAAATAGACACATTATGTCATTTATTGACATGCTTATGTACTTGTCTATAATTAACATGCTAATATGCGTGTCTGACAATGTTCAGATATGTAAGTATTATAATAATATAATATAATATAATACCTATGATAATATTAGCATGTAAATTATAGACAGGTACAAAAGCAGGTAAATAAGTGACATAATGTGTCAGTTTCATCAAAGTGTGCATTTTATTTAATAAAAAATGAAACCATTCGCCATTGGGCTGCCTATGGTCAGAAGGGCCAAAATCTAACCATGATTAGAGGGATTCTTTAATAAGTGCCTACGATCTTTTTCTTAGGGTTAGTAAACTCTAAAGTCTATGATACTCTATAGAGTTCTTTGAAGTCAACTGCTGCACGCGTAAAGACGTAAGTGTGTAGTGTTTCTACCCTGCGTTCTCAACTTTTACTGAAAAAGCCATAAACGTTCACTCAGACTACTCCCTGGAACACACAAGAGCCTGGGACCGAGCGTCCAATATGGCGGAAAAACAGTCGGATTTTAAAAGTACAAAGGTATTTATGTTGTTTTTTTGGCTTAATGCATTTTCCACCAATTCATTTTCCTTGTTCCAAGTTATATGTGTTATTAAATCAACCAAATATTTCAAAGATAGCTCTTTTACATGCTGATTCAACATAATTAACGTTTGCAATAGCAGCACATGGAAATGATGGAACCTAAATAGTGTTTTAATAGAATAGCATTGTTCTTTACGTCAATATCATTTTATATCAAGGAGTGCTCCCAGGATGCCGTCGAGTCAAGCGATGTTCCATTTCTATACAATGGGCAATTCTTTATACTGGCTGTCCTCTGTTCATTGCCCCTTCTGTACTTTGGTGGAGAAAGGTAAACTACTTTCCCTGAGCGCCTGATGGAATGAATAAAGCTTTGGACTACAGTCACTACACATCTGACATTTTTAACTTTAAAAACATTGCCACTTTGAGTGCTGATTATTGGATTCCTCCTTTTTTGGAAATGTTCAAAAGCATTTTCCAATCAGTGCAAAAGTTTTGCATAGTTACTATCTAGACAAACAACCCATAAATTATACAAGGCTGCACCAGTGAGCTCTATATAGAGAGCTCACTGGGTGGCACTTACAGTGTCTCATATAACATACAATCTATTTGCCTTATTATTTAGGTTGTTTGGAGTTGGTGCGCTGTGTTTAGTGACTGTTTATGTATTTCACATCTCCTTTCACGAAACCAAGAGGTACCTTTGGTCATTCTAATAGTTCAACTTTGAAGAGAAACAAAATCCTTCAACTCATTCAATCCTCATGTTTTTGTATTTGTGATTTTTTCTAGTTCAGTTATTGGTTTTGTTATTTGTGTTGCTATTATGCAGTTTGCTATTCTTTATTCCATTGGACCTCTTATCTGGTTTGTGCTAGCCATTTGTACATCCTATGTCAGACTATGTCCCTGTGATATAATTATGTCATCAATCACACAATCCATAGAATTTCTCATTGAGCGACCTCTACTAATTTTTGCCTTCTGGTTCAACATCTCAACTGACACTGACCACCTTCACTTGCATTTATATTGAAATTTATCGAGGAAAATATTATGTTTACACAAAGCCTTGTCATTTCAGGCAGTCTGTTTTCAATGTAATATTTCTACTCGTCTACAATGTTTTCATTGTGCTCACAGGTTGGTATAATGTTGGTTATTTTGGGTATAATGAGGCAGTCTCCTTTATAAGCAACTAGTCATTCCAAGGTTGCAGTGTGGGCTTAGTGATGATGGGGCTAGAAATCAGAAATCCATTGTCCAACTGTGGTGATCATCAACACATTGCAATAAGCTGGCTTCTGAAGTCATGAATGAATAATAAATGTAACTATTTTATCTCTACTTCAGGTGGTTTAGGCTTGCTGCAGTTTGAAGTATTTCGCAGAGATGAAGTTGATTTTTGTGAAGTGAGTTTTGAACAATACTTCTGTAGATATTGTTCTCTTGGAAAATTGGGACATGGAGCAAGACAAAAACCAGTTCATTGAATGTTAAGTCTCTACCTCCAAAACATTTTTCTTTGCATTTTTTTCTTCAGAATGTGGAGTATTTTCTGTTCTTGCTGTATCCTCCATGTTGTGTGCTCATCCTAATGTGGCTAATTTCCTTAGCCTTTGGTGTTCATCTTGCTCCTTATTCAATCATTGCAATTGGGTGAGTCGACTTCTTATTGGTGACCCATCCTCTGTTTCGTACGTAGTCATTGACCGAGAATAAAATACCATACTTTAGATTTCCGATGTGTCATACGTTTTTGGATCCAAAACTGAGGCCTAGTTTTTCAACAAAAAGTGGTAGGTTTCTCCAGACGCGAACAACACCACGATCAACGCTATTGCTAAAAGCCTAATTGGAGGGGGTGCATATTCATTTATTCGTCTTATCCCCGACTGATTTCTTTTTTTAGCTATGGTTTCTATAGCCTACGCGTAGACTCAACTTAAGTTATTGGTTTCTACGGTTGTACAAACATGAATATATGAGTATACACCTCCCAATTAAGCTTCTAGCGACGGCCTACGCTTTATTACCCAATTAAGCTTCTACTACGATTGATGATTTGCATGCCTAGTAATGAGTGAATGCAAATTTAAAAGGTACTGTAGTTGGGGTACTTTATCCGGCGCTTCTTGTGTTCAATCAATGATTACCAAGTCACCCAAATCGCGTGGGTCCAAATGTTCCAGTCGTAATTTGAAAATTTATGGGTGAACTTTTTAAAACGTACGTTTTCTTTAGATCAAGTTCTTGGTCACCCTGAAAAAATGTTGGCCTTGTTTAACTTCGTATTTTCTCCAAGCTTTGTCTACTGTCTTGTCAATTTCTTCAATCTGTTGCATCATGCTTCGTTGGTGAGTACAAGAAGATAGATAAACAGCTAGCTCATTAAGATCAGATTGCATAATTATATGGAACATTACAGCTTGATATCATCCAAGGTATTTGAAAATTTTGAAGAGAACTTGGACGGTTCAAATAAAGGATTAGGGTCAGGATGAGTCGACACCGCCGAAATTGGTAAAATTGAAAAATACTTAGCCGCAATTCTCAACACTTGGTGAGAAACTTGGTGAAAAAAAGATTTATAAATGCTGAACAAAATATGTTTTTGCACAAAAGATTTGAAGCTTGCACACGGCAAAAGCCAATCGTCTGAATTAAAAACCTTGTGTATACTTTAAGCCTTAAAATGGCCTTTTCACAGCTGTCAGATGTGTATGATGAGTTGTCAAAAGATTGCAGAATGCGTATTCGGAAGAAAAACAGAACTTTTTGAAGTTATTCAATAATTTTCTCTTTGATAGCGATACAGAAATGCACAATTGTGAACCAGTGATCAGATTTTCGGGTTGAAACTTCGTAAACACCAATTTCTGCGGTGTTGGTTGAGTCGAGCCAACACCTATTTTACGAACTTTCAAAAAAAAGGTCTCTTCTTGAAAGGTCAACTTGACTCTCTCCATACGTGCTATTTGCAGTTAAACAATTTATCACCCAACGCTTCGTTTAATATTCGCCTCCTCTCCCACATCTTTTTAACTGGATATGAAATTAATTTTTCCATCCTAGATTTCTGCGTTATTTTGTATTTCTGTTCCACTGTTTTTAATCACGTTTCTCGACACGACAGATCTTAGAGACATGGCAGGTAAGATGATGATGAGTTATCAAGCGCATTCCTAACTTTTGAAAGACAAAACTAAATAGTAATCGCTCGACTCACTATTTCGTTGATATTCTGAGTTTGTTTTCTTCCTTTGGTAACGAAGTGAACCCAATTGTAGTTATTGTACTATATGTCGCCCTCATCCGTCTTCATGCTGACGCGGAAATTAAATTGAGAATACATAGTCCTTATTCTATATTTCATTCTAGATATTAGAAACTCACAGTGGCAGATATTTCAAGTTGTTACTGGATGTTTTTCTTTGGTAAGCAATTACAACACTGCAATTACAACACTGAATACGAGAGACAAAACCACCCAAAGAATAAGTTGAAATTTGCTACTTTGTCAAGTTACTTTAAACTTTCGTAGCCGATGAAAAGAATAATATAGCAATGGTCCCTCCGGCGATCGCATATCTCTTCAGTAATATGTTCTGACTTGTCTTCAGTACAGAAGATTATCGAGTTTTACATGAACAGCCTTTTAAACTTGGTTTCTACCTAGTGTCTTTTTTGGTTGTTTGTTGTTTTCTGTTTTGGTTTATATACCTCGTAATTTTCGTGAACATGCATATCAAGGTGGTTGATCTAATGGAATCTTGATAGCTACTTATGCGCAGTTAACAATAGCCGGTTTAAATACAAGAAATATAAAGATTTTTAATAAATTAGAATCCTCTAAGGCTCTATTATTTCACATAGAAAATGACTTGTTTAAGACAGAATGAAAACTAGGCCAGCCTTCTCGTTACATTTCGCTCGAAAGGCATATTGTGAAAGATATTTGTGGATTAAAAAACACACTGGGATTGGAAACCTTCTAGATATTTATTCCTTTTTACATATCTTTTTTGCCTATCTCCATTTCATAGATACTTGGTGCTATACTTGCCTATTTACATGAAGTTGTTGACGGAACGAATGCAGTCTTTCTTGCCGTAATCCTGGCTTGCAGTACAACCTTGTTTTTCATCGTTAAATACAGATACTCAAAGATTGTGAGTCTCCCGTGAAATCACCGTATTAGTATTAACAGCAAACATTCATTGGATTCACGAATAAATATTTCCCATGTTTTTTACCGATGGTGCTAATATCAAATATTTCTTTAAAAATTGGAGTGAAATTCTCACAAGATCGTATGTACATCTTCAACAAACAAGGCACTAAGGCCACTCATGTACCATGTGACGCGACAGTATGCAATACTTTCAAGTGCTTGCAAACTTTAGGAACACTATAGGAGACATGCTAATCAATATCACCACTTTGAAAAAAAATCGCAGATTGTCAATCTAAAATTAGAGCACATTAATACGAGACGGTAATTCAGTCAATTTATCACAAAACTTGACTGATTTACCCTCACCTATTCGAAGGCATTGCCATCGTAAATACACACTAACCACGCTTGCTCTTGTAAGCTATCTCTGTAGCTCAGTGGCATAGGTTCGTTTGGCGTAGGTTCGATTCCTACCGGTGGACCGATAGTTGACTTCACAACTGTTCCTAGCTTTAATTTGAGTTGGGTACGAGATCGTTGAGATGTGTGTTTAATCGAAAACAAACTTCCGTTACTTGTGAAATTTTCGCGCTAAGTTTGAAATTTTTTGAAGAAAATATTCCACGGAAGAAAATTCATATTTATGTCAGGAGTTGATTTTTCATAGATTTTAAGATTTTGTATGCAATGCGATTTTGATGACTTTTGTCTCATTTTAGATGTCGTCTTTCACATGTGGATTTCTTTTGATTACCTACCTAGCCTGGTTCACTACATTACCCTGGAACTTGGAATATCCTTTTTTTATGTACTTCTGGCTGTGCAGTCCTACCCGGTTTTGTAGATGCGAGGGAGGGTGGGTTGCCATGTAGTGCAGAATGAAAGTTAAAAAAGACCCAGTGTCAGGGAAGGTGTTGAAAAGACAATGATGTGTGTCATTGAAGAAAGATTTGAGTTTGAAAGCCATGCATTGCTGGGGTGTTGAAAATATTGGAGTAGGTAGTGGTTGGAAAGTAATAGTTTCGCGAGTGATATGAATTGGGAAACAGATCAAGCAACTGGTAGGAACAGCTATGTAGTCGCTGTACTATGTAATGGAATAATTCTTATATACTGCAGCATAGACCCACATGTTGCTGCTATCTTGTCTACATTTCTTTAACATCGGTCCAGTTTTTCAATTGGAAATGAGATCAAGCTGTCGTTTTTCACAGTGGACCTATTAGTCTCATTGCTTGGCGTTATTTCAGTTGTGGCAGTGGCTGTCTCGCTCAGTGTTCGCTACAGATCAAATTTAAACCATATTTTACTTCTGCACACGTTTGGTAAGTAAATGTTGTAACTCATGGAGCTATAACCATAGAGTCAAAAAAGTAAGTTGTATTAATGATTTCTTTGATAAAGGTAAACATAGGTAAATTTAGGTTGACTCAACTAAACAAAAAGGAGGAATAGTTTGGAACTGCGTGGCAGAGCTGTTAAACCATTCTGCATTTTATCTTTTAATTAGGTTTCGTTGTTTTGGAGATAGTTCTGGTGGACAGCGAGGCGTATTCGCCATATCTGATGATCTTGACAAGCCTTCTAGTACTATATTTGGTGCAAAGGTACCTCTGTCTAAACTGTGCATGGTGGGTTTAGTTTTGGATTAGGTTGTTAATATCTGAAACCTTCGCTAAATCTTGTTTGAACCAGACTTTAGACTAGTAAATCATACACGGAGGATGTTCTATCCAGTCGTTGCTTTAGATCAGTCGAAACAAAAATTATGGTATTTTCTAGACTATACAATGTTCGACGTCTGACCAAAGCCTCAGCTGTGATGTGTTTTTCACTTCATGGTACTAAACTACTATTAATACTTACGTCTTGGAACACAAAGTTGGAAGCAACGACATCGTTGCTTGTCGTTTTCTCTGGGTTCGGTGCTTGTGCCACTCTTACCAACATTTTTATCTTTGAACACAACAAGCATCTCGACAGGAATGAGGTATGGTATTACTGCATGTGTGTTCCAGGTGTGGATAGTTTCGTAAGAATTAGCCATTTCCCAATCGAGCAGGGTACTGGGTCTAGTCGCGAACCGCAAACCATCTATGGACTGTTTGGAGGGACAGGAAATATAAGTCTGAAATCATTTGTCCCTCCAAACAGTCCATAGATGCTTTGCGGTTCGCGACTAGACCCAGTACCCTGCTCGATAGGGAAATGGCTAATCGCTTTGGGTATCGGTTAGACCACCAGGAGAACGCGCAGTAATGATTGTAGGATAATGTGCAAAAATCCGAATATTCTACAGTATCTATCAACAAAATCCTGCGGAGGGGTGTTGCGACTTTTGCAAAAGGGTGTTCAGGGGCACTGCTTGATTTCTTCCTCTCTCTTTCCTAAATTAAAAACTGCGATTCTTTCCGTTTTAAAAATGCAAGCCACAAAATATTCACCACATTTTCCTCCCCATTTTGATAAAATTTCGCTCTTCCCCAGGCTTGTCCCCATGCACACATGCACACGCCTTTGTTTAAAGTGCTTGGGTAAAATGATTTCTGCGTCTTCTGCAATATGACCGACGTCTCACCACTGAAACTGGAAGTTTTTCACCTTGATGGTTTTTTTCCTTTGTTCGAAGATTTTAGGTTACACAGGCATCCTGTTTGGGTCTTTGGTTCTGTTATCATCCACGTCTATTCAGTCATTGTGTGTTGTTTTGAATCATAGCGATTCTTCATCTGCCGATATTATTGGTAGGTTTTGGACACAGATTAAGGTATTTTAGAGGGGCAAGTGAACGTGAAGATGTAAATGTATACCAGGCAGAAGTGAGAGCGGACGACCTAAAATCTGAAAGCACTATTTGAATTTGCTGCTACCCCACATCCAATCCACCTCACCCCCCCCCCCCTTGCAAACGACAGTTTCATTCACATCCATTTTAACCCAACCCACATGCGTAACCATAACTTTAAGGTATTTTTCCATTTTAGGTATAATTCTTATCCTGACGGGCGCTTGCTTTGCGAAGCTTGCTTTTCTTAATTCTGAAGAGCAAGCGATGAAGAAACAAAGTATTCTTGTGATATTTACTGGAGTTCTTTTTACTATCCTTCAACCACATGCCAGTATTGAGGTGACTACAAATAGCTAGACAGTTATATAATATTCACTGGACCGCTAGGAAGAACAGTTTTTCGAACTAATAGCCATTAATGTTTCACGAAATATCACAGTTAGGCTGGATTTCCACTTACAGAGAAATAGTTAGCTAGCAAAATATTTGCATATTTTCTTTAAAATTTTAACAGCATAAACAAATAGTTCAGGCATTACTGTCCTCAATTCAAAGGAAAATATGCAAATATTTCGCTAGCGAACTATTTCTCTGCAAGTGGAAATCCACCCTTATAGTTGGTTACTGAGTTGCCCCACCCCTCCCCCAACAAATATTACGTAAACGTCGACATAGACCGCATCTTAGAAAGGATCTGGGTAGGAGAATGCATTTCGTGCAAAAACCTAGACCTTGTAAGAAGGTTTATACGGGACACATTTGTTTCAAACTTCTGAGTAGCTCGAAGCATGGCTTAAGATTTAGTACACAATTTGGGCAATTCATCGGAGGTGTCCTATTGTCTTTGATAAAAATGAAAAAGACTATTATAAAAATTGTAGAACATCGTCAAATCACGACTACTAAAGTGTACCTCAGATTGATTCATCCGATTTTGGTGTTCCTTTCCTGCCCGAGACATGCCTGACCCGGTATGTGTGATACTCTTCGATGAGTATAGGTGTCCATTCAAAATTCTTCATCCCATTTGTTTAGGTCTTCACACAACTACCAAAATTGATTTTTCGTGAAGTATTTTATGATACGTGGGCTGTGATCTTCGCTGAGTGAGTACTTTTTATTTGTGCCAAAATATCGATTTTTAATCACCAAATAATAGAAATAAAATTTGATCAGAATATTAGAAAGGATCAGAATAATTCAATATTTGGACCAAACCTAATCGGGAGCATTGTTTCGGAATCTCAGAGCATTTCTGCTAGATGACCTATATATAGATTGCAGCTCTCGTAACATATACCCGGTTTATATTGCAATATTCTGATCCTTCCTAACGAACCATCTAGAAATATAATTTGGCTGAAATGCATGATAAAAAAAACCATTTCCATGTCTAAATATTAAAGACATACTCATCGGTATAAGGTCTTAAGTCTTAACGAAGAAAACCTAATTTTTCAGGTATATTATTTTACCCTGGTGTTTGTTTGTCTCGCTATCCTTCGTCATGTTGTTGTTGTTAAAGTTGCTATCTCTAAAAGCAATGACAGCAATATTTGTTATAATAATGTCTGTCTGCATTGGAGCACCGCTTGGTCTTTATGTCGCGCATTGGGTAAGTCTGAGTGAACAGTCAAGATTTTACGTCTTAGTTGAAAAACCTTATGATGATTTTTTGTTTGCTTTTGTGTAGGTCCTCCTTTATCCTAAATTAACCTTAACGATGATTTTTGTTTGCTTTTGTGTAGGTCCTCCCTTATCCTAAATTACCCTCATCATTCTTGTCCATCCCTTATATCATCTCTGCAGCAATTGTGACAAGCGCTGTGCTATTGGCGAGCAAAGGACAATCGACACTCGACACCGGCGTGAAAATGTAATGCTTAATACTCCCTATTTCCCATGCATTGAAAATTACCTTGCAGAACACGATTCAGTATTAAAATAGTGTATATTGTATACTGTATGCTGGATACAGATTAACTAATGCATAATTTGTATAGCTAAAATGTGATTTCAATTACTGTAGAATCACTTTTTCATTGTAATAGTGCATAAGACTCAGTTGTATATATTGATTGCCACCGTGAGCAAGCTAATTTTTCAGCTTACCCGGTTGGTGACTCAGAGTAGCATCATCACAGCATTCATTCATTTTTTTCAAAGTCTATTAAAATTTTGATGGACGATTATTTTAGAACACATCCATCATGTTTTTTTTTATGTTCTTCTCACATATAGATACGTTGTCTTCCTCATTGTTTCTATCGCATCCGTAGTTGGAGAAGTTTATTGGAAAATACGTATCAACTTTTTACAAAGTATGTACACAATGTAGATGCATGTATGTCATGCATTTAATAGTTATTGTAAACTAAAAGTCGCGTCTTAATATATTTTTAAGGCGAAATTCCACCGAGTGTCATATACCAGGTCTTTCTTCATCTTATAATGATCATTCTTAGTCGACCTCAATCTGAGCTGCAAACATCATTGGTAAGTTGAGCTAAGCTCTATAGAATACTTTGTTTCTGTAAAGTGTAGAAGAAGATATAGATGGAAGGCTATTTACACCTTTCTCCTTTTTGTCTCAATAGGAAAAGAAGGACCCCATTTTCTCAAATGCCACTCGTAATATTTCAGTTCTTCTGGTTTTTATCTGTGGCTTGGCATTCTCACCCAAGTATTACTATGATATAATGGTAAGAATTGACTTGGAAACATCACCAGGCCAGCCACGTTTATAAACCTGTGGTCGTTTGTACGAAGGCTGGATAGCGCGTTTTTCCCCCCATAGTGATTTTTTCAACCGTTCTAAAAATGCTTGAAAAGCAATAAAATTTCAGTTTTGGAACCAACAATTATTAAATAGGATCCTCAATTTAGGAATACTTAGATTTGATCAAAGCCAACAACGGGCTTTAAAGCGATTGAAAAGACACTATCCGGTGGATAGCGCTATCCGGCTTTCATATCAAGCCCGTTTAGCTTAAACGGTGGTTAAGTTCAAAATAGAAAGCAAGCGTAGCATTTTATTCAACAAGCAAACTTTATGTTTTGAACCTTAATACAAAGATACTGTTTACAACTACATATTCAGTGCATAATATTCAAGTTCACTCATTCAAGAGAGATCTAAGAGTGTTTTTTAATAATTTTGACTTATCTACCGTTTTAAGCTAAACGGGCTTGATACAACCGGCCCCTGAACAATAATTAACTTCAGTGAAACACGCTATGTGATTGGTTAAAAGCCGTGTTAGATGGGCAATCCTGTACGAGGAATTTGCCTTTCTCACGATGACGAATATATGCCGCCATTTTTGGGGTACTTTTTCTTAAAACCGGAAGCCTGAGACCTCATAATGGCCACAGTCTTTAATTTTAGGCTGGATTTATTCTTCTATTGGTCTGTTGATTCTAAAAATATTGCCTTTCATCTTGTTATAACTTTTAAAGCCCATTTGAAAAAATTTAAAGTCCCCAAAAACGTGATCGTCATAAAGGCTAATTTAATTACCTTCGCGTGTGGGATTTCCTGCACCGTTAGACGGAATTATCACTCAAATGTAGTACTTTCCACCATTGCAATCACACAAGATTTCTATAATTGTTTTACTCGTAAGATTTCTATTTTGTTTTTACTTGCAAGATTTCTATACTGTTATAAATATATGACTTCTTATTTAGCTTGTGCCTGTCTGTGGACTTGTATTGATGTTGAGAACGAAAAATGTTGGCGTTTTGAAAATAGGAAAGAATGAATCTACCTTGAAGAAAGTTCTTTTCGCAGGAATCATATGCTGCATCTTGTACTACAGGCTAATCCAACAATTACCATTGGATAAAGCAGGCTTTTGGAGCACTGTAGGTGAGTAGGTTACTGCAAAAAGGCCAAATAGACAATAGCACGAAGTAATATTAGTGCGCACGAAGTAATATCGCTTGCGGCTAATCAACAGCTATCTTACTAAGTGGCACTTAACTGGATTTCATAGCAGAACAGTTTAGGACTGATACAGCTATCCAAGTATGAATAGAGTTAGTTATTTTTAGTAACACAGGTCGGTAAGGAATTTATGTAACACAGAGCCGGTTGTATGAAAGCCGGATAGTGGTTTTTTGAATCGCTTTAAAATCGTCCGTTGTTTGCAATAACTTTGATTAAATCTTAGTATTCCTAAATTGAGGATCCTCTTTAATAATTGTTGGTTTCAAATCTGAAATTTTATTGCTTTTCAAGCATTTTTAGAACGGTTGAAAAATCACTATCCGGCCCCAAGAGTATAATCTCTATAATGCGTGTTCCAAACTAATGAATTTGATTTGTTTCGTTTTCATAGCTTTTGTCCTGGAGGTATCTGTTGCCATTGGTTCGTTCCTAGTCTTTCTCGTTATATTTTCAACGTTCTGGCATCAATCTATCTCTCGGAGCGAAGAACTATTTCTAGCAGTATTGTGTCCTGTTTTTACGCTGATGTTATTTTACGGTAGAACAACCGCTGGACAAGTGCTAGGGATAGTGGGCCCAGCTTTAGCTTACAATGCATTTTACTACCCTTCTAGGTAACCAACTTGATCCCAGGACCAGTTCCTGGATTCCTGGAAAGTCTTTGCATAATTATCGACTAAAACATTAGGTTTTAGCGGCAGGAATTGAGGCTTACAATCAGTTTCAAAGTAGTTGAGACACTCGTAATTTAGGGCAAAAGTAGATTTAATTTTTTTACTAACGAAACCATCTATTGAGCCTCCCTTCTTCCATTCAATGTTTTTGATCCAAGGTCTCTGCAACATTGATTTGAGGGCGAAGGGAAGCAAATTGAAATTGATTGTTACCCCAGGAACGACGCTGGGACAATGCGAATGCAAAGGGGCAAAATTTTCCTTGGAAGGGCACTTCTAAATTGGCACATGCTACTGATGCTAGAGAGTGTGTTTGCGAAACAACGACAGTTGAACAGGTTTGCGGTTTCTAGGGCTTTTACTCCAGAGGATTGTGTTAAACTTGAAGCTCGTAGTTGAAGCATACAATAGCGTTGCTTAAGCAGATTTATTCACGAATTACAATGACGTTCCTCAGGTTAAAAGACTAATCTTTGGCCCCTCCTCCTATCGGAAGGCAAGACTCGAGAGTCCCTGCTTAATCACTTGTTAAATCCAATATCAATTTCGGGGGAAGGGACTCTGGGGACTTAAGCCTGTATATAACGCCGACGTCGGCAAAGCATTATTGTCGGTGATTATTGATGAGTGAAATATTTTGTCTTTCTGAAATCATTTCTCCTTGGATGATTACAGAAAATAAGTCGGCGAACGGTCGGCGTCATATGGACCAGGCTTTAAGCCTGTTTCACACTTGTCCTAAGAATCTAGGATTCGGGATTCTCTTTGTCTAAGGTCACTAGTGCGCAAACTGCTGTCTATCGGAAAGTAATACAATGGATCCCCGATTCTTAGGAGCCAGTGTGAATCAGGCTTAGACAGAAAATAGGTTATATTTTTAAAATTGTCAAAAGAAAATTTCATAAACAATTTTTCTACACAAGCCAGTTGTACTGTTGGGTAATGAAAGTCGGATGATTCTTCCTAGAAAAGCTATTTTGGCCATAACAGAAATATTATGGTTACTTGTTGACGCATTTTATATCCACTGTAATTTCCTCACATTGAAGCAAGAAGTCGAAGCGAAAATTCTCGAATTCTACAAGGCCAGATTTTTCCTTTGTACGTGGTTGATTGCTGTCACCTTTAAAGTAATAAATCTGCTGCCATCCAGGAATATTAAAGGTGCTGCTAGCCTGGACACAGACCTTCGTTTCGCTAGGGTGCTGCCCCAGGCTTTCGTGATCCCATTTGACTCGTTCACCGAAGTGACCGGAAGTGGTGGTGAAGTACCCAGAAACGAACCGGAAGTGTAGTAAGGCAACGTCACTGATTATTTGTTGATTGTAGCCCTTCCATTTTCACGTTCAACCTGAAACCTGCTTTGAGAAGTGTGATTCGAAACTATGGCTCAACCAACACCAGTTTTACACCGAGGAATAGTTAAACAGGCAAGGAATAAATACATTTTCAAACGTATATAAATATTTGCTATTTTCGTTAGCAGTGTTTTATTGGTCATTTTGTATGTGAATATTTCTTGTTCGTTCGAAGTGTGACTAGTTTATACTTTCAATTAAATCTCTTGTATTTTAGGTGCTCTCTGGGGACAGTGTTATAATAAGAGAACAGCCAAGAGGAGGGCCTCCGCCGGAGAAAAATCTGGGACTTTCAAATGTTACTGCCCCAAAATTATGTCGGCGACCAACAGCGGCTGTGTCTGCCGAGGGCCGTGATGAGGTAACACTAGCATGCTTGAAGCCGTGATTTTCTACTCTCTTGCTCTCAAATTTTGCCTAAATAATGGCTAATTATAGCTTTAGATACTTATTTTGTGAGTAATTATTTGAAAGCGATTGAATGTGTGTAATTGTAGGCTAAAAACGTGATCTTTGAGAATTTTCTGATACAAAAAGAACAATTAATCTAGTCAACGTGCGTTCTGGGTCGGGTAATTAGCCAATCAGATTACAGAACGTAACCCTTAACAGGAAAATCGAATATTTGTATGTCCCAGTGTAAATAAAGAATAAATCGATATAAAACCGTTTTAATTCATTTTGAGTTTTTAGATTTCCTTTTTTTTACTAGTATAAAACAATGAATCACAATCCATGGATTGTTGGATATTTCTAAAAGTACCATAGTAATTTGGGCTGTTTTGTGATATATGAGCTAAAAACAAAAAAATAACAATAAAGTTACTGTCAAATTCAAAGTTACTTCTGGCATCCTCCACCCTCCTGGTTGGTCCTTCAACACCTCATGCATCAATAAGCTTTTTTTTTGCATTTAAATGGTGTTGAATATCCAAGATTGTGATCTAATAGATCATTGTGATTTATAATTTCACCAAATTAGTGGCAAGTGAAAATATTTTATGCGAGTAATATTATTTTACATCTTTTATTCCAGCCATGTGCCTGGGAAAGCAGGGAGTTTCTAAGGAAACAAATAATTGGGAAAGAGGTCTTTTATTCAGTTGAATATAATGCTCCTGGTTCAAACAAGCATTATGGATGCATATATCTTAAGAATGGTAAATATACTTATTGCAGTTATCTATTGTTAATAGGTTGTGAATTACTTGACTTGTCTTGATATGGACAGTTTTGCTAGTTGTTAACGAAATCTGATAATTTCTGTAATATGAAGAACTTGATTGTTGATTTTTAGGTGACCAGTTGCAAAACATTACAGAGCTAAGTGTTTTAGAAGGTTTGCTGGAAGTGAAGAGAGGTGGCATTAAAGCCAATGAGTATGTTTGTGAAGAAAGATATTATTGTTCTCCATTGAAATAAAGTTGTCTATGTTTTCCTTGTTTTCTCTTTGTTAATGTAGTGACCAGAGTAAGCTTATTGAAATGGAAGAAGCAGCAAAAGCAGCAGAAAAGGGGAAATGGGCAAAAGATGCAAGTGAGGTATTGTCCCTATGTATTTATCTCTATGGTACAATTAAGATATTTGAGACTGTATGTTGTTAAATTATGTGTTTTGCTTGACTGTTAGAATTTGCGGTAACTTCACCATCTAGGTGAACAGTATCAAATCTCTGTATTGACAGATTATCAAATGAGATATGGTAGAATATTGTAAGTATGCAAAATCACCTATTGTTATCATTGTATTTATAGCATATACGGGAAATTCATTGGTCCATTGAAAATCCAAAACATTTTGTTGATGCTAATTCAGGAAAGGAATTTAATGGTAAATATTTTTTTCTAAACCTCTACCATATTTACACTACTTTAGTTCTTACTTTGCTCAAGTGATTCAATGTCAAAGTACAGAGTACGTTTTGGTAGTATCACATATTAGAGAGGTTAAAATATGTAGTTGACTTCATTTGTATTTTTTTCAGCTATAATTGAGCATGTTCGAGATGGGTGCACGGTGAGAGCATTCCTGCTTCCTGATTTCTATCATGTTACTGTAATGATGTCAGGAATTAAGGTATTTTCATTATTGAAATCTGTACAGCATCTTGCAGGGTTGATTTCTGTTAATCGATTTCTGTTAACCAAATTTAAAATTATTTTAGACTCCAATGTTTAAACGTGATGGTACAACTGAAATACCTGACCAATATGCAGAAGAGGTACAGTAGGGTAAAATTAGGGCCATTCACTAACTACCAAACACTCAATGTATTGGATGAGGCTAAGCCTGATATCAAGAATTATTCAATGTTATCTGCTGACGCCAAGCTGAGGCGGATAACATTGACCAAGGTCTGAATAATTCTTGATATCATGCAAAAGCTGAATCCAATAATTGCTTTATTATACATTTATTAACAACATCAGGAAAGTACGTATAAAACGATTAAGCGAAGTTTATTGATGTTTAGTTTATTTTATTAATGTTTATTTTATTTTTGCACTCTTTTGGTATCAAGTTGCCGGCGTGCCAAGGTCTGGGTACAAAAGAGTCCAATAATTGTTTTTTTGGATTCAAGTTTGATCCACTGAACACCTTAGCAGCTGAAATTACATAATAAATTCAGCATATTGAAAATTAGCCGGTGCTTTCTGACCAATCAGGAACGACAATACACATGAAATGTATAATAATTCGCTACTAGCCATGTGTGAAAATGTTATGTCCAACCTGTGATGTCATAACGTGTGATACGAATTTTTTCTTGCATGTTACTACGTCATAACATGGGATACGAATGCGAAATCGACACAAATTCAAGCAAACAATTCAAAGTTCTAATGTTATTTCTTTTAAATAAATAATAAAACAATTATTGAATTCGGTTTTCACATGATATGAGGAATTATCCAGCCTTAGTTTGTCATTATCAACCTCAGCCTTCTGCTTCAGTTGATAACCATAAACTTCGGCTTGATAATTCTTCATGTTCAACCTCATTCAATAATTGTTAAATATCTATAAAATGATAACTGTAAAAATTTTGTTTCAGGCTAGATTTTTTACAGAATCAAGGTTGCTACAAAGAGAAGTAAAAATACGTTTAGATGGTATGTTAATTTGCTAATAAACATTCCTCTATTTTACTTGTTCTATCTATTGCCCCATTGTACTGCCTACTTAGTTGTTTATATAGCAAGGTTGCAAATCTGTCTTGAAAAGTGGGGGGATAAATGGGATGGACCAAGTTGTAGTAATAATTTTCTGGCAAAACATTTTAATTTGCCAAGAAAGTGGGGGGGGGGGACATTCCCCTCTGCCCCCAAGGATTTGTGCCCTTGGTATTTAGTTACATATATAGTTACAACTTGCATCAATCTAACCTGCATATTTATGTGCTGTTTCAATGCCTATGTATCTATTGGACTCCAATGCCTATCAATGCCAGTGGCAAGATTATTGACATGGCAGTCTTGTTGGGTTATGCCAAAAACATGATTGCTTGTAGTGTATGTACTCAAGTACGGACACCCTCAACCACAAAATTTATTTATGTAGGAGTATCCAATGCAAATTTCCTTGGAACTATAATACATCCTGTAAGTAATGATTTCTGCAGTTCTGCTCTTCTGATTTCTCCGGTGTAAAACAGTCATGAAACTATTTGTGGATTTATTCTGGTAGTATAGAGCTCTGATATTTCTTTGTGAAATATTCTTGCAGGCTGGCAGCATATCACAATTGCTACTACGGGAAGGTTTCGCTCGCTGTGTTGATTGGAGCATGTCAGTGCTACCATCGGGTCATGATGTCTACAGAAGTGCAGAAAGGTTTGTAAAAAACCTTGATTTCATATTGTTTAGTTTCACTGAAGCAGTCAACTGGAATGACGAATTCTAACATCAGTGGAATTAGTGAAGCAGAACGCAAATCAAAGTGGTCTAATGAACGTTATTTCTAGCACTAACGAACGCTAATGAGGGAGAACAAAAATAAAAGTTAAATAGTGAATAACAGGATTACAAACATTCAAATTAGTTTCACCAATGAAGAAAATCAAAACATAATAAACTAGAACTAAAATTAATATTTTCCACTAACAAACGGTGAAGCTGGTTTTCTATCGGGTGAGTTTATTCGGGCGAACTGTTAGGGAAGCGATTTTCCATTTTCTCGGCAATTTTTTCCCAAAAATAGGGATTGGAACGTAAATGAAAATAAACAACTTTGAACATCCTAGATCAGCGAAACAATTGAAAAAAAGAATCTGGAAAGATTATGAACCGTCTGCACCTAGTGTTGTCATTGATAATAAAGAATTCACTGGGAAGGTAAATTATCATAGATTCGTTAACAATTAAACATTTTTATCTCTGGGTATTCGTGAATGTTTGTGTCACTGAATTTGACTTTCTTTTACGTTCAAATTTTTTTTCTGTATTCTTGTTTAGGTTACTGAAGTAATAAATGCTGACGCAATTGTTGTAAAATCTCCGGATGGTAAAAGTAAAAAGTTATTCCTTTCGAGTTTAAGACCACCAAGGTTAGTCTGAGTCTTTTTTGTTTACATCCATTCAAAGGTTTAGCGTGTACCGTATGTACTGTAAGTAAAGCGAAATCTTACAGCTAACAATGCTGGCAGGAGTAGGACTCAGACCGGCCACATGCCTGAATCTCTCTAAGTGTTTGGAAACCGACTGTTTGTGACAATATGGGGATGTATATTAGTATACTTGTAAAACTATTCCGCCATGGATTTAACGAATTGTATAACAAAATTAGATATAAATTAACGGAGACAGTTGAGAGAGTTGAAAGTTGTCCAGCATTCTAAAATACTTCTGGATAAATTCAACCAGGAACCATTTATTTTCATTGTCCACCGAAGTCGTTCTTTTTAGATTAACCCTCATTTCTGGTTAAAATTGGTCACATTTCCCGGTTAGACCAGTTGATTTTCGGCTGTTTTAACTAAGAAAGTGGCCAATTAATTTGACCAGGATCTGTTAGGTGGAAAAATGCTCAGCCCAAATTTAAACAGAGAGTTTATAGGAAGTATGGGAACTATTTGTTCAATTATTTACCAACGCTCTCAAACTGTTTTTCTTTCCCCTAATGTCGTCATGATTTTCTAATTCCAGGTTAACGGTGAAAGAAGATGGTTCTCAAGAGCAGTCTTCTGGAAACAGACGAACACGGCCTCTCTATGATGTTCCATATATGTTTGAGGCCAGGGAGTTCATGAGAAAGAAATTAATTGGAAAAAAGGTTGAACATTAATGTCAGATAAATAGTTCTTTTATTCTATCCTTTTACTGAGGAGAGGTAGGAAGTGCCCATGCAGGGTCACATAGATGGCCGGGGGGTATGAAAGCGATTCTAGAAGTAGGTAGAGTTTGATCTAATTTAAAGTGGAAAAAACTAGGGGTGCTAGGGTTAGATTTAGGTGAAATGATGAGTGTGCCATCGATACGGTACAATGGGAATTAAACCGTTCCCGTAGCAAAAAAGGTCTTCTACGTTTTTGCCTTGGGCCCCATATTTCCTTGCAGTGCTAGATTAAACAGAACGACAAACCTACGAATGTTAGGAATAAAATTGTTCTGAATGGTATGGAAAAGAGATCTTAAGATATTCTAGTCTACACCATTGAAGATGTCTAAATATTTACTCCTTTTTTATGTGACACACCAGAAAGAATTTATTTCTTTTCATTGTACCAATTAAACACATTTAAACTTTTAATCTGTATCCTTCCAGGTGAACATATGTATAGACTACATCAAACCTCCAAGTGATGGCTACCCTGAAAAAACTTGCGCCACTGTTACCATAGGAACAGTTAATGTTGCTGAAGCTTTAATCAGCAGAGGTATGTAGTTAATGTTTAGTAATTTACAAAACGATCACTTATTACTCTGCAAATGTTCATATTTTAAATCAGAATTTCGTCGAGTGAGTCAAATTGCTAGAGAATCACATTATTTGTAAAATACAGAAGAGAAGAATTTTCTTTATTTTGATTTCTTTGATAGGGCATGACCGCTAACTGTCCCAGAATAAGGGGGTGTTTACATTATCCCAGTTTTCCAGATTAAACGAATCATGAAATGACTTTGAGGAATTGAAATAAGTGAATATCATGTTCCTGGTGGTGATTTCGTCAAAATCCTCAAAATCATTTAATGCTTCGTTTCATCTCGGGTAATTGGAACCCTAAGACACGACTTAACGAAATTGGCTATTTATATGTGCGAGGATTCTTCCGCCCTATAAATCACGATTCAAGATCATAGTGTCAAGTTTGTACCTTGCAATGCTCAAGAATAGAAAAACTGTTTATATGCGTTCTTGTATGATGTACAAAGATTTCCTTGTGTCTTTTATAAAGGTTTAGCAACAGTAATCCGTCACCGACAAGATGATGATCAAAGATCGTCTCATTATGATGAACTACTAAGTGCAGAGACCAGAGCGGTGAAAAATACCAAGGGAGTCCACAGTAAGAAAGAAGCACCAACACACCGTATTTCTGAAGTCTCAGGTATGACATTACTGTCGATTTGACTTATCACAAATCTCCCTTTGCGGGGTGTGCCTGTGATGTGTATTCAGGGGTCCCACTCGTACAGGGTGTAGTTGTCGCCCCTCTTATCCCGGGGACACTTTGCCCCATTAAAAATGCGATCCGAGGTACCGAGGTATCCGATACTGATTTTGATGTAAAAGTAGAAAATATAATTGTGCAACCATAATTATATTTCCTGGAAATCTGACCACTTGTTATCAAGGTACAAAGTTAATGAAATGAGGAGGTGTCGAGAGATTACCATATAATATTCTATTATGCGACAGAATTACGTTTTGCAAATTTTGTGGATGAACTGAGCACACCTACTTAGATCTCTACAAAATTTATAGCACTCGGCTCTCCTCTTAGACGACACCTATTTTTACTTGATTACCAAATAGGTATTTCTCTGCTCTGGGCAGGGAAAGAGAATGTCGCTGTACTGTCTATGTTCTTATCTTATCTCCAATTAATGATTTATGATTTTTAAACTCTTGAACTCTTCCAAACTGTCGTGTCTCAAGATGTTCTTTCTTTAGAATCATTATCTGTGCGACAGAATTTTATCTCGCATTGTTTATAATAGGGTGATAAATCATGGCGAAGTATTTAAGTACTTTCACTGATTTGTTCCCACTTTATTCTCTCTCATATGGAATCTAATAATACGCTTTAAGTACCTGAGTATCTATTGAGTATCTATGCACATATTCTTAATAACTCGTAGATAAATCAAAATTAAAACTGAAATTCCACAGCGTTGGTCACCCATCCATAATGATAAAAACTTATTTCTTTGTGGTACCACAAAAGATGTGAGCCCAGCACCCTAACTAATCGCAGGTCCGTTTGGTCCGTGCCTTAGAGTTCAGGGCCAAATTACTGCTGGTGGGGTGGTTCACCCCCTAGAATGCAGGGGTGCCCCAGTTTGATGAAGTAGGTTATTAAGAGGTTCTGGCGCTATTCAGCTAACCCTTGATTGAACCTTCTCGTCAGCTTTTATTACTTTTCTTTTCTAAAAATAGCAGTTAAACTTGTAAGATACATCCTTTATCGACACTTCGAATTTGTTCTCTGTTATGAAAACTACCCCCGTTCTGTGGTAGTGTTTTCTTGTGTTCAAGCAAAGTGTTCAAATTCTGGTTCTTGTGTTCAAGCAAAATGTCTTTTAACCGGAATGAAAAAAAATCACTTGATACACAAGCTGCGTTGGAAAATTTAATTTCTATAGATTTCCATCAAGTCTCGAGCTGATTGACTTGACTGAATTAAACTGACCCCTGTACCTTAGTGTAATTTGTTTGCTTCTAGAAGTGTTGTTGTGTGATGTTGAGTTCCAACTGAAATCCATGATTTTCCAGAAGACTGACACACCATAGTTTTATAGTTTCACAACATAGTATCGATATAACATTGTTTGAAAACACTTGAAGTCGTTTTATTTCATGTTTTGTCCGCGTTTCTGCACTTTTAAGCTCGGTATTTAAATAGCTACGTTGTTTTATCTGGGAAAAGCAACCATGGAAACTATGTATACTCGTGCAGTTAAAAAACCGTACACTTTTAGTACACCTAACACAAATGCACGAACATAGCTTGGAACGGAACCTTGATGAAGGCCACGTTTCCCGACACTGTGTGCAGGGACTAATTGTAGAGGTTGATTTTGTAGTTCACAACGAAATTGATTGTATCTGTTCTTATTAGGGGATGCTCCAAAGGCCAAACAGTTTCTACCGTTTCTTCAAAGAGCTGGTCGTATTTCTGGCATAGTAGAGTTCGTAGCAAGCGGTTCACGGCTGAGGGTGTATCTCCCAAAGGAGACTTGTCTCATAACGTTGCTATTGGCTGGAATCGAGTGTCCGCGTATGCAGTCTTCTGGAAACCAGGGTCCCATGATTACTGGTGAGCCTTATGGCGAAGAAGCTTACAATTTTACAAGGGAACACTGTTTACAGAAAGATGTAGGTGGAATGATTTTCTCTTTACATGAGACATACAGATGTGCATACCTTTGATACCCTCGCCTTAAGGAGAGAGGTGCAAAATCCAAATTTGGAGCTGAGTCGGGGGCATGTTTAAAAAAACTCAGGCCATTTGGTGCCTCTTTGATCATTTCGGTCACAAAAAAACTCAAGACATTTGGTGCCTCTTTTATCATTTCGATCACAAAAAAAACTTTTTTAGGTCACAAAAAAAATTCAGGCTATTTGGTGCCTCTTTGATCATTTAGGCATTCCTATTCTACAACATGTCTTTTGACACACTTGACCTTCGAACATCGCCGCAAGGGCAACCCTTCAAGAATCCCCCTTACGTCTGAATTTTCATAGTAATAAAGAACCTTCGTTTAAAAAATTGAACATCCTGTTGAAATTGTAATGGAAAGTTAAGCAAAACATCCAAAGCTTATATTGCAGGAATGAATAAGGAGTGTTCTATGCTTCTTCACAACCCACCTTTCGTAATTATTTAAGGGGCTGTTTATGCCTGGTTTCCATTTAATCGCAAGTGTCGTGAACATGTCAAGGTGGCTGATGTGATAGAATATTTCTATTTGTGTGCTGTCAACAATGACCGATTTAAATACACAAATAAAGACAAATTTACAACCGGACTATTTCTCATCGGTGAAAATGACTTATTCACGACAATTACGATTTAAAGAAAACCAGTCTCCCACCTTTCGACTAGTCGAAGTCATTACTAGAGTCTAAAAATACGATAATCAGGGGGAAGTTTGTTTATAGAATTATGTCCTACATTATTCATTTCCTTTGAACTTACATGAATAAAATTTCCCAGGTCCACTTATAACGAGCTGACGCTGAACTGACTGAAGCTTCCTGCTACGAAAGCGTCTTATACATTTTTGTTGTTTATCAGGTTGAGATTGAAGTGTCTGCTTGTGATCGAGCCGGAAATTTCATTGGCTGGTTATTCATAGATGACGTCAATCTATCATTATCGTTAGTTAAGGTAATATTTCTCGTACGATTTTCTTGGTAAGGCTGCAATTCATCTATATCTCGAAGTTACTTTTCTTACAAGGACATGCATAGGATGCAGCTATCATCAGCTGTAACTCCCCCCTCCCCACAGAGTACTTGCATATTGTACCTTTATATTACTGCAGTATGTAGCTTTGTGATCCAGTGAATTATATATAGTGCAGTGTTCTGTGTTGTGAGAAACGACATTCATTTAATTGTCAGAGCGTATTATAAATTAACCGACTTTTGCAGAAAAATGTGGACACCATTCTATGCATGTTTGTTTCTCCGCATAAGATTGAAGGTTATTGGGTTGGAAGACGAGTCAAAATTGGTGTAACGGGTTGGAATCGGAACAGAGCATTAATTAATAAGATCTGGAGAATAAGATCTTAAGATTAGGCGCTTATGCATGCGTTATAATTCCCCGATTGTTTCCATTTGCAGGAAGGTTTATCAAGTGTCCATTTTAGCGCAGAGAAAAGCCAGTTTTACAGTCAACTTATTACGGCGCAAGAAAATGCTAAATCGTCGAAAATGAAGATCTGGGAAAACTTTGAAGAAAAGAAAACTGTCGAAGTCGTAGATGATAATACAGAAAGACAATGCAAATATGAAAAAGTATGTTCAACGCATAATGAATGTCTATTATTCCTCCCTATTTTCCAGAAATCTTTCCCAGAAGAATAGTTAAGGAATGGAGAAGTTGTAAACTACAAGTTTTCAGTTTTTCATTCAGTTTTTTGTGCGTTAAACGACAAGCTTTTCATTTAGGTTGTAATCACAGAAGTTGAAAGTCCAAATGGCGGTTTCTGGGTTCAACATGCAGATAGTGGAAATGAAATCGAGCAAATGATGGAAAGACTGAGAACCACTCTAGCTGCTAATCCTCCCGTACCAGGCTCCTACACAGCACGCAGAGGAGAGTTATGTGCTGCTTTATTTGCTGATAATAATTGGTAAGTCACACGTAATGATAAGTCACGTGATGACTAACTAAAGAATTCCAAGGGTATTCCAGGATGTTTAAAAATTTCACTTTTCTTAATTTTCCAAACCTACATACAATTTTTTTTTTGTTAGGTATCGCGCCAGAGTGTTAAAAACAGCAGGACCGAAAGAAATAACTGTCATGTATATAGACTTTGGAAATGTAAGTTTATTCCGCTTCGCCATTATGTTAAAGAACCTGCAACAAACCCCAAAAGAAACAGCCTCTATTTTACCATTTAAAAGAATACGAACCATCCTAAATTAATTAGGCTTGTAGAAAGAAAAACAGGTCCTTAATGAAAGAATTTCCAGAAATGCATAGTTTCTCAGAATCTTCTGCTGATCGTGCAATTATCTTTCATCTAAAATATTTTTGTTTAGATCGAAGTGTTGCCGATTTCAAAGATAAGAGCTTTACCTCACGAGTTTACAAGGTGAGGCTGGTTTATTGTCTGTTCGCGCCTGACTGTTGAGCTGTGCTGATGATGATGATGAGCTCTCAAAAGATTGCAGAATACGTATTCAGAAGAAATATTGAACTATTTTAACTTGCCCAATAGTATTCTCTTTGATAGCGTTCACAATTGTGAACCGGTGATTAGATTTTCGGGTTAAAGCTTCATAATAAACACAAATTTTTGCGGTGTTTCATCGAGCAAAGTGCCATCAAATCATAAGATTGGTAACGGTTTAATTCTTTGGTCACAAAAGGAAGTAAAATAGCAAAGACGTGATTCGCGATTCACACTCAATTGCAAATTTCAGTAGTTACTCCGATCATAAATTTCTGGTACATTAGTTAATTTCTTTAGTAAATTGTTTTTGATATTTATAGTATGAAACCGCAAGCAGTTGAATATAACTTGGCGTTGGTTCGCGAACCAAACGATGTAAGTATGATGAACGAATGTCTAGTGTTAAGTCGTTACGAAGTCATATTTTGTTGATTTGTAATATTTTTCAATTTTTGTTTTCTTTAAGGAGGAAATGAAATACGACTTGAGTACTGTATTTAGAAATAAAACCTTGGTAAGTAGTGCATGGTAACTGCGAATGTTTTTTTGTCGAGCCGATGTAACTGCTCTGTCTGTTTGCTTTAATTAACGTAAACTATTAAGTTTTTGCAATTGTTCGCTTTAAATGTACTGCAGCTATTGTTAACTTTTAAATGTTACTGACTATTTCAGTAAATCGTCGCTTTACGTGATATTGCAATCACTCCTGTTCTCACCTGACTATACCTGGTTTTTGTAGGGGATGCTTTAGGTTGACAAGTGTCCTATCCGAAATCTTAGTAGGGGACTGGTGACAGTGATATTAGGGCGATTTAGCACGAGGTCGTGAACGTCAAAGACGACGTGAAAATGGCGAATAAATGGTGTGAAGCGCCAAAATATGGACATGCCACAACATTTACCCGCCATTTTCACGTCGTCTTTGACGTCTTCATGCTAAATCTCCCTATTGACAATTCAAGGGGACTGTTTTTGGAGCGGTGAATAAATTTACTCGTCCCAAAAACAGCCCGTGATGCATTGTTAATATCACTATTATCACTCTATTGTCCACTGCTGCAACTTCGGAAAAGCTCATTATGAGACTGCATCACTGCATGAATTTGGTCTTTAACCCCTCCCCCCCCCCTAATTGTGATGACCCACATTTACAGGGGTGCGTACCCCCAAAAAATCCACTATTAACGTCATTGATTCTTGTTAAAATATGTCGCTTGATCAATCGTGCTCAAAGCTGCCAAATATATTAAAATGGTGTCTTTCACTTTAGAACAACATGTTTTTACTGAATAAGGAGTACAAAATTAACAACCAGGTAAGATCAGTCGAAATCACCAATATCGCAAACTCCAATGGTTACTTCATATTGAATGATTATAGGAGTTTGTCACTCTTGCCAATCCTGATAGCAAAGAAGACGTTGGCCGAGCATTGATTGCGGAAGGATTAGCACTAGTTGATAAACGGCACGAGAAACGTTTCCAGAAGATGATTAAAGATTATCAGGGAGCTCAAGAGAGTGCCAAGAAAAACAGAGTACGTTCTATTCTGAACACCTTTCGGCATGAGCCACACAAAGCGAGGGTTTCCACTGTCTAACATGTACATGCATGTAAAATTCTCTGCCTGTCAATATTTGAAATGCAAAGTATGACACAAAAGAACATCGATCAATAGGCCAAGTTTAAATCGTGTTTTTAAGCTGGTTACAGACGAGCAGGTTTTCTATGAAAAGTTATTTGCTCGTCTGTACACGCGACTTTGACAAATACACTTGTTCAAAGCTAGCGAGGCATCCTAACTTTTCAACCGGATTAAGACTGCAATAAGACTTTTCGTCAACTAACTTCAAGGCCTGATTTGTTTTTCAGTTGAATATGTGGCGATACGGTGATATTACAGATGATGACGCAAAGGAGTTTGGTTATCCAGCAAAGTAGATATGCGAGAACAATTTTAATTGATAATAATGAGAAACTTTGAAGCACAAAATGATAGAAATTGTCCTAACTTATTTTTGAAATACAGAATTTTAATGAATTTCATAGAGAAATGGTGATATTAAAAGTGGGAATTTTGCCCGAGTGTTTTTATTTATTTTACGATTGAGTCCAAAACCACCGGATTTTTTAGATAAGCCTCGGGACTTTTCGTCGGATTGTGTAGTTTTTCTGAAGATGCCTCGGCTGGTATCTTTTTGTTCAACCAAGATGTTTCTTCCGTACGGTTTCATATGACACACAACATCGTTGTTTCTTGTTTAACTGAATCCACTCCACTCAGGAATTCGCCCACCACGAAAATAACCCCAGTCCAGGTTCAGTTATGGTTGCCTGAGAAAGAATTAACAATTATGAATTGCTTTTCTAAGTGTTCTCTGCAGGCTTCAAAAATGCCTTTCGTTTTTTCTCACACTTTATTTTGCTGGCTCGCGTCTTATGTACATTAAGTACAGATGTCTTCTGGATTGTATATGGTCAAACACGTGACAATCGTATAAACGATCCGTAAGTGCTTTCTTATAACTAACTGGTTGGCGAAGCTAACCCACATACGATGAATGTCCTCTTATTTAACTGTGATTCCACTGGATTTCACTTTAATACATTTCCCTAACATAATTTACCGTGATGCAATAAGGAGATTTCTCCTCCTGATTCCCTGGTTGATCTTGGGATGCTTTTTCTGGACCTGTTGGTGTCAAGTCTGTAAAATTTTCATCAATAACACGAAAACGTATTTCTTCGTTGATGTCCATGAATAGATCGTGAGTTCCTTCATCAGTTTCATATTCCCAAACCCAAAGCTGTTCTTCTTCATCACTTTAGATAGTTAAAGTTCCTTTTTTAAAAATGCATGATCACACCTCATTCTTATGTCATTCAACTTGCCTTGGTCATGTTATAATAGTTGATTAAATGCGTGCAATATTGTTTTACTAAATTTTTATCACTACACACAACTTTAACCATTCACACATGTTTACCAAAAGGATACAATTTTGATGGCTGTTGTAGGTATTCATAAGGTATTATTATATCATCAAAAAATTCCATGGACACTACAAGTTTATAGAAACTCAGTTTAGAGGTTCACATGCTGAAACATCTCAAAAGTATGATGCACTGGGAACACACTACCTGTCACCCCTTCATGACTGCATGCCTTGATTCGGCCAACAAGGATCTCATCAATAAATGGACGGAAAACAACAAATCTAAATTTGACTAGGAAAATACATAACAATAAACACAAATGTCACCATCAGTACAACTATTATAGATCATTATCATGACTGAGTCAGACTGACCAGGTGTACATGATGCTCCATCACCAGGTAAAATAAATGAATCACCAATTTCTATTATATCATGCAAGCCAATGCAAAGTCCAACGTTATATACAACCTAAAATTGCACCAAAAAACAATATACCAATTCAGCACTCAGCAGTATAATAGGGTCAACCAACTAACAGTTTAAATAAAATATCTCAGTACTTTATTGGCCAATTTTTTGTTCAGTTCATTTGAGATAGCTTCTTCCATATTTAAACCAAATTTTGTCGGTGGTAATCGAATCGTGTCCTTTATCTCAGCCAGGAGAAACATTTCAACGGTCAATATATACGCTTTATGGTATATTTTTCAGTCCATATATACTGCAGTGCATGTCAAGAATCAGTGATACCAGTGGAAGCAAGGGTCCAGACGTCCAGTGCAGTGGTGGCTTCTGCCTGCAGCGCGGGTAAATCCAATATGGCTACCGCAAGATGTGTATTTTATAATTGGTTTTAGTGTTTTAGTTCATTTAATTTCTTTGTTTCATTTTAAAAATATGAATCATTGGAATCAAAGTAAGTTTTAGAACATCTATATGTTTATTTATATATAGTGCTTGCTAGAAGTTTAGAGAATACTGTCGTGTATCAAATTATGAATCATCTGATCAATTAAAACTTCTAATGTAAATCAAAACTCAAGGGATCGAGTTTTTAGGTTGAAGACACTTGTTTTATTGTATAATTATTCTATATCTAGGAATGATGTTTCCTAACATGCCGGCAGGAATTCCTCAGAATGCTCAAAACCAACAGGTGAACAGATTAGTCATTAGTCTAATGATGATTAGTAATACTAATACAATTCCACTATTTCGTACAATATTATGGACATAATTTCACAGACAAGAGCCTTGTATATGATAAAAAGAGGCTGCAATGTACACTTGCTGTTGTCTAAATAAGTGGCAAACACTAGTATACTTAGATGATTCTGTTCTAAAAGGCTTCACCTATTGAACACAACTTCAGTATTGGATATACTGGATTGTTGCAATATAAACAAACTTTTAAAAATTAACAAAATTAACACATTGTGTTTCCAGAACTTTTACAGACCTCCAACTTCGCAACAATTTTATCCAAACCCTTCTGGAGTCCAATATCAAGGCAATTTTCAACCAAGAGGATCCTTCGCACAAAATATAAACACCATGCCTCAAAATTATCCTCCGGCAGTTGCATCGCAGCCACAGACAACCAGGCCCATGACGCAGGCTGAACTTGAAAGCTTAAAGAAAAAACGAAACTTTGAAGAGCAACAAAAAAGATTAATGGCTTTTAAGCACAAGGGAGGGGTTCAGTCTAAAAAATCACAAGTTGAAAATCCATTAAATGACTTGTTTGGAACAAAAGGAAACTCAGGTGGAATGACATCTTTACTGGGGTCCTTTGGAGATGTTAAAAATTCCAAGAGCAGCACTTTTCAAGGTAGGTAGTTGTCATTTGACTTTGGAGTGCTCACCTCATGAGTTGCTACCATTTCAGATGATAGTGTGTTGTTTCCCATTGCTAAAGTATTTTTTATGTTAAATGCTGCACGGTCTGTAAACATGTTAATTACAACTCTTAAATACTTTAAATCATTTGCATTATAATCATACATCATCAATCATATAAAGTTATTCTATAAAGTTGTGCACATGTTTCTATCTTTGTTGTGTAATTCCACATATAGAGCATAAGTAGATTGTGTGCTGACATTGTCATTTGCGGACAAGAAGGAATAGTTTATGATTGTTGCGATGATTGTTGCAATGGTTTGTATCTTTTCTTTAGGGCAACCTGGTTCACAAAACATCCCTGGCCAGATCACACCAAGCTACCACACCAACCCAATGCAAAATATCCCAGGTCCAACACAGGCAAACATTGTTTCATCAAATTGGAACACTTATGGAATAGCTAACACCCATCCTACTGTGCCAAGCTCTCAACCTGCAGGAGATTTTGATCAGTTTCAAGGATTTAGTTCTAAAACTGATGACTTTGGGGATTTTCAACAGAGTTCTTCAATGCAGTTTCCAGGGGCACCTGGTCCGCAGCAGCCTGAGTTGCCAAAAAACTATCAGTCAGATCTATTTGGTGCCAGTTCTAGTAATCAGAGCAGTCACAGTATTCCCCAATCTATTACAACCATTGCACAGCACCCAGAAGTTAGCACAGACACTCCATCGAATGTATTTGGTGTTATGACTAGTGATAAAACTAGTCAGCAACATGCTAATATCCAAGAAACTAAAGTCGAGGTTCCTTCTGAAGATGGTCAGCAAACAAGAAACAGAGTTGTTGGTAGGTATTCTCGTGATTCTGTCTGTATGTGCTACTTCTCTTCAAGTTGAAAAAGTTCTCTTCAAGAGAAACATCTCTCGTGCACACAATAAAGAAAACAACAACAACAGTATAGAGTTGTCACACACATTTTAAAAATTTTATGTTTGTATACAAGAAGTACCTAATATAAACATTTCATTAATGATAACTTTTACAAACCGCACTACCTGTGCATCTTTACATACGTGAATTCTACCTTCTTCCACAAGCAAAGTTCTCCGTAGCTTGGTGGTTAGAGCACTGCTCCGAAATCACGGAGGTGTCCAGGTCTAATTCCTGCCAGGGGACCTAAGTTGTATTTAAGTTATGCATTATAATCTTATGTTTCCTTCATCCTCCTAAAGAACCTGTAGAGACGGTATCAAATGTGGTATAACAACTGCCTAAAATAGACAAAACAGTTCTCGACGTTTCGACCTGAGGGCCTTTGTCAAGAGAGTTAGTATTAACTCTCCTACTAACTCTCCTGACGAAGGCCCTCAGGTCGAAACGTCGAGAGGTGTTTTGTCTATTTTAGGCAGTTGTTATACCACATTTGATGCTAAGTTGTTTGAAGACGCTGCCACGTTGCTCTCTGGTTACTTTAGAGACAATAGCCTTTCTTTTATAACTGACCACAGCCCACTTATCTTCAGTTTCTTCAGGTGTTGGGAATGTACCATTTTCCTATTAAACTTTAATGCTAAACTAGGAAAATTAATCGGTTCTGAGAAACATTGTGAGAAATGTTCTGAGAAATGTTCTGAGAAATGTTCTGAGAAATGTTCTGAGATGTACAGTTGGAAAGATCGTTAGTAAGATTAGTAAAATCGGAAAGTTAATTTGGTTACCATATGGTAGAAGATCCGAAAAATATCGCCGTGCGAAGTTGACAAAGTTTGTATAGATTAAGCTAATGATTGGTATTACGCGCGAAAAAGCGGTAATAATAATCTATACAAAATTTGTTTATACAAAGTTTGGGATACTACATCCAGCTGTAGTAATAAATTTTTCTCGTTTAAAATTTGATGTAGGGGAATGGTCCATAACTTGCAGAAAAATGTTATTCAAAATGTGCCATGTGTTAGAAACTGATTTCTCTAAAGTCGTTACAACAGCGTGCATTTTGATAATTCCAAATTTTAATTTAGTTCTCTTTATTGCTTTTTACTTTTTAAGTGCCAAGTACACCAAGTATTGAAGACTTGATGAAGAAATCGCTTTCGTTGGACAGCCAGTCGCAGAGCTCTACCAAAAGATTTGAAAAGCCAAAAATCTCAAAAACAATCAAAGTACAGCCGAGCCATTTTACCGAATCCACAAAGGCGAGTAAATTTGAAAACTTGGAATCGTTGTCCGAGATTTTTACCATCCCGGAGTCCGCTCTGGCGAAACCTGTAGAAAGGAGTGAACCCGTGACTCACATAACTGGTGATGATTGGTCAGATTTTAGCAGTGCATCAAAAAATGTTTTTCAAGCTCAGAATCCGCCGACAGAGTTTGGACAAAATAGTTCAGGCCAGGACTATCTTTCTTCAACAGAGATTCTTGGGCCCTCTGTATCAGAACCTGCACCGTTCAGGTGGGAGGGTGGTAATGAGGGTGGGCAAAGTACATGGCAGGAACCAAAGCCCGAAATGAGTATTTTCTCGCAACCTTTCAACACAATGCAATCTGGCGGACTGTGGAACCCTCAAGTCCCGGTTGTAGCAAGCGGTATGTTGGTCGCAAATACACCTGCGTCACAGGGAAATATTCCGGTGGTTGGTCAAGGTGAATTTGGAAACTTCCAGTCCGAGGCTCCAAGGAATGATCCATTATCTTCAACCGAACATGATCAAGGTATGTTCAGAGAATGTAATTTACTAGTAGAAGCAATGAAATTCTGGTACTGCTGTGATTAATGCACGTGTCTTTTACTGCAGTTTCCTGGTTAAGTACTGAACTATTACAGTTGACTGGTTATCATTTCACTATAGTTCTTAGATTCTGGTAGTACGGTGATGAATGTACATGTCTTTCACACAGTTTCACTGCAGTTGACTGGTTATAATTTCACTACAATTCTTAGATTCTTGTAGTACGGTGATGAATGCACGCGTCTTTCATCACAGTTTCAATGCAGTTGACTGGTTATAATTTCACCAATTCTTAGATTCTGGTAGTACGGTGATGAATGCACGCGTCTTTCATCACAGTGTTCTAGTTAGGTACTGCAGTATTACAGTTGACATTTACAGTAGAAGTTTCTGTTCCCCCATTATATTAATTGCACTAAAATTTGACAAGGACTTTTCTTAATCCCTAAAATGAGCATTTTTTAACTTGTAAATACGATTTCTCCTTATTACTTTTTGGTCCTCTAGGAAATCGCGAAGAGTTTCCCGACATTGATCCAGAACAACAAATCTATGGGTTATCCCTTCCTGAATGGAGTAAAAACACCACCATGTTGCCTGCAATCTATAAACAGATCCACAAAATGTGTTCCTCACCAGCTGGTGATTTCATTAGCACTAGCCAGTTATATCCAATCCTGCTGTCATCTGACCTACCACGTGATAAACTTGGCCATATATGGTCAAAATGTAACAAAGCTGTCCCAGGAGAGTTGAACGAAAAAGAGCTATACCTAATTCTTGGCATGATTGCTCTAGCTCAGGTGCGGTAAGAGGAGATGAACACTCGTTCGAAATATGCGCCAAATCTACGACACAGACGTGAGGTTAATTATGCCGTTTTTCCACAATTTCTCATCAGGGATAAAAATTGTAGACTAAAATTATAGACTAAATTACTAAAATCATAGAATTTAAGGTGACTAATCAAAGTCAGAAATGCATGTAAAACAAATTAAAACTGGGTTCATTACACTAGTGTTTTTCATGTCACGTCCGCGTCGTGAGTTTGGTGGATCTTAATTCTAAAACTCATCAATTTGGTACCTTAGAATTCAAAGGTATACAAATAGCTTATAATTGATAGTTTAAATTATTGTCTATTGACTAATGACTATTGTTTATTTTTAGGTCGGTCTTCAAGTCAATAAACTGACATTAGAGAAACTGGCATCCTGTGTTACAGCGCCCATCCCTTCATTCCCAGAAAATATTTTTCAGGTTTGTCAAAAGCCTGTAGTGATACTGATTGGTTTTGTTTTAAATAGATTATAACTAGTAACGATCACTAAGTACATCATGTCCCCACACACCAGCACACTTTGTGTGAAGATTTTGTAAACTTGCGAAAGTGCTGGTCATCCAGTAGTGACAGTGTGGATAAACCTTTTTTTCTCTTCACAGAATGAGCCAACACCAGATGTTTCTCTCCCATCAACATCCAACATCGATCCCCAACCTGAACTAACAAGCATACCTGTCACCGATCCAGATACAACAACACCAGATGACATCTTCCATCCTACCCCTCATGTGGATGCTGTGAAACACCCGGATTGGTCAAAATGGAAAACGACAAAAGCTGGTCAAATTGATGATCAATTTTCCGATTTCCAAATTTTGAAACCAAACGATTCCTCCAATATCGCGCCCACGACAAATCTGAACCTAAATTGGTCGAGTAACACAGAAACAAGCGATCAATCGTTTGGTAGTTTTCAAAGTCTGTCTGGCACACTGCCGGTTGCAAAAAGTACTGAACTAACCAATCAAGAACCGCCAAATGCAGTGAAGTCTGATAGTTTGGCCTTGTTTAGTCAAGGGAAAAAATCAAACGAAGGTTGGTAGAACAGTTGCCTATAGATAAGGTTGTAACTCCTGCACATGTATTTTTGATTCCCCATTCCTTACTATTACCTGACATTTTCGACTTGAAACAACTCTGCTACATGTTCTCATGTTGAGTATGATAAATCGCTCAGTTCGGTTAACTATTGCTGTGACAACAGAATTCCTCAGCAGGCTATCAAAAAATCTTTCCTTATCTAGACAGGAACGAAGGTGATATATTTGGTGAGATGACTGGTGCTGATGAGTCAAGCCAGCACGATAAATCTTTTGATGATAAACCCGTGTCAAGTTCGGCTCATGTGATGTCTGTACCTCTGCAAGCTTCACAACGCTACACACTGACAGGCGAGGACGAGGTATGATTGAAGTTACTTTCGTAATAACAATGTCGAGAGGGAGAAATAATTTCGTTTTTACACCCACTGGTTTAACCCACTCTCTGCCATGGATTTAACTAACATGGTCTAACCACTGACCTATATTAGATCTAATATATAGATCAGTGGGTTTAACCCACTCCCTGCCAGATTATTGACCTTCCCTATATGTATTCTTATCGAAATTGTCAAATTTCCGAGTGACGGTTTTTATTCTTTTCCTGTGGGTATAGTTCACAGCAAACGTTTCGTCGTCTCAAATTTTTGTTTGGTCGAGACTCGGCGACGCTTTCAAACGTATAAATCCATAATTAATCTTTTGCATACAGAGTGTTGATCATCATGAAAAAGCTTGGTTAAAATGCCTTACAAGTTGTTTCACTGTCATCATGAAATCTTGCCAAACTCTGCAAAATATCTCCGATCCAAACGTTATGAGCGAAATTTTTTCTTCACAACAGGGAATATCACATTTTTCTGGTAAGAAATTTTTAACAATCCATCCATCTAAGATGGGGAATGTGTTGAGCATCAATAGCTTTATGTCTTTACTGATTTTGTTTCCTGTGTTTTTTCCAGCAATTATTGAAATATACTGTGTATCTCAAAGAGTTAAGGCTTCAGTACTAAAATCAGGTATAATACGTCTTTCAAAAACACGATGCAAGTTTGAGTGAATATGATTGCCTCTACAGTACAATTTTTTATGGGTATAAAACTCATGGCCATTGGAAGATTGTCGCCAAAGGATTACTGACTCGCTCCCCTGAATTTCCTATTTATAAAGACAGATTTATATCCTTGCAGCACCTAATAACAAGAAACTGAAAGAAAATCTTCAGAATATCGATAATATCTGGAAGACATATATGAGCTTTGAGCATTTCAAGAAACTTGTGGTGAGATTTTTTTGCATCCAAAGAGTAAAATTTGCTGTGAAATAATATGTGCTCTGCTATTCCCGCGTTTGAATTAGCGGCCAAGATGATTCTATTGATTCATGTATACATAATCCCACCCCCTAAACTCCAGTACCCTATAATTAGTCGAAGTAGTGTATTCCACTTTTGTAGGGAAATAACTTTATTATTTCTTTTATTTATCATAGTCTATGGAGAATTTCAACTTTTCTGGTTGCCATATCAACAATGGTGATGACGTGAATATGTCGTGCGGTGTTTGCTTATTAAACGTGGATAAATCGTGCACAAGTTCAGCGCAAAAGAGCCAGCGTGGTAAATTGAACTATGGTAACAGACAATATCACACAACTTGTGCGAACTTCTGGTGTAATAAAGTGGACTCCGTGTTGCCATCGTTACAGTTTAATGTCGCGAATAGCTTAATATGAAACCCACGAGTGCAGGATACAATAGTATGAAGATTGTATCGCGTGGGCACTGGGCACAAACACAGCTGGTCGGGCGTTTGACGTTTAGCGAGGGTTTAGATTTAATTCTACTACCGCTACCATTGTGAGAGGATGAACCATTCAAACGTGATAAGTATATCAGATTATCTGCTGAACCTCGCTTTTCATTGCTTAAAGTGATGAATGTGAATTCACAGTGTCAAGAACATACAGTAAACCCATTCAACACTCTTGCTGAACTGGCTTTCTCGCCATTACTCTAGCCAGTAGATTCCATAAAAATTGGGGATATGTTAGGTTATAAAGCTGTGTGGTCTTACTGTATTTTTTAATACTGTGTTTAGGGCCTAGTTTGTAACATAAATGTTGATTTTAGTTTTATAGAAAAGAGACTTAAAGATCTCGACATTTTCTGAAGTAAAAACAGATACGCAATTGTTTAGCACACCGAAGCGTCCTGAGCACGATGCTAGAAGGGATACACAATATTTATTACTGCTACAAAAGCATACTTTATCTGCGGGTTTGGATTAGGGTTCTGGTTAAGATTTGGATTAGCAAGAACGCGGAAATATCTGTCTTTCGACTTTTCCTCCCTTCCCATCAACCCATCAAACTTCCCGCGTTTGACGTCATTATGAGAAAGGTATATTGTAAGTTGTAACAAACGTAACACAAACGTAACTCGGTATTTTGGACTACAATTTGCTACCAAATAGTTTTTATGATTACCATTTCTCAGCAATTACCTTTTTTTACTGAATTTGAAATCTAAGTGGTCAATCAACAATTATAACACTTCTACACGGCGTAATGAACGCTGGGCGTACTTATTTTTTAAAACCAAAGAAGACGAACGAGAAAAGCTTGGTTACCAAGTCGGTTCACAGAATCAGAGTGATCAGTCATGATCAGAACCACTCAGTGATCAGAACTCAGATATGGCAGAAGCAAAGAACTTTCTCTATGCTTTTTGTGGAAAACGTAAAGTGAAGCCAACGTACAACACCAATAATACACCTGATGGTCGCTTTCAATCGCAGGTACTAATTTTCACCAGTGAAGATTTGATGAAATTTTATTCTCGTGTTTTACATAAAGTACAAAATTGCTAGAACTTTACGAAGTTTAGTCTATTTCACTACTATAGCCTAATTATTGACATGTTCCTCTAGCTGACCATCCCAGGTTTCGAATACTCATCAAAAGGTTTTTCAGAAAATAAGAAAGATGCAGAGACTGAAGCAGCCAAAGATTTTTGCGGTTACTTGATTGGTGCAGGGCTGGTGCCAGCTGAATCATTGCCTGATAGTGTATTTGCAAATGAGATGAATGCACCAGTACCCCCATTACAAGCAGGAAGTGGGCCAGGTCCAGTTCAACAACCACCCTCACAAATTAATCCACAATCTATGCAAGAGCAACAGATGCAACAACCACAATCCTTTGGTGGTCCTCAAACATCAAACTCCAGGGGTCCACATTCATTAATGAATGGTAATATATATAAAGTTTCAAAACCATGCAAAATTTAGGGTGGATTCATTGGTGTTCACATGTTGTATCTGGAAATGTATTTTACTCACTTCATATTTGTTGGTCAGATTTCTGATCTTGTACCTCCTCTTTGATCTAGCACCTCGTCCTCCTCCAAACCTCCAACAAGGTGGTGAAAGAAATTATCATTATAGTATTTACAACAAGCGTCAATTTGAAGAGGTTGGAAATATGTGAATAATTTCCATGAAATTGTATTGATCCAATAGGATGTGTGATTGTTTTTTTTAAATTCTATGTACAGGCTGAGGAAGTTGATCTCAATGCACATTTACATGGTAACTGGACTGTTGCTAATGCCAAATCACGCCTCCATCAATATTTGCAACAAAATCGATGTCCAGCTGATTTTAAATATACCACTGGAGGGCCAGATCATAACAGGTTTGTACATTAGTCATTAGATTCGGTGAAGTGTAAGTGTGTCAGTTCGATATGTTTACCACAGTACTAGCCCTGTTTTACATGGATATATTGAGTGTGGTTTGACATATGATTGGTCATGAAACAAATGAGTGCAACTGTTAAATGGTCAGTCAATTCCTGTGTCCTCTTTTAGGCCTGCTTAGCCAGGATTTCTGCAATGGCATTGTTATAGATTGCAAACAAATTGTGGTGATTGCATTGCAATAAAATTATGAAAACATTCTCATTCAGTCACTCACATTCTCACTTCATTTATTCACAGGCATTTCTCATGTGAGCTTTCAGTGTTTGTTCGATCTCACCACAGAAGTAAGTGGTACTCAACAAAACCTTTTTATTGTCTGTATAATTGAAGTAATTCAATGCATTTAACAATTACATTTGTTAGCTATAAAGGCAAAAGAACTTGCATCAACGAAGAAGCAAGCAGCCCAAAAAGTTGCACTCAGTTTAGTTCGTCAACTCTTCCATCTGGGTGCTATTGATGCAGCTGAACCTGGCCAATTGCAGGCGAAGAAATTAAAATCTGATGAGGTTTGAAAAAAATTAATACTATTTCAGATGTTGCATTAACCTGTGTCAGATAGCTGATAGCAGAGACATTTTAAACAGGAATAAACATTCTATTTTTTGTGGTTATAGCTTGATCCAATCGATGTTGGTATAAGTCCTGATCTGGAAGTGCAAGTTACTGCTCTGCTTACTGATTTAGGCATTGTGCCTGTCCAAGAGGTAAAATTTAATTTTTTTTTGAACCAGTGAATTCTAATTGTTTTCTTTAATTTTGTAATTGTGACCCTTCTTAAATACCGGTATTGCATGAGTAGCTGAAAGTTCTCACCTATCCCAGGCTTATCCTAAGAAAATTTGTTTCACAAAAAATTTGGCCTTTCCCAACTTGCTTGCTACACTCCTGAACGAAGTCTCCAATATGCCTCCATCCATCGATTTTATCCATCAGGGGTCAGTTGTATAAAATAAGACTAGTTAACTTTTAACTGTAGTTAAGGAAAGAATTGGCCAATCAGAGTTGTGTATTTCGATCTGAGTCAACTAGGATTTAAATATGCAAAGTGTAGTTAAAGGGTTTTATACAACCGGCCCCAGACCTGTTAATGGCTATTTGTGCATGTGTGAGCTAGTATTTGTTTTGATAGCAATAAAAAAGGTTTTTAGAGACCCTGCATTCTAGTTTCAACCAGCTAACTGTGTGAAAGTATTGAGATAGATAAATGGCTCAGCAAAATTCACTAGAGGTTTTCCGCTTTAAAGCAAGTTGAAACTTACTAGACATGGTTGTGTAATTGATTAGAAAAGGTGAAGAGATTAATTGTATCCAAAATATTTATTTGCGGTGAAATGCAAAATTGTGTCCAAGAAATAAAGCTAGCTTTGTACACTTTGTAAAGACATGATGGTCGAATCAACTTGGTTCTTATGTCTGCTGATCCTTGTTGATGAATTTTGCCATCTTGTTTTTGGTGTCTACTTATCTGAAAATAAGTCCTGGATTGAAAATTTCTGGTGAATCCAATAGACCTTTTCGATAATTATGTCACAACTTTGCTGTAAATGACATTGATTTGAAACTTTAGTCTTGTGAGCCACGTGCAAAGATGCAAAAAACCCTTTTACAACACATGCATGAAAAATATTTTTTTATTTTGACCAATAAATTAATGTGGAAATAATCCATAACCCAGAATGAGGCTTATGGGCCAAGACAGGGAGCCTCGTTAATTCTTGCGTTATGGCTTATTTCCCACATGTTTAAGAAGGATATTTTGCATCTTTTCACATAGCTTGTGAGAGTAAAACTTTAAATCCCTTTCAAATTAATGGGAGTCTAATTTTAAAACAACAATGTTGTGACATATTTATCGAAAAGTTTTATCAGGATATTGTCTTTACAACATCAACATCCAGCGTTTGTTTTCAGATCAGCAGGTTGATTCCATGTCGGCCGAACTGTAGTACTGATTGTGTTTATAAGTACTACTAGTTCAGCCACATTAACAAAGCACATTAGTGATTAGAGATTCTGTTAAGAGACTGCAGTGAAAAAAGTATACAAAATCATTACCCTTGGCAGTGAGGCAAAAAGCGGTAACGCCTATACCATAACTCAGAGGAAAATATGGACCTGCTATATTTCCTCAATGGTAGCCATGTTAGGGTGCCAGAATATTTCACTGCAGTGTTTTGATGGATATCTCTTTATTGCAGAACTGTTTTTCTCAATTGTGGACACAATTTTGTATTGCACTATTTCTCTATGGAAACAATGCGTTTCTTCAGCTTACTAAAGGTAATGAAGACTTGCATAAATTTTGCCTATCCATAGCAAGGCATGTCCTTTGCATGACATTTTCCTTCTTTCTGTGGTTCGGACTGGAAATTTACTTCTAGTTTGATTCCACTAAACAATACATATTCCCGTTCTTGTGGCCCGTTTAGGATACATTTACCCAGTATAGACGGAACTAATTTAGTCTAGATGTCGTCATTTAACGACACTGATACAGTACACCCAGATATTAAAGTGAGTAATGGTCTCTAGGAACAACAGTCTAATGATATAGCCATCCGGATTCTAGTTAGTTTCGTTTAGAGTTTTCTTCATTAATCAGTGGCAGGTGAGTAGAGCTAGAATACTCTTACTAAACTTCAAAGATTAGTTTACTGTGGTTATTTTATAATTTTTATTTCTGTTTAGTAATGTAAAACATTCACTGTTTATAGACAATTAAACGTCGTATGAACTGAATCAGTTCAATAATATCAGTTTACTTTCTCGTGTAATATTAGCAATTACGCATTGTCAAATGAACCTAGTAAAGATTTACTCCAACGAATGATGAATGGAGGATTATCTTCACTGGATCTTGAGAGAGTTACAGGTATAGTCGTGCATAACTGACAAAGTGATATTATTTTTACTATGCAATCACTAGCCAAATGGAGAGGAAGCAGTGAACATTGTGTTAAAACGTGAAAATGATAAGTTTGATGACCAAGAACAAAGTGTGGACTCTGGCGTTGTGGAATGGACTGCACCCAACATGAACTGGAATCCCTGGGTGAACCAACCAACTGTAATTGAAGGTGCAGAGGAGTATCAGGTATTACTGACGAGTATGCCCGCGCAATGCGAAAATAAAGCTGGTCTACTAGAGTGTATTAGAAGAGTTTTGATAAGGAAAGTTTGTATCTTTCATGCATCTTATGTTTTTATTAAACAGGAACCACTACCAACCAGTGAAGATTTTCGTAAGGAATTAACAGACCGTTTGAATGGTGATCCAGCCTTGCAGCAAATGTTGCAACAGCGTTCCGAGTTACCAGTTGCGGGTTACAAGGATGCTTTGTTGCAAGCGGTCAAAGACAATCAAGTAGTGATCGTAAGAGGTGCCACTGGTTGTGGTAAAACTACTCAGGTATGAAAGAAACCAAGTAATGTCAAAATACATGCCGATCTAACCCCAAGAGTGTCGATAGGTGTTCTTCATACAAGACGTAGACGGTCTTGAGACATACTTTTTGCTCCTGCCCAGCATTTGATCCACGAGAGTCGCTCATCTTGCCTCGGATGGGTGATGATGATGAATATTTCATACCGCATAAGACTCTGATAAGGGCTGTGGGGTCCATGATCCCGTTTAGCTGAGATTCTATCAAGGGTGAGATGACTTTGAGGTATTGAAACCCATATTAACAGCCCCTCAATATATCCGCTCGTTCCATTACTTCAGCTAAATCTTGAAAGTTCACATTCACAGGTACCCCAGTTTATTCTCGATGACTTCATACAGCAAGGCCGTGGGACCGAGTGTAATATTATTGTCACACAGGTATACGGTTACTGATAAATTTATCGATTACAATTTTCTGGTCAAATTTTGCCGACGAGCAAAAATTCTTTAAATTCAGATCAAGAAGGAAAATTAAGTTTGCATAATTTGTTTTCTGCATTGACAAAACTTTTGTTGAAAATATATTAAAATTCTGTTGTGAGAATTCTTTGAATGTTTTTAAAAATGATGCATGGTGTTTCTTTACTTTTCCCCAACAGGTGTCTGTGGTAATTGATATCCACCCCACTATACCTAGTTCTTTTTCTTCCCTGATTTTTGTACTTCACGATATGTCCTTTTGGGACAAAATTTTTCACCCCCTCCCCCAATGTTTATTCTAAAAAAGTGTTCGTATGCTTAGTTGCTATTCTCATTGTCATTGTCTAAAGCTGTGTTGATTTATAGGAATAATTCTTCTCCTTACCTCTGATTGTATTTTCTCAGCCACGTCGAATCAGTGCGATGAGTGTTGCCGAAAGGGTAGCGGCAGAAAGAGCTGAGAATCTTGGATGTAGCACGGGTTATTCCGTCAGATTTGATTCAATTTTACCTCGAAGTCATGCCGCGATCATGTTTTGCACTGTCGGTAGGTAGGATCTCGAAACCTGTTGCAACCTAATTCACTTTTTAGATCACTCGCATACCTGTTTTTTTTTTATTTCACTTTTCTAAACATTTACCAATTTTTGTTTACAGGGGTGTTTCTGCGAAAGCTAGAGAGTGGTTTACATGGAATTTCTCACGTTGTCATTGATGAGATTCACGAAAGAGATATTAATGTAAGTATATTTGAAAACTGGAGGTCCGAGTTAAAGTCTCGGCATGCAGCAGGCAAGTCGCTGTACTACAGAGGCTTTGAAATTATGAACGAAGTAAAACGTTTAGTTGGAACATTCCATTACATCACAATTTAGCTTGTTTCAACAACCAAGCTTACAAACTATTTGAATAAAAGCTGCTTTCCACTTACGCGTTTTTTATACGCACGTACACGTACGGAAAATTTTAAATACTTTTAAATTTTTATTATTTAACATCTAGGTCAACTAATGCATACTAAAATATGCAGAAAACTAAGTTCCTTTGATTGATGCCGTTAGTTTTTTCAAAGGTAACATGTATAAGGATTTAGACTTTCACGTGCGTGTACGTGCGTATGAAAAACGCCTAAGTGGAAAACAGCCTTAACAGAGGGATAGACACTCCCCCTGAATGGTCATGCACTAGGCATTATGGTCGGTTACAAGAGTCAAATGTGCAAAATAATAATAATTGTCATAATAATTGAAGATTAGGTAATAAGAATGTAACTTTGATTATTTTAGACTGACTTTTCTCTGGTTATATTGCGTGATATGGTTGTTAGATTTCCTAACCTGCGTGTCGTTCTTATGTCTGCCACTATCGATACCCAAATGTTTCATAAATACTTCAACTTGTGTCCAATCATTGAAATCGAGGGAAGATCTTATCCTGTTCAAGGTAATTTTTGAAGACTACCCATTGAAGAATGCACTATGCATGCGAACGTTTTTTACTTTTAAAAAGACAGACAGAAGAAATGTAAAGTGACGGACAGATACTACAAAACCTTTTGCTGCTAAACAACTAAAAATGTTAATAGTTTTTCAGGAAAGTTCATACGCATATCCGAAGTACGATTTTTACAATCCATGCATGTTTCTATTACATATCCTGGACATATTCTCAATATTCGTAACAGAGGAACAAGAGGGAATGTCGTTTTAGACCAATCAGCAAGTTTGTTTATATTTTCAGTAACCTAATCAAAATGCATAAATCTTGTCTACTTCCGGTAAAAAGGTACATTATTTACCATTTTACGCGAAGTATTTATTTAGTACATTTATTTGGTATATTATTTACCATTTAGGCATTCTGATTGGCTTTGCCTGAAAATGTTAACAAATTATGCCGATTAGTTTAAAACGAAATTCCTCCTTGTTTAACAGAGGTAATTGGTAATTATACCAGGGTCTTTCTGTAAATGTTTTCAGAATATTACTTGGAGGATGTAATAGAGATGCTTGGGTTTGTTCCGCCGTTATCAGACAAGAAGAAAAAGCGTGAAAAAGATGACACCGAAGTGGAAGAAGAGGTAAGCCATTCTCTGCGAAAGCACGGGGTATTGAGGAATAAGAGAATATAAAGAGGGTTGCTGTGGGTTATTGGATGGTAACTGGTACGGTACTGTGGAATATCGTGGGCTTTTACTTGGGGGTAGAAGGGTTTTGCATTTGCTATGCAGTGTACTGTTGGGCAATGGGTGTATAGGGTACCGGGAAGTAGAGTGGAGGGGTGTGGTGTAAAGAGGATTGATGTGGAGAGTTTAGGCATTGTTGAGCTTGTTGAATCGTGTCACCGCAGTTACTGAAATAGGAGTTACTGCGAGTTTTAAGGCAGGCAAGCTTTATAATATAAATTTGACTGGTTTGATGGATATTAAACAATTTTTTTCCAGGATAACTGTAACATGATATGTAGTGATGATTATTCTTTTCAAACAAAGAACGCGATGGGACAACTCAGTGAAAAAGAAATGTCTTTTGAGTTGATACAGGTGAACGAATTTTACCTGCATTTAGGTACATTAATTGTATAATAGTTACGTTGAAACTCATATACGTATTCTCTCTTTGTACCTTTTTAGGCATTATTAAACTACATTGCTGGACTAGATATTCCTGGTTCAGTTCTCATCTTTTTACCCGGCTGGAACTTGATATTTGCAATCCACAAATTCCTATCCCAACATCCCGTGTTCGGTAAGAATCTCTCTCAGGTATTAAATGGCATGCAGGCATTTTTTTAATATGTATTTATCTTTTTCAGGTGGACGAGACTATCGCTTGTTACCATTGCATTCGCAAATACCTCGGGAGGATCAAAGGCGTGTTTTTGAACCCGTACCTCAAGGTGTTAGGAAGGTAAAATGTATGAGACAGAGATACACCCCCTTAGATTTGTCCCCCTTCCCCAATGGAAATATGCAAACATTTCACATGGACACAAGGTTCTTCTCCATCTGACAGGTGCTCCATTGGTTGATCTTTTTTCTTTCAGATAATTTTGTCTACAAATATTGCAGAAACAAGTGTCACTATAGACGATGTGGTCTTTGTCATTGATTCTGTTAAGTAAGTTCAGTTGATGTAAATAGGATATTAACTTACTTTGAGCCAGGTGTGAGGTTGCATGATCACGGTGGTCGGAGGATCCGGCCAACAGCCATTGTTTAGAACGTTTTAAATTGGCATTGTCTCGTCTGGGAAGAAACCAAATGGCCTTTTATTGTGTGTTAGTTTGATAAATGCCTCATCAAATCCAATACTTGGAATTGTACAGCGCCCCTCTCGCATCCCCTTATCAAAGCATCATCTGCATTTGCGCCTTTCCCCATTTTCGAACAGAAACCTCATCTATCCAGTTTAAATTCCCTTCTGAGAAAGACTAGATCTCTGCAGGCAGTGGGATTTATTACTGGTAGCGCTACCGTATGTATGGTATATAACTGTTGATAATTGTTTCCTTTCTTCCAGAGCTAAGATGAAAGTATTCACCTCACATAACAACATGACAAATTATGCCACAGTCTGGGCGTCAAGAACGAATATGGAACAACGTAAAGGCCGTGCTGGTCGAGTGAGGCCTGGGTTTGCTTTTTACCTTGTAAGCCGAGCTAGGGCCGAAAGGTGAGGCGTGTTTTATCTAAAGTTGATTAGACATTAAGATTATAAACAATTAAAGGCCTGTTACACGGTACAATTTTTCTTGCAACTTGCAATGCAATTCTACTTTTGAGAGATGTATATTTGGGAACAACGAAACTTTGTTGTTTATTGCACTTCATGCACTTTACTTCTGCAAGTCTTAGAAGTAGAATTGCATTGCAAGTTGCAAGACAAATTGCACCGTGTAACATGGCCTTAAGATATAAAACCAATTGCGATATTTTTAAAACGTTTTTCTGGCCTGTAGGATGTGAAGTAATACCTCTCTTTTTAGATTAGCAGAACACGCAACTCCAGAGATTTTACGCACACCACTACACGAGTTGGCTTTGACTATCAAGTTGCTGAAGCTTGGAGATATTCGCGATTTCTTGAACAAAGCAATCGAACCTCCTCCATTGGATGCGGTCGTTGAGTCTATCGCACTCTTACGAGGTGGGTTTTATTACCCTCAAGCAAGCTTGTTTACAGAAATAGAATAGAGCAGAACGGTGTATGGTGAGGTAAGGTAAGGTGCAATATGCAGTGTATGGTGTGGTGTGGTGTGGTGTGGTGTGGTGTCGTATGGTATCGTATCGTATCGTTGGTATGCTGTATGATATGGGACATATTGTATAATATTGTGCATAATAAAATGAAACATTTTCCTAGACATGGATGCCCTTGACAAGGATTCTCAGCTCACTCCTCTTGGCTATTTGTTGGCTAAACTTCCGCTAGAACCACGACTCGGAAAGATGGTTGTTTTAGGCTGCATCTTCAAGTGAGGATAAATTATTCTCCAAAACTCATAGTGATTATTTTGCTATACATCTATGATGACAACATATATGTTATTGTATCTTGATTTAGCTGTGGTGATGCGTGTGCGACAATTGCAGCGAGCACTTGTTTTCCAGAACCTTTCGAGACACCGTCAGATCGCCGAAGACTAGGCTGGGTTCACAAGCAGTTCTCAGGCCGTCGTCATAGCGATCACGTTGCAATGTTGAGTGCTTATCAAGCTTGGGAAGACGCTCGATCTGTGGATGAAACCGCTGAGATGCAGTTCTGTGACAGCCGTCAACTCAATATGGCAACATTGAGAATGACATCTGAAGCACAGGTATGCATTACTGAGGTAGCCAGCGGAACATCCCGACCCTTGTTGATTTAAGCCAATTTGAAATGGAAGAATGACTTCCGAGGTTTAGATGTAACATATTAGAATACATACATTGAAAGTGAGTTATATTTCTGTTTTTATTATCAGCTTCAGTTAAAGAATATCCTTTGTGATGCTGGTTTTCCTCAAGGTGCGTTTTCTTCATTACGAGATGTTTATGGTTTATCATATTTACATGCAGTTACCAGATGAGTTTTCATTTCAGATTGTATGCATCCCCAACCATTCAATTTCAACGGCCCCGATTCTCAATTAGACATAGTAAGTATATTTATCGTTTTTATTCCAATTTTTATACCAATTTCTTTCTATAGCATGTGGTTGCTACAGACAGAATCCATTCAACTGACACTCGATGCTAGCTGATAGCACAATAAAACACCTTATGAAATAAATATCAAATATCTTCCATATTCTGCTTCAGATTTTAGGTATTCTTTTCGATGTAACAACGAAAAAATAATCTCAAGTCTTTTGAACGTTTAACAAATTTGACTCAGGGGGGTAGCGTGACTATCTTAACCTCCAGGTTTCACTGACGAACACGTGGCGCTTGAAGCATGTCCAAAGAAAACACATAAGCTATGAGAACCGACTTTTTTACAAAATGAATTGCGATAGGAGTTTGTAGTTGAAATGCCTCAAATGTTAAATGTACATAATTATCGATTGTTGAACGTTACATGCAAAACTCATCGAGCTAGTTGAGCAAGATTATAGTTTTTACCGATGCTTGTGTTTAACCACGTTTAACCGACCACCTTGCCACAACTGGGGGTGTAGCCTCCCGCACTCTACGTCCCTGAATTTTGCACCTGCATGTGTGGATCAAAAACAATTTCGATTGTATATAATTACCTTAATCCAATTCCTTAATCCTTGGGAGTCAAGGATTAATTTCAGGATTCGAGTGTGTTGAGTCGCCCTTGATATTTATCCAATATTGGTATCCCGTCTTATAGGTTGTGGCCTTGTTATGTTTTGGGCTCTACCCGAATATCTGTGTTCACAAAGAAAAACGTAAAGTACTAACTACGGAAGGAAAAGCTGCTTTGATTCATAAATCTTCTGTGAATTGTTCAAACCGGGAGCAGACATTCCCATCACCTCTTTTTGTCTTTGGAGAAAAGGTTAGAACTTCTATAACTTTTATGTTAGAACTTTTATAACTTTTATAAGAAAAAGAATCGGTTGTATATGTCAGTATCATTAATGCAATCTGCAGTTCTCTGTTTGACTGTATGCTGACTATATGGTATGCGTGGATATTCGATATTGCCTGAAAATCATACGAGATTCTTCTACATAGTTTCATAGCTGTATGTTGTAAACCTTGTATAACCTTACAGTCTGTCATTAGTTTTTAACTTCATTCTAGATCCGAACGCGAGCAGTCTCGTGTAAACAAATGACAATGGTTTATCCTGTACAAATTTTGATCTTTACCCACAGTGAAGTCGAGTCTGAAAAAGAAATCATCAAGATTGATAACTGGTATTGTATCTACTGTATTTATTGATCTGACACGTGAGTGACTGTTCACTTACCATTTACCTTCACTGGATAAAGAGAGTACAGTTTAATTATTTCAATAGTTCGTTTAGTTTAAGACTTCTGTGTCGTCAAGGGATTACTCATGACTGACCTCTAAAGAGAACATCATTGAAGTATTGAACTCATGATGCTATTTTTCCGCAGGATCAAACTTCGCATGCCTCATAAACAAGCAGCTGCTTTGGTGGCATTGCGAAAAGCTATTGATGTTTTGTTGTGCCGCGTGGCCCAGTCCCCTGAGATCATCATGTACCCCAACCATGAAGATGGTCGTATAATCAGCATGTTCAAAAATCTCGCAAAAGCTAATGTTGGTCAAACGTTTCAGCAAAGGCCTCTGATGGGGGGCACGGGCGCTGGAGGACCGTAAGTAGGAATTTGGTGATAATGATAGTTTAATGATAGTTCGCTTGTGTAAACTGGCATATAAAAATAGGGCTGCTCCCTTCCGTTTATTAAACCAGCTATGAAGGTAATGATTATAGAAATGATGAAACTAGTGATAATAGTTTCAATTGTTGTGATATCAGAAAATTATGCTAATGCAGCTCGTCATGGAATCAATATAGGTAAAGTGTTAAGACTTTTTTTGTAGGCCCAGGGCACGAGGGATACGCGGTGGTTTCACGGGGCCCAGAGGAGGAAGACGCGGTTACCAAGGTCCAAGGCACTTCAGAGCCCCTAGAGGTAAAGGTTTTCTTTAAAAAGGCAGTTAATTTCAACTGAAAGTCCATGCTACAGTACTTTCGACTATATTGATGCATTTTTTTGTTGTAATCTATCTGCAGGTGGTGGCTTTGGTGGAAGCAGAGGGTTTAGAGGTGGACCGAGAGGCGGTTTTAGGGGGAATTTTGGTCGTGGTAACTTTTAAAAAATCTTATAGTACCCGAATTCTGCATTCTAGCAGCCCATCAATCTAGCAATCTGTGCTGGCGTCGGGCCTAATTATTAGCACTCGGTGGTTCTTCGTGTAGTAAATAAATCTTCAAAATATGCCGAAGCTCATCTTCTCAGCAGGTACCTAAACTATTTCAGGTTTTAAGTTCAGGGAAGTTATTACTTTGCCCCCCGTTGTCTAGACCTGAAGCCCCGTTTACACACCAGTGAATTTATCGGCACGACACGCCTAAAATGAGTACCTGTGCCCATTTCATCTTTGCCTTTGTATTGGTAGCTCGAGCACTAATAAAAATGGGGTACTGGTACCAATTTTAGCCGTGCCGTGCCGTGCCAACTGCCAGTAGCAATTTAATTGACTGCAGCTTAAATGGGGTTCTCGAAATTCAACGAATTCAATTTCAGGCCCGTTCCTTGTCCGGGCCTGTGTGAACGTTGCCAAGGTATTTTAACGGAAGGAGGAAGTTTTTAAAAAAGAAAAACAGGGAGCCCTTTTTTTGAATGTGGCTTGCATTTTGAATGTGGTGAATCGAAAGTGCAGTAAAGGTTGCTTTGTTTCCCTCTTTGAAATGTGGTGTTAGACATGAACGCATTGTAGTCATTGTAGCTGTGGAGTGTGGTTTGCGTGTTATGTAATTTACAAGAACTCTTTATTTGTCTATTTGAATATTTTAACAATTTAACTAGTTTCACATTCTTTGTCGTCCCAATATAATAAATATATATTATGATTACAAAATGAACAAATTATTTAAATCCTATGTCCACATAGATTACTTTATACAATAGAATTAAAACATAGTTAAATGGAATAAATAAAGTCTGGTAAGAAAGGCAGGAAGTTCATTTTCGCGCACTTCAGACAGAAAATGTTTCCGGAAAATTGTAAAATGAAATGTTTATCATTTGCGTGCCTTTTTAATAATAATGCTCCAGGGTACTTGGTGTGTTTGAAATAAGTGAAAGTTTTTCTGTTCTTTAAAAATTTCGACAGATACTGTATTTGCATATGCATCATGACCAGTTGTGACTTTTATCGCAGCCAAAACAGGTTGTTTTTGTATATAAATATACATCAAGTGCTATTTTGCAAAATGCCGTTTAATTTCACAATTTTTGTATTTCGATTATATGTATAATCTATCGCCTTAAATTTTAGATCGTCTGTTCACACTCGGGGACCGAATATATCCGACAAATTAGGGATTTACAAAATGTTGACAAGATATCCGACACATTGTGTTTCGTGTTTGGGCGGACGGGCAATGCGCCCGGGCACGTCACTCCTTGTAAACAATACCAATAAAATTGCCTCGAAACTCCCGCTGAAAACCCGTTTGTCTTCCGTTCTTTCTGCGACCTGTTGAGTTTTATCTACAGCACCTGTTCCTGGGTGTATTTCGTAAAGAAAACGCCCAAACCTGAGTGTTTTCGGCTTAGAATTGGCGAAATTTTGCTCATATATGATATGGCTGAATATCTCCCTCATAAGTTCGTGTGTATATCACATGCGAAATCTCCACCAATCACAGCGCAGTATGGCAGAGAATAGTCCAACTACGCATGCGCATTTGTAATGAGATACTACCTGAAGACCGTCATGTCTTATTCCGGTGAATGGCGTGATAGAATTTGATGCTTAGAAGAGCACTGTTTTGCGAATTCTGTACAAGTCATTGCTTTATTATAGAGTCCAGCTGCTCTAGATGTCTATGACCTGATTCCCAACGCTTTATTTGCTTCCAAAGGAAGCTGGCAACACCCTAAATTGGTCAAATAATCGAACAACTTTTCGCGAGTCGAACAAACAACGTCGTTCCGAATTGTTAAAAGAATTGTATTGTTTTCGTAAATTTGCCTTCGTATGCAAGGAAATAAAGGTGATTAAAAAGCTAAATACTCTTCGAAAACGTGTCAAAAGGCTTTGGGAGTTTGAAAAGAGGTATGTTATAGTAAAACACTGTAATTTTTGCAGAGCAGAGCAAGAGGATTTGTCTCAGTTTAGTTTTGTTATTGGGCCAAGTTCAATTACTCAACGCCGATGTTTCATGGGAGACTAGACTTACTGAGATTTCCTTAGCCTTGCTTTTAGCAAAATAACACAACATTTATATTTTTCACTATTTCCACCGTAAAATTAATATGCCTTTAATATAGATTTTGTGAAGATTAGCTTTTACTGCGATGTAGTCTTCATACTTATCAACAGAAATTTTAATATTCCTCCGCGTTTTCCCGACCAGACTTTAGCCAGACATTTTTGGAATATGAAAAAGCACGTCCCTTCTGCCATTTCCTCTCGTGTTTTTTCAGTCCTTACACTCTACAAACATTTAGTTAAACCGTTCCTCATACTAAAGAGCGCTTTAAATCGGTATATTTTGCGATAAAATTTGGGTTTATCAAATCGTCAAAGCCTTTATTTCATAATAATACAAATATTATGCTTCGTGTAGAAGAAACACATCGGTTTATTTTGATATTTCGTGTTTTTATCTGAAAATATTTAGATAAAGGAGGCCAGATTATATGTTCAATTTTTTTTATAAAACTATTGATTATGTCTAAATGGTAGCAGTATTTTAGCGCAGGAACAAAAACATGTTTACAGTTTACTCTGTATGCATTGGCCATTAAATCTCCGTACGATCGACGTGTTTTGCATTTTCATTCCAGTGAGGATTCCCTTGAGTATGGTTTGCCGTAAAATATTTATCGCTTCAAATTTTATTATACTTCACACGCAAAAGGCATTTATAACAGCCAGATTTCGTGTTTAAATCATATATCGGTATTTTACTAGTGGGTTTTGTGAAGTATACGATGCTTGTCTACAGATAAGATCTGGACTATATGCGGTAAACTTGGTCATTTCTCGCCTATATAAAACGAAAAATAAAGATGACGACTTTTGGCAAGCTGAAACAGGCTTTTGTTTACTTTTGAAAAGCAAGCTAAGCAATTTCCCAGCTGCCTGGGTACTTATATAATTATGTTATTTGTATTTCCTCAAATTTTACCGGGGTTGATGACGACAGGTTTAATTTATATACGTGCTGGACGTCTTAAATTTTACAATTGATATTCAATGTTATGTCCTAACAATTATCTGCAGGATATTTTGCCTTGTCCTCTCAAATATGGTAATGAATATAAGTTGAAACCAAACTACTGATTTTTCTCTGGAAACTATTGTGTGCAGTGATTATATGCTCTTTGTCAAAGCTTTGACCTGCAAAAGATATTCAAAAATTGATTTTTTAAGAACAGGATGCTTTGTGTTAAGGGTTATGCATAGGTTTATTGACCCTGTGGTGACAATCGAATGTATCCAGCATAGTGATCATCTACCTTACTGCTTCTTAAAACATTGGTTATTGTGTTGTTACATATTGGTTATGTTTGGTCTTTTGTCCATGATTTGTTCAGCTTCTGCAGATATGTGTGCCTTCTCAAAGTGGGTAGCTTATCAAGGAAGTAAAAAATTAGTGTCTTTGGCACTATTAGAGACCATATTAACAACCAATCTTATGTAATTGTTTCACAATTACACAACATGCAGCATTCATGATAATAACAGGTTGCATTTTATAAATGGATATATCAGTGATCAAAACTCGCAGATGGAAATTGATAATAGATTTTGCAAACAAAAAGTATGCAGTGTTGAAAGCCCTCATAGGTGGTGATAAATAACCTCAGACTAACTATTATTAGAAAATACTTTGCAACATAAGCAATACAATTGATGGCCAAGTATGGATAAATTGTTCTAGTTTGACAATTAATTCAGTTTACTAGGCAATTTATTGTCCCATTTATGAGCCCCAATTCAGGTATAATTTGCTATTGTTTTTCATTACAAACAATCCTCTTTTGATTTTCAATTTCAATTAAAAATTTTCTTTTTATACAGCACCTTGTTATGCTTTGAGCAAGTCACACTTCAGCAAGAATGCCTATCTCAACCCCTCAGTGGACCGAGTTTTTAACATGCCCAATATGTTCACATGATTTTACTGACACCCAACGACAACCGATTAGTTTGGGATGTGGTCACACAGTCTGCAAATCATGTATATCCAGTCTACATCGAACTGTTTGTCCCTTTGATCAATCAACCATCAACCTTAAAGTGGATATTTTGCCAATAAACTATGCTTTGCTGCAACTTCTTGGGTTCACAATTCCAACACCATCTTGCCCTGATGTGTCAAGGATAAAAGAGAATGTGGGTCAATATTTTGCAGCCAAAAAATGTATAGAGGAGCTAGCCCTGTTTCTTAGTCCACTTGTCTCAAAGAATGGTTCACCCTCAGAGGCAACAAGCAATGGTCTAACAAATGGTACACTGTCTCGGCCAATGCATAGAAAACTAGTAACTCTTGTTAACTGCCAGTTAGCAGAGGAAGAGGGATGTGCAAGGATTATGAGGGCAATTCGAAGTCTTGGTGAGAGAACAGTCTTGGAGTTTATTCTCCTCCATCAGAATTCTGCCCAGTTGTCGCAGAATCTATGGACAGCTGTACGAAATCGAGGCTGCCAATTTCTTGGACCAGCCATGCAAGAGGATGCTCTGAAGTACATCTTGTTAGCACTTGAAGGTGGTGAAGCCTTATCAAGGAAGGTGATTGTTCTGTTTGTGGTTCAACGTCTCGAGGCGTTGTTTCCACATGCCTCAAAGACCAGCATTGGGCATGTTGTTCAACTGTTGTATAGAGCATCGTGTTTTAAGGTAAAATAAAGAATTTAAACATGTAACTAAGTATCTATTTCTGACAATTCTTTAATTTACATTTCAAAATATGAATTAATCTCTCTCTTGTTAGGTGACCAAGCGTGATGATGAGTCATCACTGATGCAACTAAAAGAACAGGTGAGTGGGAATTTTGTAGTTAGGCACAGTTGCACATCATCATCCATCCACAAAATTTTAACTAGAAAGTCAAATTCTCAAAAAATAATGGTGCCAACTTTACCATCTTTAAATAGAAAATACAGTTTCCCTCTTGTCTTGCTACTTTGCCATATAAAAGAGCTACAAGTCATTGTGCTTTATTGGTAAATTTTTAACTGCTTTTTTAGTTTCGAACATATGATGCTCTGAGACGTGAGCATGATTCCCAGATTGTCCAAATAGCGCTCGAGGCAGGTTTGCGTATATCTCCTGAACAATGGTCAGCTTTACTGTACGGTGATCAAGGACACAAGTCTCATATGCAGTCAATTATTGATAAGGTAACTTGACAATTTGTTAGTTAACAAATTGTTTTGTATGTTTTTTGTGGAGACTCCATGTAAATTTAGTTTTGCTGAGCTTGATTTGTACTGATGATGGTCCAGGCCTATAACACGAGAGTGTGCTTCAACAAACGGATGTACAAAGTTGCTATTATCACTATGCACATATTGAGAGAACTCATTAACAAACTGTTCCCTTCCAAGAAATCTGTTACATGTTTTATCAAATATTTTTGTTGCCCACAACAACCAACAAACATTATTCATTTAGCTTCAAACCCCAGAGTCATTTGCCTCCAGCATCCAGGAACTGACAATCGCCCTGCAGCGATCTAGTGATCCGGCACAGCTTGGTCGTTTGAGAGAGCATTTTGAACTCTTGTCAAGAATTGATGGTTCACCAGGTTAGTTTATGAATATTCATTTGGCAAAAATACACTGTACTTTAGTCTACTAATTTATACAACTCAACAGTACATGAGAATGCTTGTCATTTATCAGATTTTTTATTACCAATTGATCATTAAATAGTGACAGATATAAATGTCCGATATAAAAATTGAGGGTTATTTAGGATCTTGTCATAAAGGATGGAATTAGTTATGCAGTAATATTAGGAATTGTAGGGATTTATGGTTTGGATTATGCTGTGAACAATTAATCGTAACGAGAAAACTAAAGTTGATGTTATTAGGAAGCATCAAAAGTCTGGCATTTTCTAACAGATCTGTTAATTTTCTAGATGCGACTACCCCAACATGGCAAGAACTGGAGGATGCTCTTAAAGCTGTTACTGCTGTTGTTCATGGCTTAGTTGAGTTCACAAAGGTGAATAAATAAGATAATGCGTTCAAGAAATGTAATATAACAGGGGCGGATCAATGCTCATCTGACAGGAGGGGTGCAGATTTTCCTAGGGGGGTGCATCAGTGCGCTAGCAAAGCTTGCCCGGGGCCCCGGGCTGTTGTATATTTTTTAGGCATGAGTGAACCCAGCCCGTGTAATGAAAGTATTATTACTTTATTAACTTTTTTATATCTTTTTTTCTTAATGAATAGTGGTATAAAGTTATAAAATATTATATAATATATAAAAATTATAAATTCTAGTTGTATTGCTGTACAATACTTCTTTGCAATATTTCAAATTTGTGCAGATGTTCAAGTTCTCAATTCTCAGGTTAGCAATAAGTACATTATACATTATATACATGCAGTTAGACTAGTTAGTAGTTAGTCAGTTCATGACTTAGACTTTAGCCCTCCTATTGCGCATGTTTCCCCATGCTGTTACGACTTCGTCCAAATCCAGTAAATCAGCAACATCTCTGTTTAACGAAATGCATAAAAGATCACTTAATCTTTCTGGAAGAAGGGTGGATCGTAGCTTCGTGCAGACACGATTCATGCCGGAAAATGCTCTTTCCACTGAAGCGGTTGATGTCGAGATGGTGTTCTTAACTGCAATTAAAGTGGTTAAGTTCGGAAGCCTGTTTGGATTTATTGGTAGACCAAGACGATAATCAACTTCAGCTCTTTCGATTTCTAGTTCGAGGATAGATCTGTTAATGTTGAGACAGCTGAAGGTATTCAGTAGCACATCTAGCTCACTTAAGTTCAAGTAGGTATCTGAACCTGCATTAAGAGCATTGATAGCTCTAAGGATGTCTATGTTCTTGGAGTCAAATCTGACATTGAACTCATCGTTGAGTTTATTTTTCAGCTCTGCATTGAGATCTGCAATAAATTCTTTTACCTGATGATCCTGATCGTCGGGAGTCATAACTGTTGTAGCTCTAAGGTTGTGGATAGGCATTGTGTCGCAGAGAGCTAAGGGATTTCCAGTCTTTCTTGAAATTTCTTTCGACGCAATGAATATGTCCTCATCTTTAATGTTGTTAATTAAGTCCCGAGTTCGGGTCAGCTCGTATTGAACGTCCGTCCAATCAATTTTTTCGGTCTGAAGTTCTTTATTAAGGAAGTATAGCTTGCCGAGATACTTATGAAGTGTTGTCAGACCCACGATGAACTTTCCTGACATCAGTTTGTGGTACAGTCCAGCTGCTGTTTCTGCCTGTGACTTCGTATACTGATACTCATCATCTTCATCACTTCCACCGGGGTTGTTTGCCACATCTATCAGAGTCGTGAGGACAACATCAAATCTTTCAGATATAACATTAACGGCTTCGTATTTGCATCCCCAACGAACATCGATTTGCTGCACAATATGTTTAACTTGTTTGCCAGGATACATTTCTCTGTGGAGTGATTCGTACTTTTGTCTGATCTTCGGTTTATTAAGCAGTGTATGGCAGGATTTTATTGTGGTCATAACATCCATTGACGACAAAGATGCATTTAGCATGTCTCCTACAACCAAATTCAAACGATGGGCAGTACAATGGATGTAAACTAGCCATTCAAAATACCTTGATCGAAGCAGTTCTGCGACTCCTGCTAACCAGCCAGACATCACGCTAGCGCCATCTGCGCCGAGGCTGATAATAGGCGATCCGTTGGATTTCTGCTGTACGTCAGAGATCAGGTCTTTCGTAACTGCTGAGATAGCTTCTGCATCAAATTTGGTGAGTGCAGTCATGGATAGAAATCTCTCTTGTACCTTGTTGGTGTAGTAACGAACAGAGAAAGCAAGCTCTTCCCTCTTGCCTTTGTCTTTGCTTTCGTCGATCAGCGCACTGAAGCACCCGGCAGTTTCGATCTGATGGCATATCTCTTTCCGTATCTGAACCGCGAGTACAGACAGCATTTCATTAAGAGACGTTTTACTGGTGTAGTCAACAAGAAGCCTTTTTTCTGTTATCGCTTGGTGGAGACTTCGAAACTCCTTGTTGGTCTGTAATTGCATCTTGATAAACGTTGTCCAGTTGCCTGGGTTTTTCGAATCAGCTGCCTCGTCGTGGCCCCGGAATGCTATTTCGTTCGTTGCAAACCAAATTACGTACTGGAACAGAAGTTTAAAGTAATCTCTGTTATTTTGAGTTGTTTTCGCTTGATCGGGAACCAGTTTCTCAAGTATACTTGTATCTATTCCGTCTGATATTCGGGCCTTTGCTTTCCATTTCTCGTAGCAATTTTTGTGAACTTCTGATTTCTGGTGTTTCGTAAAACCTTTGTCCTTATCTAGCGCATTAGTCCACTTTCTAAAGCCAGTTACGGTAAATGTGGTGTCTGCGGAATTTCTTGAGCAGAAGTTTTTACAAGCAAAGCAAAATGCTGCATCGCTTTGAACATTATACTCTAGCCAGTCGAAGCGGTTGTACCAGTTTGCGTTGAAAGATCTCGTTTTTTTGCTTGAAAAGTTTGTATTTATTGGAAATTTCTGGAGCTTCGGTTGTGATGGTTTGTCCAATTCTTGATCGAGATCACAGGAGCTTGCTTGGCTAGTTTCAGGGGTGGATCTCTCTTGAGTCTCTTCAGGATCACAAATTGTATGAAGTTGAACTCCATCTGGTTCAGCATTATCCCGCTCAGCATTGTCTCGTCCAGTCTCATGTTCATCTCGTTCATCTTCAAGTTCTGGATATTGATCTTGATCAATTGCCAGTTGTGCATGTGGGTTCGATTCTGGAACTGAAGAATAGTGTGATCAGCAACATACAGTCGAGTCGGCCCAATTTCTCAATAAATAATATTGCAGAATACTGTGATGACACTAACCTTTTTTTTCTTGTGGAAAAAATCTGTAAGCGACGGTTGGCGCCTTTTCATTGTTCTCTCTACTCGGTTTGTCCAACAATTCGCAAATGAAAAATCACTCACGTTGTGTTTTGGTATTGAAAACAAAAGATTTCACAAAATTCAGCTATATTAGATGTTCTTCAGACTCTTCACGATTCACTAACACTCATGAATAATGTATAAAGTGACCGGCTTTTATACCGACCGTTAGGGTAAAATATGACTTAATTAACCAAAAATAATCTATGACATAACACACTATGAGTAAGCAAATTCCATTAAAGGCCAATCGCAAAGTTGAACCATGTGTGATTACATCATACAGGTACTTAAATATTGCATTGTCACGCAGTTGGCATGCAACATTATCTGGCGAACGTAAACAAGGTCAAAGGTCGAACATTTGATATGCGAATGACTGTCGGAAAATACTAAAATTACACAAAGTTAAAATTCTATGTAGCCTTTGTAGGATCTATTCTTCAATCTTCAAACTTTTTGGAGATGTTAACATCAAATGTATTTATAGTTACACTAAATTTTTTGGCAGTGTTGTAAATAACAACGAAGATATACGCAAAGTAAAAATTTCCGTAAACATTTAGAATTTTTTTTGGGGGGGTGCTAGAACATTTTGGGGGGGTGCGCACCCCCCTGCACCCCCCCAGAAAATCCGCCCCTGTAATATAACTTTTTCCTGTACAATCTGAAAAACCACAATGGCTTTTCCATGACCATTGTCAAAATTACATGGTAGTGGTGTATACTTGCAACTTTGAGAAAAAAGATTAAACATCTGACCTGCTGTAATGGATAGTAATCAAGTCTCTGGTAATAATATACCCCAATATGCCTAACTCATAAAGTCTATCTTTTTCTATTCACAGACTCATGGAATAAGGGTCAAACCGACATCTGACCAACCTGTGCACAGCAAGTTTAAGACCAGTATGTGCCGTGATTTTGCCCAAAGAGGATCATGTCCAAGAGGTCAAAGTTGTACATTTGCACATTCTGAGGATGAGTTGGACAAGTAAGTTATATCTTATGTTGTTACTTTTAGAATTTTAGTTCTAAATTTTGCTTACATCCACTGAAAATTATGCTTTTTTTCTATTGCTTGATTTTTCAATTGCTTGTTTTCTATCTTAGTTGTTGTTGACAAATTCAAGACATGTTAATATGAACTCAAATGAACCAAGCTTTATTTCACAGAGTTTTGAAGTCCACTATCTTGCAACAAAAAACCAGTGTTCACCTGATGCTAAAATAGAGGTTTTTCATTTGAAATATTTTAGATATCGTCGCAAGGCCAAGGCAGCTCGACCAGGTGGGAACGGTGTAGTCAACGCAAGAGGTGGAATGCCTGATCATCTATCATATTCACCAAACCACAATGATGAACCCGCAGAAAATGGTCACAGCAACCGCAATGGTTCGATAAGATCATCACCATTGTTTTCTCAATCGAATGGTAAGGATTGTGAGAGATGTTTGATATTAAAAAGCATTGTCGACCATCTATGATGTATGAAAACTTTAGGTTATGTGAGGCAAAAGTTAGTGTACCTAATTTTCTCATATTCGTGTTTGGGTTTGCACTTGCTAACCACCTTTAATGTTAACCATAAATCAAATAATCAAGATTTTAGTGCCCGTCATTTGTTAATAAGCTTCTGTACTTATATCATGTCATTCATAGGTCAAGATTATCCGGTGAGCTCCTCAAGTTATAGTCAGCTGGTGCGCGCGCACAACAATCATAATTCCCATGACGTCATGGTGCAACAATTACGTAACCTCAACATCCATTCCCAGCCTCCATCTATGTATAACGGTCAGGAGAATGGTTTTCGTAACCACGTCGCGACAGATGGTCTGACACCACCACATAACTCAGACCAGAGCTTCAATTATCCATGGATGGGTAGAACAAATGGTTATTCTGCTGTCAATGGGAACGGTCATGTGAACGGCCATATGGATAATGTTGGAAGACCAGGTGAGTCTGCGATTTATAGATTAGAACTGGATGTAGGTAAGCTTAGAGGCTGCATTTCATCATAGTGAATAGTCTTCAGTTTATAAGCGACTTTTTAAACTGATATGATTCTCTTGGAAAGTCCTTGAATTGTAATACCAAAGGTAAAGGCCCTGAAAATTTTTGAGACTATAAAGTGTTCTTTGAAGTTATTCTACTTGGCTTGATAGTTTATACAAATACTGAATATTTTGGGATATTTTGGTCTTATATTTATCATATGTTTTGCAAACGGAAACGTTTGATTTTGATTTCCATAATCTCTCTTTCAGGTCCCACGCGTACTTCACCTCTCACAGTTGAAGAAGAAGCTGCTCTGAATGGCCTGAACGGCGTCAATGGTATGAATGGATTGAACGGGATAAATGGAACAAATGGGGTCATGAATGGGCACTCGGAGTACAATCAACAACGTCGTATCGAGGAGATACGTCGCCGTAAGAGCGAACTGTTAAACTATAATTTTAGTCAGCGGTTCCGTTGTGCACAATACGTCCCAGCACCGAATGGTTACTCTCAGTTCCAGTCTCATCAATATTACCCCAATGATGCGAACCGTTTCGGAGCTGTTGGAACACGAGTTGGGCCAGATATTGATAGGTTTAATGGCTTCTCTCACTACCCACCGTCTTCGCTCAGCCCGAGAGCGTTGATTGATCACGTGGACGTCGTCCATAATGCATCGTTTCATCCGCACTTCAGCTTCGTTCGTAGAACACCGTTCGCCGGAGATTCTGAGGTAAGTCAATCACTGTCAATCATCTCTTTCACTGATTCGTATGGTCGTGGCGCGCTAGACAACGCAAAATACCAGGGACTGGTTGTATAAAACTCTTTAAACTTCATTTTGCACAGTAAAATCTTAGTTAACTCAGAAATACACAATTAGTAACTACCGTGGTTGTGGGCCTATCTATGATAGCCTGTTATTCAATTTATCGCAAGCACACTATGTGATTATCACTGAGATTTTTTATCCGAGACCCGAATACCGTGATCTTGGTTTGACAATTATCGTTCATTTCCTTCAGGATACAGACTCTGGCTTTAAAACGGACAGTGATACCAAAAGTTTGTCGATTGAAGATTCGGCAGTTTCAGAAGAGACCTACTCCCGTCCACACTTGAGTAGTGTCAGCAGTGGTGTGAGTAGCGGGGACTCCTACGGGAGCCATTCTCCGAGGTCACATTCTCCGCTTGGCTCACCAAGGCAGCATTCGCCCGATGTTTGGGCTGGGTCTACCGATGTTTGGTCGAATAGTGGAGATGGCCCAACTGGACCGTTCCTGCCACGAAGGTCTGTGGAAAGTGATATCGTTGGGAGAGAAGCCTGGAATCTAACGAATTCTGACGAGGTATGTTGCGAATAGAGGCTGTAGAAATTAAATCGATCATATCAGGATCATATGTAATGAAGGCAAATCACAGTCTTGTCACTAAAAGCGTTCCTGAACACTCTTGTTAAAGATTATATATTAAATTATATATATTTTTCACACAAGCCAGCCTCTGCTGCAATGTTGCCTGAATTTTTTAAGAATTCCGGACACCAAAACTTACGTGTTTTGTCCTTGCATTTTCACAGTTGTCAGGTTGGTATCAGAAAACAGATGAGAAGGAACTACCTGCATGGGCTCTGGACAATACCAATAAGAAACGCAACCAAACGCTGTTAGAGTCGTTCTCTTCGTGCAGTGGTTATTGGTCTGACCCTGAGATCACGAGGTAAGTCGTGAGTACGTGTATACATCATGCCATTGGATGTTCCTCTAGTGGATAACAGCTTAGAGTATAGAAGCATTACTAGAGCCTTTGAAAGCAGAAGAAAGCTTGCAGCGAAAGCAGGACCGTAGTTTTTAAAATATCAATTGATTTTACTATTTTACTTTAAGAAGAACTTTTGAAAATAATACAATAAATATTTCATCCCTTCCCTGATCAGATCCAATATTTTTGCGTTGAGCTAAAGATATATTCTTCCTTTCATAACAATTTGTGAAGAAAAAGTACAAAATGTGATAATTTTCACCGTAGGTATCAGCAGATCAAAGATGATGAGATGATCGCTCGTACATTACAAAGCGATGAAGGCTCTCCAGAAATGATCCACTCCGAGGTACAGCCTTCAGCGCCACCTGTCTCTGAGATGTATGAAGATCAAACCAGCGATGCCACCATAGCGCTTGAATTACAGAACATAGAAAACGATGAACATGGAGCGAGGGTTGAGAAAGAACGTTTAGAATTCGAAGAAAGGAAAGAAAAAGAGATGTTGAAAAGGAAACAGGTTCGTGTTATCCCCATCCTATCTCTCCTTCAGGCGCTTACAATTATCTTATTTTAGCATTTATATCCAGAATATCTGGACATAATATAAGATAAGATAATCATTCACACATAAACTTGACCTGCTTTAGATCGAAGAAGACCGCGAGATGGCGTTACGTGTTCAGAACGAACAAGAAGGCGTACGATATGTCAACGACGAAGAGTCTTTCAAGATACACGAGCGTCTTTACAAAGAACACCAGGAACGCGCAAAGGAATTAAACGGCAAAGACCAAGAGACGAAAGATCGCCGCCTTGCAGAAAGTTTGGTGTACGAAGATGCATACAACCATGGTTTGCCGGTGTTGCCTAGACCTGACCCGAAGGTTATCAAACCAATCAAATACCCGGTGAAGATTGTCCCTCGGGGAGCCCGTTCCTCGTCAGCCATCGATGTTTTGGAATCATCTCTGCCATGAATATATGGTTAGTGAAAGGCTCGTTTATGCAATACAAGTGCATAAGTAAAAGCATCCAGTAAAATTGAGCCGCAAAAAAAGAAAAAATAGTATGGACGAGCCTTGAATTGAGGTGATTTTGCGAAGTAGAATATGCCAATATTCTAGTGTGTATATTATAAGTATGTCTTACTTTTAAATTCTTAGACTTTTGTAGGTTTTGTTCTTGAAGAAGTCTTAACGATTGTAATAGTTGTTGTTTATTTAGAATCTTAGGGTAATATAGTTTGCACCTTGGTAAAGTGGGAGAAGGGCTTGGTTTCAGAGAGCCGGGGGTGGGATATTCACCTGTAATAAAAATGAAAAGCAGTTTAGGGCGTCTTAAACGATAGAAATTTTATATTTGTGGATTTGAAATAATCGTTTGTATATTATTAATTAAGTAGCTATGATTTGTAAAAAAAAAACTAGAAAAGGAGCCTGTGTGTGCCCTGCGAGGCGATCGCTCGTGTATCCCACGAAAGTTCAACCACTTGTGTGATGTACACGTGTGAAACTGCATGGATATCACCCGCGTTGCAGGATACCTTTGGGATAAAATTGTATAAAATTGGATTTATGTAGATAACATACTGTAGTCTATATCTAGTTGTTAAACAAAGCAAAAATTTATACTGTAGATGAAATTCATAGAAATATTATGTCGACTATTAAACCGGCTCCGTAAAGTTCTCGAATTCCGAAAAGAGATTACGATAAAATGCTTTCATCAAAATGTAGTATATGAGAGATTAAATATTTGTCTTAGGACACACCATATTCACATTGTTTCGTTCAGGAGATTGTGATCAACCATTAGTTATTAGAATAAGATGATGCTTGATCACCATCAGCTGATCTGACTTTGGTATTTGGTCTGTGTGATTTAGAACTTCATACATCAACGTGGATTTTTGGACTTTACAGAGTTATGGATACATTAGATATCTCAGATAAATCTATATAGTTTGTGTTGAACTCATTGTATTTTATTTAATGAAACGAACGCGTGTAGCGTGGCTAATATAGAATTGCTTTTTATTTAATGATTTTTATAGCCTAAACCAGCGGTCCTAACTGATGTAGCTGTAAATGACATATAATTAATTGTAAATTGATTAAAAAGATTCTTTGAAATATGCTGTGTCGCATTGAAAACAAGTTCCAACCTTAATTGTTGGATAAAAGTTTCAGGTATAAACGTTCCCACATCATGCAATAGCTTTTGGGTGTAACCATTGCACCTGCCCAGCTTTTTGGCCTTTCCCTGACGCTACTGGTTCATTCTGCTCATTGTAGTTACCACTGACCAACCGCGATTTAAGGCTTGAAAAAAATGCCATCTCCCTCCTGTTTTCCGATAAAAAAAGATTTTGGTTTTTCGTAATTTTCTGAAAACCTGCCACCTGACAAGCTAAAGTTAAAAATCTGAAGGGGGCTTAGGGTTTTATATCAAACTAAAATTAATAAGTGAGGGTAAATCGATTATTATTTTTGGCACTCACTCGATGTTGGTAAATTCTAGAGGTTTAAAGAGTCTTAAACCTCTATAATTTGCCGTAGGACCTATGGTTGACTCATTGACTAATTCGAAGTGTGTATAATTCCACTCGAAATTAAGACCCTTTAAAGTATGAAAATACCCCGTTCATAATGCATTGATCGCTTCAGGGACCGGTATTTTATTAATCACTGGCAACGGACAATAGAAATATGCAAAAATATTGCCTGAGACTGCACAACTTTGTTGGCTAATTTATTCCGGGCAAATCTGCCAAACTGGGTCGGGGAAATTACATTATTTACATGAGTCATAGACCTCTTTCAAACGTCGTGCTTCTGTAATGTGCGGAACATTTAAAACAATAGTTAATCAATGAAGATGCCTCATTATCAACTGTAGTTTATGCGTTTGGGACATTGAGAAGCACAACGTGTGAAACAGGCCTTACAGGCTTACTGTTAAGTGTCATCGATGCATAAAGTGCATTGTCTGTAGGCAGGTATTTCGGGTAATAAAAGGTGGTGAATTCGGAAAGAAAGTCAAAATTGGTGGTTTGAAAACGTTGTGACTTCTTTTTAAAATGTGTTCGTTCCGAAAACTCGAAGCGTATAGGGAAAAGTTGGAAGAACCTTTGCTCAGGTACATGCTAATGGTTAGTTTAAAGAATCTGTTGGCTTAATCTTTGCCTTTGGTTTTGCAATTAAGGTTATCGTCGTGTTGATTTGAATAGCAAGAAGACATTAGCAACTCGAGGCCGATCTTGCCGATTTTTACTGCTATACCTTTTAAATTTCGATTGAAAATGTGAAATGCAAGTTAACATGATTCTTTTTTTGCTTGTTTCATTTCAGAACTAACAACAGCACCGAAAGATGGGGAAGGCGAAACACAAACGCTTGTTTGCCGCGAATAATAGGCATTAATATATGCGTATTTTGGAATTGTGACTTGAAACAACACGTTTGTACACGGTGGGCGAAACTTGTCGTTTAATGGAGCCGTATAATCAAGCCGACTTCAGCGGCTGACGCAATGCGTTCTTCGGACACGGGTTTTCGTATCCGAAAAAACCAGATCAGTGGGACTGTGGGAAAAACCGGTATATTGATATATGCATGTACTTTATGCTAAACATGTGCTGTTATTTCACTGAGCCTGTTTATTATAGTTTCCTACATTCAAAGTCATTCAAAGTATCTGATCCGTGCTGTAGTGGAATCCTATGGCTATGGCTTTGCTTCCCTGGAAAACGAGTCACTTAACTAAGCTTCATTCATATACCCGTGAATTTTTTTGCTTTATCGAGGTTTTCTTTTTCAGAATGAACCAATCGTCGGATTTGAGAGATGGTAGAAGCTGCCTTGGAACATTTACGCGCGCGAATACAGTTTGATTTCGGTTAAAATATGCATGAGTAAAAATTGCATGGGTTTGGCTTTTGGCTCAGATATGCTGAACACACTTCTGTTTACCTCCTTTATTTTGAAATTTCGGGTTTTGCATGGGTTAATAACCTGGTCGTGTCCAGTGCATGCGGGGGAAATGCAAGTGATTCTGGGGCCCCGTCACTTGTATTTTCTCCATCCAGAACGACAATGGTCCAGAAAAAAATATCGCTCACAGAGCGCCTAAAACATAAAAATGCATGAGAAATTGTATCTTTAGAAGGAGATAATAGTCGAGTGTTTTAGTTTTCTCGGGACCATGAAGAAAACGATGAATATTTCCGACAAAACGTGCATGACATTTTGTATTCGCGTGCGCAATGCGAAGGCCTTGGAGGAGTGGCGTAGGAGATGTTGAAGGTCTAGTTTTGTGCTTATCTTGAATGCTTTTTACATAAATGACATTTCTCTTTTGGAAATTAACAATACCATATTTGTGTATCTACGTTAAGGAACCAGATGATGATGGATCATCGCAGAATCCGCAGTTGAAGGATCATCGCAGGATCGGATGTGGTGAGTGATCGTCGCAGGATCAGGTGTTGCAGGATCACCGCAGGATCAGATGATGAAGGATCGTCGCAGGATCAGATGTCGTCAGTGATAGTCGCAGGATCAGATGTCGTGAGTGTCGTCGCAGGATCAGATGTCGTGAGTGATCGTCGCAGCATCAGGTGTTGGAGGATCGTCGCAGGATCAGATGCTGGACGACGACATGGGTGTACAAGGTGGAAGCTGGTTGAGGTACATACTTTGGGTATACTAATTAGAGTAATGCATGGCTAATGTAATTGCATGCATGGTATATTCTCGATTCCTTCTGGTGGTCTAACCTAGTATATTCACACATCAAGTGACATTTCACCCTTTAGTCGACAATGCATGATAACAGAAAATTTCACAGCTTTTATCAGGTCGTTTTCGAGGTTTCTTGATGAAACATTCCTATAGTTGTCACTTGTGTGTGAATTTTACCGACGTATACGGTGGTCTTATGCAAAAACTTTTTTCTTTTATTTCGAAAAATATGAAAATCGTTTGCAATAGTTATCTTGCCCGAAGAACTGGGACTTTTCGTTTGCTTAAAAAAACGATTAAAATTTTTCAATCGAACAATACAATAGAACTTATGAAACAAAAGAATAAGGCTGAGCCTTTGCTCAGAGTAAAAATTTGCTTAAAGTAAAAATATCTAGGTTCGATTGAGAAATATTTCAGAAGCGCTTTTCCTAAATTATTGAAAGGTTATTAAATATTTATATTTTTTGTATACGACCACCTTAACGGCTGCGGAAGATGGATGAAACGATGATGGCTTTGAAACGTTAAAATGAAAGTAACAAAATGCAATTGGCATTTTGTCGACGCGCACGCGGCGAAAAATTTTTTATCGAATTCGTATTGGCCTAATTTTAGATGAATACGAATCAAGGCAATCAATCCAGTGTACTTATATGATTATATAAGTTCTCTGTTAGTCTGTTTAGCTTATAATGCGATCGTTTCGAAGGACGTCTGTCAGTGACAACAAAAATTATACTTTAGTCTTGGAACATTTAAATTCGAATTATTGAAGTTTCATACGAAAAAAAATTACTATATCGGATGTTTAGACACTAGCACTCTTTTGCTTCCCATGTTAGTATTGATTTTTCTGATTGCCGTTTGAACCTCTAAAAATCCGGTTAATTTCAAATATGAAGGAAATAAACGTAATCATTTTGACCAACTTTATGAAGTCTGTATATAAGAAAGAAAATATGCCTCCAAAATATGCCTTACAAGATATATTACATTGCATGATAACTGGACCTGTACAATAGGGTTATCTGTGGGTAGAGTGTTAAAACTGCAGGTTAATATTGTATAGTACCCTCATGCCTAAAAAGCTAACTCCTTCTGCATTTTGACACACTTACTATGTTGTTCAATTTCTTGCACGCCCCACCGTCGAGAGGTTGTTGAAGAAGAACACAACTGTTTGGAATGGAGCAGTGATGCAAGTGAAATTTGGTACACTGTTTACCAAAGGTAATTATACGGTGCGAAAGGTAAGGGGCATTGATTACCCGTATTAAGTAAGTTGCATGTTGAGCCCGATTACGTTTATTTCTTCATTTCTTGGTCAACCGTAATCCAAAACGTATAAACAAAGAAATAAAAACAGTGCATGAGGTGCATGTCTTATGAATGGTTAGTAGAAGAGTGCTGTTGTCCACATCAGTTTGAGATGAAAAAGCATGCAAGTCGTGAATACGAAGTTTTTCTTTATCATAAAATGTACATTTGAATATTTGAAATAATTTTTGTTGCCACTGTCAGACAAAGCGCAGTTTAATTTCTGAGAGCCTAGTGTTTTGCAACGGGCGATACGCGCGCTTCGCACGTTAGACCACCAGCAGGATCGAATTAACGAAGCTCAAGAATTGCATGGCAATTCCTGGGACTCAGTTTGGATGAGAGCGGAACTGAAGGGGTGAACTATTATAAATAAAGACTGACTGTCATTTCAGATGATTCCCAAATTCGGATCGCCGGTCAGGTAACCTGAAATTCAGGTCACCTTCGGAGGGTTTTTCTCCGGGCACTCCGGTTTCCCTCCTTTTCGTTTGGCTTTAAAAAACAGTGTCCATGTCAGGGCCAAACCAAAACGTGTTCGTTCATAGTGATAAAAACGCGTGTGTGGCTTCTGGGTTCGATTCCCAGAACACTGTCGTAAAAAGAATTTTTAAAAACATGGTTGTGGAATCATTACGTATTTAGCTACTTTTGTTCGGAAATTTCTGGCAGTGAGATTGATTATAGGCATGTAACTGGGTTTAACCTCGTGGTCCACCTGCAAGAACATTAGTTTACCTAATTATATCTTTTGTTAAGTTTTTTTTTGTCAATGTAAGGGCATTTTTACCTTTTACAGCAGTTCTTCTAAATATGGCATAAAATACTTAAGGGTGCTGTTACACTATGCAATTCTCCTTGCCACTTGCAATGCAATTATAATTTTAACAGATCGTAAGAAATGTTCGTATTCCACTACTTTACATGTCTGCAAGTTGCATATTAACTTGCATATAGTTGCATATAGTTGTAACACTGCCCGCTTTAAAATCGAGTTGCTCTATATCCCTGATGATACCAGATGGTTTTAAAATAAGGTAAGTGGCTTTGTACATTGGGTTAGCTAATATATGCTTGTATTATAAGAGTGAATGTTCTTTTCATTTATTACAGGTACAAAGACTTTGATAAAGACAGTAGTATTAAATTTTAAACTTTTTTAATTTTAATGTACAGTTCGGTGTCTCGGAAAAAAAGATAAATATATCTACAGATAAAATGACATGCTAGAAGATAAAATGATATTCTTTGTTTACTATACGTTTATCTAACTGTATTTTTTATGACTGATAATCAGCGTCATTTTTCACTATTTGTCTTATGAATCAGTTTATAATCTTGGTGAACCGAACTGCAACATTCATCATCTTGGTCTTATATTTGTGTGAGCAGACCATCGCGTGTTCTTCACATTTGACCGATGTTGACTTGTCCTTTTTTGTCACTCACTTCTTTACTAGAACTTTTAATTGCTAACTGAACCATTGCATTGCGCATTTAATTTCGTGTGATTAATTTGAATTTAGTACTGCTTGCTTTATCAATATCAGACAACACTCCTTACCGCCATCATGATGACGTGCTATGACAATTATCTTAATTTCCTCTAAGATACAGACTCAAAAGTTTATCGATTGAAAATTCGGCAGTTACACCCCAAAAGCGTTTGCATTGTGTGGGAACCTTTGTATCTAACTTTATATCACTTTCCAGGTTATAAGCCCATGTTACGGGTCACGGAATATTTATTAGAATCGCGGAAATATATAACACAGTGTTTCCAGTTTTCTGTGTTTCCATGTTTTCATGTTTCTTATTTCTATGGTTCTAGTTTCTACGTTTCCAGGTTTCTACGTTTCTGTGTTTCTATGTTTCTGTGTTTCTGTGTTTCTGTGTTTCTGTGTTTCTGTGTTTCTGTGTTTCTGTGTTTCTGTGTTTCTGTGTTTCTGTGTTTCTGTGTTTCTGTGTTTCTGTGTTTCTGTGTTTCTGTGTTTCTGTGTTTCTGTGTTTCTGTGTTTCTCTGTTTCTATGTTTCTGTGTTTCTACATTTCTACGTTTCTGTGTTTCTACATTTCTATGTTTCTACGTTTCTGTGTTTCTACGTTTCTACGTTTCTGTGTTTCTGTGTTTCTACGTTTCTACGTTTCTGTGTTTCTGTGTTTCTGTGTTTCCATGTTTCTGTGTTTCTGTGTTTCTGTGTTTCTGTGTTTCTACATTTCTACGTTTCTGTGTTTCTATGTTTCTATGTTTCTATGTTTCTATGTTTCTATGTTTCTATGTTTCTATGTTTCTATGTTTCTGTGTTTCTGTGTTTCTACATTTCTATGTTTCTACGTTTCTGTGTTTCTGTGTTTCTGTGTTTCTACGTTTCTACGTTTCTACGTTTCTGTGTTTCTATGTTTCTATGTTTCTATGTTTCTATGTTTCTATGTTTCTATGTTTCTATGTTTCTGTGTTTCTACATTTCTATGTTTCTACGTTTCTGTGTTTCTGTGTTTCTGTGTTTCTACATTTCTACGTTTCTGTGTTTCTATGTTTCTATGTTTCTATGTTTCTATGTTTCTGTGTTTCTACATTTCTATGTTTCTATGTTTCTGTGTTTCTGTGTTTCCGTGTTTCCGTGTTTCCGTGTTTCCGTGTTTCCGTGTTTCCGTGTTTCTACGTTTCTACGTTTCTGTGTTTCTGTGTTTCCATGTTTCTGTGTTTCTACATTTCTACGTTTCTACGTTTCTGTGTTTCTACGTTTCTGTGTTTCTGTGTTTCTATGTTTCTCTGTTTCTATGTTTCTATGTTTCTATGTTTCTGTGTTTCTACATTTCTACGTTTCTGTGTTTCTACATTTCTATGTTTCTACGTTTCTGTGTTTCTATGTTTCTGTGTTTCTGTGTTTCTATGTTTCTCTGTTTCTACGTTTCTGTGTTTCTATGTTTCCATGTTTCTATGTTTCTATGTTTCTATGTTTCTGTGTTTCTACATTTCTACGTTTCTACGTTTCTGTGTTTCTGTGTTTCTACATTTCTATGTTTCTATGTTTCTGTGTTTCTGTGTTTCTATGTTTCTATGTTTCTATATTTCTGTGTTTCTGTGTTTCTGTGTTTCTGTGTTTCTGTGTTTCTGTGTTTCTGTGTTTCTGTGTTTCTGTGTTTCTGTGTTTCTGTGTTTCTGTGTTTCTGTGTTTCTGTGTTTCTGTGTTTCTGTGTTTCTGTGTTTCTGTGTTTCTGTGTTTCTGTGTTTCTGTGTTTCTGTGTTTCTGTGTTTCTGTGTTTCTGTGTTTCTGTGTTTCTGTGTTTCTGTGTTTCTGTGTTTCTGTGTTTCTGTGTTTCTGTGTTTCTGTGTTTCTGTGTTTCTGTGTTTCTGTGTTTCTGTGTTTCTGTGTTTCTGTGTTTCTGTGTTTCTACGTTTCTACGTTTCTGTGTTTCTGTGTTTCTACATTTCTACGTTTCTGTGTTTCTATGTTTCTATGTTTCTATGTTTCTATGTTTCTATGTTTCTATGTTTCTATGTTTCTATGTTTCTGTGTTTCTACATTTCTATGTTTCTATGTTTCTGTGTTTCCGTGTTTCCGTGTTTCCGTGTTTCCGTGTTTCCGTGTTTCCGTGTTTCTACGTTTCTACGTTTCTACGTTTCTGTGTTTCTGTGTTTCCATGTTTCTGTGTTTCTACATTTCTACGTTTCTGTGTTTCTATGTTTCTATGTTTCTATGTTTCTATGTTTCTATGTTTCTATGTTTCTATGTTTCTATGTTTCTATGTTTCTATGTTTCTATGTTTCTATGTTTCTATGTTTCTATGTTTCTATGTTTCTATGTTTCTATGTTTCTATGTTTCTATGTTTCTATGTTTCTATGTTTCTATGTTTCTATGTTTCTATGTTTCTATGTTTCTATGTTTCTATGTTTCTATGTTTCTATGTTTCTATGTTTCTATGTTTCTATGTTTCTA